CGGAGTCCTCCCAGACAAACCAGCCTGAGAGTATCGTCCGTGATGAACAGAGAGCTTCCTGAAGGGGGCACATCTGAGTACCAATAATGAGCAATCTGCTGTCCATGAAGTTATTTTTTTGGGGCTCGGCGCATTTATACAGTGTTACGTGGGCGGCTAATCCTCAGACAAACGCCCATCTAGCTGAGATTTCACCGGTGCCTGCACAGCCGTATGAAAGATTTGTCCATTATTTCCGTCGCCTATACTAAATCTATTTGCGCATGTGAATTGTGAGACATGTAATGGCATTCTAGCTCTGTCTTGATAGCGCGTTCGTAGCGCTGTTCAACCTCAATACACGACTTGGCGAAACGTAACTCGTTTTTTGCAATTAGAACACGAAGCAGAAGGTCTTTGGTCTGGAACATCTTGCGCACCTCTGGACCAAGATCAGACTCTTTTGCTTCACGGACGTACTTTTTAACAACGTGCTTGTTCACAACCGTCCATGTGCTGTTGTACTTTCGTTTGAGCTCAGGTACAGACAGTTGAAACAGCTTGAAAATCTCCATGAAGTCTTGGTATATGGCGTTGATTTGAGCGTCCAAGATCTTTCCCGGAGAATGGAACATGTCCTTGAATTTCAGACACCACTCCATTACTCTCGTGAATTCGAGGTCGTCTGTCCTGCGATAGCGCGACGAGGGAAGGATGCCGTTGATGCCGGACGTGCGCTTGTTCAGCCGCGATTCCACTTTGTAGAACAGGAACGATATACGCGGCAGCACCAGATTCTCTGCCTCGTCCAGAATCTTGGTCCAGAGTTGAGCAATAACCGCGTCAAAGCACTCGGTCTCCATATTGTCGTAAAGCTCTTGGATCATGTGCATCTGCATCTGGTCGATATATTTGTCAATTTCGGGCTCCTTTAAGGCCTTGTGGTTCAACACGAAGGCTGTGGCAGGCGTCCGCCGCAGACTATCTTCCAAATACGATCGCGTGAAAATGTCCTTTGTCTCCTCTGAGAAACGGTCCACAAACAGCTTTATCGACCGGTCTCTTCCCTTTCTTATCTCCAGTTTTGCCTGGTCAACGTAGAAAAGCGGGTCGTTCTTCTCCACAATGATCTGGATGCAGACATTCAGCCTTCCCGAATTTGGGCTCAAGCTGAACTTCTCCTCCATAGGAATGCCGTAACTGTCTTTGAAACGTAGCTTATAAGTGACCGACTTGTAGAGAATGCCGCTTTTCTCGATCAGGTCAAATCGCAAGTAGCCCGACTCCTTATTTGTGGAAACTTGAAACTTCTCGTTCCACTCTGGATTGTAGTCCTTGGGAATGCACCGCGTGCGGCCACTGATAACTCCGGAAATCAGCACGTACAAGCTCAGAGGCTCTCCGCGGTTGTCCTCCACGTTTTCAGCGCCCCTGATATCCACCGAGACGACCTTTTTTGTGCGTTTTGAAGTGGCCGCAGGCCTCTTACTGAGGATTTCCGAGTACCTTGTCAGGTCCTCGGTCTTGAACTGATCCATGTACTCAAGAATCTTGAATATATTGTTCAGACAAGTGCAAGATTCTCCTTTGAAATTGAGCAACTGGCCAGAGTTGAGGTCTTTCTCAATCCTGATGAACATGGCGTTGGAGTAATTGATCAGGGTGTCGGAAATGCTGCGGTAGAGCTCCGCAAACATCTGGGCCGACTCGTACTCGTTTTCCCACTCAAACGATTGGAGAATGCGAATATAAGCGTTGCAAATCTCCAGCACGTTCTGCACACTCGAACTGTACGAGCAGCCTTCGAGTCGCTCCATGTCGTCGCTCTCAATTGCCCTGTCTGTCTGTTCGCGGATTTCCGAGCCCCAGCTCTTCACAAGGTCCAGCACGTTGGGAAACAGGATCGACTGGAAACTCACATTCATGTTGGTCCTTTTCCGCAGTTTGGAGAGAAGCTCGAGAAGCGTCGTCAGGTTGGAGTTTGCCTGATTTGCCGGGGCGTCTTTGCTGGCTGTCTTGAGGCCCATGATAAAGGCCTTCAGGTAGTCCTCGATTGGCCTTGTGAGGTATTCAATTGCGATTTTCATAAATTCGGTTTTCTCGTCTAAATCGGCGTTGCTCAGAGCCCACTCCTCAATCTCGTCGAAGTCGCGGTTGACATAGGCTAGGAGGTTGGCAATGAACTCGATCTTGGACTTGTTCAATGAAAGTTTGAGCTCTTTGAAGTGCCTGTTCAGCCGCGTAGACAGGGCCGTGCGCAGCCCTGAGAGAACTAGCGACTCTATCTCGTCCACTAGAATATACTGCGACAGATTCAATGCCCGTGTGAAGCTTCGTTTGTCCGCAAAGAAATTGAGAAAACACTCGCTCAAGTACGACTTGTACTCGAAAAACACCTGTCTGTTCATTCGCAGCAGTTGCTCGCGCTTCCGCGAAGGCCAGTCCTCCACGTCCAATCGCACGATCATGGACAACTTTGCCAGCCCGTAGCACTTCGTCGCATATTCCAGGTCCAGCTTGTGTTCCGGGATGTCCTCCACCATGCGTATGTACATATCAAACGGGTCAACCTGCCAGACCTCGAGACAGCGCACAAACTGGTCAAAAAAAACGGGCGACGAGTGGTACACAAGGTTTCTCAGGTACATGAGCACCTGGATGAGATCGTTCGGGACGTACGAGGTGGAGGTTCGCTTCGTGTCCTGCGTTTGGAATTTTTTCGTCAATTCTTGGTTGAGATGCACAATCTTGTCGTGCCACTTACGGTACGAGCTCTGTGACTCAAAATCTTCGGCGGAGTACCGATCGACAAGCGACGCGTCGCTGTTGATGTACTGCACGACGTCCGCCTTGTTGACCGAGATCCGCAGGTCTTTGATTTTGTTTTCTAGTTGTTCGTTGGTCACCTGGAACGCTTTCATAATCGCTTCTCGGTATTTCTGGTTTCTGATATCGGGGGCCACTGTGAACGACTCCGAAAGCACTTTGCTTCTCCGCGTGAGCAGCTTCGATCGCTGTGCGTCGCTCGCTTTGCACAGAAGCAGCATATCGATCATCTGTACTCGGCTGATATAGTACACTTCCGGGTCTTTGGTCAATGTGTCTGCTATGAAGTGGTCGAAATTGTCGAGGATGAAAGTCACATCCCAGTGCTTGAGCTCCTTGGCGTACCTGTTGTAGAACCCATGCAGAAGTTTGCGCGTGTGTGGGTTCAGGGCAATATCTTTGTATCCTTGCAATGTCTTGAGTTCGTCAACAAACTGCCGATTCAGCACTTCGTCTCGGTTTCCAAAATTGAGATGGAGCTTTTTCGTGGATATCCTGGGCTGCTTGGGTATGGACTCGATTTCGGCCACTTTGCGCGTGCGGAATTCGTCGTCGTACAAAAGCTGCACCCGCACAAAGTACTCAAACACATACTTATTGAAATACGAATCCTTGGCGGAGTCCATCGTAGACACGGCTGGCTTGCTAATGTTACAATGCGGAGGGCGTGATCTATCGTCTGGCTGAGCTGGGAGATGCGCTTTGCTGCTGGAGCATATCCGTTTTCAGCCCTAGTGAACAAAGTGTTAAAAAGCAAAAAGAAAAAAAAGTCAATCTGGGGATCTCAGAAAGCTCAGAGTAGGGTAAACGTAAAAAATCTTTCTATTACATTTCCTCTTACGGCAATAGAAAAGTAGCTCTGGCACAAATAGGAAGTCGTTATTGTTAAACTGCCCTCGAGCTGTCAGAAAAAAGATCTCGCTAGAAACAGTATATGCTTCTCCTGCAGGCTATTCCGCCGTTTGCACAATGTCCTCGACATTGAATAAATGCTTGGCAAGCACCTTGTTCATCGTGAACATGTTGACCTTATCGCCGAAAACCGGCCGCAACTTGTCGTCGCACAGGATCTCCCGTCTGTCATCTGGATTTTGCAGTTCGTTCGCCTTCACATAGTCCCATATCCTCTTCACCACCTGTGTGCGGGCTATAGGTTCCGACGACCCCAGAAACGTCGCAAGAGTCTCGCTGGGCAGCACTCCTCTCGTGAACGGGTTGGAAGTGCTTGCAGACGCTTCCTGAGGAGTGCTCTTGCGCGCTTTTTTCTTCACCTTGTGGACGTCTTTCTTCTTGAGAAGCTGGTTCAGCCGCGCGGCCATCTCCCTGTTCTCCTTCTCGAGTCTTTTGATTTTGGTTTCCGTTTCCTCGCTGCCGTTCTCGCTTAGTTCCAGAAAATGCTCGTATCGGGTCCATATTAACTGGTTGATCCTCTTTTTCTGCTCAGTGAGATCAACGTCGAACAGCGCTTCCAGCGCCCGCCGTATTCTTTTCACCGACACCTGCGAAAGATCTGAAACTTTCAAAATCGCGTCTATCGTCGGCAAGTAGTCCTCATCAGAATACATCACAAATATATTATTTTTTACCTAAAAAACTATTTTTTCTCCCGATTACGCTTCATTTGCAGTTCGTTCTTCTTCACCAGCTTTTTGCGCTCCATTCTGCTCAGTGTGCGCGGATCAATGAGCTCGTTTTCAGTGCCCACGTTCTTGTCGTCAAGCTCGACCAGCCAGTCTGACTCGACCTCCTTGTTCTTTCCCTTGTAGCCCCATTTGTTGACCCATTTGCCGGTTCTCTCGTCGTACACAAGCTTTCCGTCCTTGCCCTTCTTCTTGATGCCTTTCTTTGCGGCAAAGAGCTCCCATTTGGTTGGCTCTTTGGCCTTGGGTATGCTCTTCTCGCGGGGAAGCTGTGTAGTTGGATCAGGCAGCTGGATCAGCGTCATTGTCGAGTTCTGTCCATTGGAGTTGTCGCTCGTCTTCTTCAATGGAAGGGAAAGCACCTGGTTGATTAGCAGCTGCACGTTGTCTCTCGTCACGTCTCTCAGATAGTCGTTTTTGGTTTTGTCGTTGGTGATCTTCGAGGCGTCCAAAGGATTAGGGTCGAACACGGCAAGATTGCCCAAATCGTAATTCACTGGGATGGGTTTCTCGACAGTCACCGGTTTGCTGGACGTTAGTGAGGAACGGCGGCAGTACTTACACTTGGTGTTCGCTAGTCATATTTAAATTAAATTTTTCTTTTTAGATAAATATTTTTCATTAATTTTTCAGTTTTTATGTAAGCGATCTAACACAGCTGTTCCGCCGCAACGTTTCTTCCTTGACCTTGACTCCCAAAGCGTCGTTAGAGTGATACTCAAGATATACTAATGAATGGTCTACTGCTCGGCAAAGGGAAGCGATTTTGCCAGGCACTTCGAGCAGAGGCGCGGCTTGACTCGTAGTTGGGGTCAATTACGAGCCTGGCTAGACGTATCTTGGTCACGACCGGCCGGCAATCACCCATATATTGAGTACTGCGCCCTTGCGGAGACAGGAAAGCGAGTTTGTAAGAGTCAGGTCGCCAAAAGAAAGTTCCAAATAGCGAGGGAGCCTGTTAAATGAGTCTCGTCTCTGCCATAGCATTTCATGGCGACGAAGTAGCCGCAGAAGCTCAGAATCGGGACCCATGTCTTGCTGCGACAAAACTGCTGATCAGTTTGAGCGTGGAGAATGTTAAAAAGGTTTAAAAGAAGCTTGTGGCCAGACAAATACGCGGTCATCAAGCATGGTTCCTGAGGAATATTTGCATTTTTCCATTGGAAGAGAAAGCGCACCAGAGGGTCAGACAGAGAGAAGTTTGCAGGCGTGTGTTTTCTCAGCCTTTGAAGCGTCAAAACTTAGTGGTGAGTGAACAACCGGCTTCCAGTGCCAGACTGGAGCGTAGAAGCGATACCGCACACTCTTGAAAACTCATTGTCATCTGTATGATCACCATGCTGTTCTGATTTACCAGTCGAGGCTGCTGGGATTATTCTGAGAAAGCATGGCCGCAAACAGTCATGGTTGCAACTCCTTGCCACCATTTTTTTAAGGTAGCAGAACAAGGACGTAGCTTCGGCACTGTTTTTTTCTGTGTCTCTGAGCGGACCCAGCAGCTTGGAAGTCGCAAACAAGAGATGAGTGCTTAGTTGTGCAAATGAGTGCTGGGTCCCGAGCAGTACACAAGGGAGCCGTAAATGGACAACGACGAGCATGTTCGCCTTCTGTAGCTGCTGAGGAGCAATTACGCTGGTCGGCGATCGTGTTTGCCAGCAGAATACAGTCGCAGTCCATCTGTCCACAATCAATCAGCGATACTGAATGCTGAGAGAGACGAGAAGTTACTTTTCAGCAGGTCTGCGGCGAGCGACAGATTTCGGCTGCGGTGACGCAAAATCGCTATACTCAGGACTGCGCGCCCACCAGATCTTCGAAGATCACGACGCGAGGCGTGTCGCGGCATGTAAGATGGCTGTTGCACCATACAGGCCGAATGTCAAATTCTCAAAAACGCTCATTACATCTCCGTTGGCGGTGATTGGCGTAGGAAAATAAAATAATTTTTTCAGATTTTTTCAATATTTAGTCATCCAGCATGTCGAGACACTTTTCCACGAGTCTGGCACGGTGCCGCGGCCAGAACCTGACCGAGAAGATCGTCCAGAAGTACGCCGTCGGCCTGGCCCCAGACAAGCTTGTCTACTCGGGTGACTACGTGAGCATCCGGCCTGCGCACGTGATGTCCCACGACAACTCGTGGCCCGTGGCGCTCAAGTTCAAAGGACTGGGCGCCAAGAAGGTCAAGGACAACCGCCAGATTGTCAACACGCTGGACCACGACGTGCAGAACAAGACAGAGAAAAATCTGGCCAAGTATCACAACATCGAGCAGTTCGCCAAGGAACAGGGCATCGACTTTTATCCTGCCGGACGAGGTATTGGCCATCAGATCATGATCGAGGAGGGCTACGCGTTCCCGTCAAACCTCACTGTGGCGTCCGATTCTCACTCAAACACCTACGGAGGCATAGGATCGCTCGGAACTCCAATCGTCCGAACCGACGCTGCGTCCATCTGGGCCACCGGCCAGACCTGGTGGCAGATTCCTCCCGTGGCCAAGGTCGAGCTCAAGGGCTCTCTTCCGAAGGGAGTCACCGGAAAAGATGTCATTGTGTCGCTGTGCGGGCTTTTCAACAACGACGAGGTGCTCAACCACGCGATCGAGTTTGTTGGAGACGAGATCCACAAACTGCCGATCGACTACCGTCTGACGATCGCCAACATGACCACCGAATGGGGGGCGCTGTCGGGGCTGTTCCCGATCGACGAGACGCTTATCAACTTCTACACCAATAGACTGCTGAGACTCGGCCCTAACCACCCGAGAATCAACCACGAGACCGTCGAGCAGCTGCGCCAGAACAAGCTGGCCGCGGACGCGGACGCGTACTATGCCAAGACGCTCACCATCGACCTCTCCACGCTGTCGCCGTACATTTCCGGGCCAAACTCCGTCAAGGTGTCCAACTCGCTCAGCGACCTTTCTGCCAAGAACATGAAGGTCGACAAGGCGTACCTGGTGTCGTGCACCAACTCCAGACTCAGCGACATCAAGGCTGCGGCCGATATCGTCCGCGGCCACAAAATCGCCCCGGGAGTGAAGTTCTACATTGCTGCTGCTTCATCCGAGGTCCAGGCCGACGCCGAGGCCGCTGGCGCGTGGCAAACGCTTCTGGACGCCGGCTGCATTCCGCTGCCAGCCGGCTGTGGCCCGTGTATCGGTCTGGGAACCGGCTTGCTGGAGGAGGGTGAAGTCGGTATCTCTGCTACCAACAGAAACTTCAAGGGAAGAATGGGGTCCAAGGACGCTTTGGCGTTCCTGGCGTCTCCCGAAGTTGTCGCTGCTTCTGCTGTTGTCGGCAAAATCGCGGCTCCCGAAGAGGTCGAGGGAAAGCCGTGTCCGCCAACCAGAGAGGTGAAAAAAACCATTGTGGTCAACGAAAAGCCTCCGTCCTCGGACGACACCGCCAAATCCGCCGGGTCCGTCCTCCCGGGCTTCCCTGAAGAGATCACCGGCGAGCTGGTGCTCTGTGACGCAGACAATATCAACACGGACGGCATATACCCCGGCAAGTACACCTACCAGGACGACGTTCCAAGAGAGAAAATGGCCGAGGTGTGTATGGAGAACTACGACTCTGAGTTTGGGCAAAAGACCAAGGCCGGCGACATCATTGTTTCCGGGTTCAATTTCGGTACCGGCTCGTCCAGAGAACAGGCTGCTACGTGCATTTTGGCGAGAGATATTAAGTTGGTGGTTGCAGGATCGTTTGGCAACATTTTCTCGCGAAACAGCATCAACAACGCGCTTCTGACGCTCGAAATCCCAGACCTGATCAACATGCTTCGCGACAGATATAGAGACAGCGAGCCTGAGCTGACGAGACGCACCGGCTGGTTCCTCAAATGGAACGTTCCCAAATCACTGGTCACGGTGACCGACTCTTCGGGCGCCGTGGTGCTCGAGCAGAAGGTGGGCGAACTGGGAACCAACCTCCAGGAGATCATCATCCAAGGCGGTCTGGAGGGCTGGGTGCGGTCTGAGCTGCAAAAAGAGGCCCAGCAGCAACAATAAATAGACTAAGCTTAATTTATTGGCTATATTCGATAACTTGCCTACAACTTCTGCGCTTCCTTCACGATCTCGTCAAAACTGTCCTTGTACTCCTCGCTCTTTGCGTCTTTCTTCCCGCCTCCTGGAACGATCATCACACAGGAGGTCGGTCTTTTGGTAGCTCCGGCAGACCCAAGGTCCTCCTTCGACGGCACAAAAAGGTACGGAACAGAGTTGTCCTCGCACAGACAAGGAATGTGGGAAATGACATCAGCAGGGGAGATGTCGCCGGCGATGATGACGAGCCCCTTCTCGCCCTTTCTCAGCGCCTTGACCACCTCTTTCACGCCTCTCTTGACATGCTTGGATTTGGACGCTTTTTTCACGGTCTTGAGCACTTTTTTGTTCAGTTTCTTGGAGGCAAGCGGTTTTGCAAATGGCAGCAGCGCAGGCAGCCGCTTTTCGTAGTTGTCGACCTCGTCGACCTCGTCTGTCTTCTTGGCCATTCTGATTAAAAAAAATTCAAATAAATTTTTCAGTTTTCCACACCTCGAAATCTCTGCACCTCCTATTTTGCTCTGCTTATTTACTGTACCTTGTTCTTCTTATGTCCACCAAAAGACACTCCAAGTTGGAAACCGTGCTCTCGTCGGCAAACCGCCGAATCACCGTCCAGATCCCAGACGATAGACCGCCTCCGGACTTGTCCAGGGCCGACACCCTCGTCAGCACGTCGTCCTCTTACTACCCTCCCCAGTCTGCAATCGACAAGAGCCCGGAGTCCCTGCTGGGTTTTCAGCCCCAGCCACAGCAAAAACCGCTGCAACGGCCTCCAATCAACCTTTCCCTGCGCCGACGCCCGCCTCCACAGCCCACGGAGAACAACAAGCTCGAGCCTCTGGCCCAGGAAGCTCGTTCTTTAGACCCTTTCAAGGAACAGGAAAAGACACGCCCAGAGTCCGAAGCGGACGATCAGAAATCGACGCCTGGAGGACTCCAAACCAACGCCCAGCTCGAAAAGCCATACATCGACCTTCTCAGCTCGGCCTCGTCGTCGCCAAAACCGTCGCCGTCTCGCGAGGACGAAGCGCAAACCCCCACGCAAGAGCTATTTTCAGGCAAGCTGGCTGCCGAGCAGCTTTTTAATTACGAGACTGCAGACACAAATGCACCGCCACAGCAACAGCCAGAGCTGGACAACGAGCTGTATTTCTCGGCCCCGTCCTACAACTTCCAGAACCAGTCGTCCGAGTCCGACCAGTACTTCGACGTGCGCGAGACGCGCTCGGATATCAGCACAGACGACTCCGTCAACGACGAGCTGTATCCTACAGAAGCACGCAGTACAACGTTGCGTGTGCAGAATGCCGACTCAGAGAGCACGGAATATTATCCCAGCGAGAGCTCTGGCCCGCTCTACCGCCAGCAGTCGATTGACTCCAAGCCCAGAGCTACACAGATCGCAGAAGACGACGAGGATGACGACGACTCCGGAGTCAGCTTCATAGCCAAGCCGCTGAATTACACGCACTTCGATGTGGACGAAATACAGCCGCAGCACAAGATGGTGGTGACCAACCCGTCGCTCGAGGAGTCGCCGCCGCTCCCGACCTACGACCGGCGCGAGGCCCCGACCGTGGTACCTCTTTCGCACTCCAACGTGGTGCAGCCTGCGCAGGCGGTTTCTGGAGCGGCGCAGGCGAAGAAAAGACCGCCTCCCGACAACCCGTCGACCGGCCGCGGCGCGAGGGCGGTGTCAATGTCGACTGCGCAGCCCGAGCTGTTTGAGACGATAAAGCAGCCTAACGCGCTGCCAAAAAACGGCAGGCCCGACGCTGAAAAAGAACAAGACGACAGCGAGCTGCACAAGCCGTCGCTGTACATCTACCGGCTGCGCACGGCCGCAGCAACAACGTACGTGGACAAAAATCCCAGCACCAACATCCTGCCCATAGCGATACGGAAAAACAAGGGCAAGCACTCGCGCACGGCTTCGCGGCAATCGTCGCTATTTTCGTACCAGGCGGCCATCAAGCACGGCGCGCAGCATCCTGGGCTGCTTGCGTCGGAGATCGACGACGACGAGCTGCCGGATTCGAAGCTCAGCCATTCAACCGGGAAAACCAAGATTCCGCAGGACCCGGACGCAGAGGTGCTCGAGGTGGCAGATCAGCTGAAACGGCTCACGGCCTCTGACGAGGGTCTGAGGCGGATGACCAGCGTCCGCAGCGTCCAGCCTCCACAACCGCGGCTCAATCTGTTTGTTGCCAACCCTGACGAGTAGCACTGTATAATGAGATATCGACGCGCCGACGCGACGATCTGTATTTTTCGAATTTCGCTTGGAAAAAAATACGTGTCGAACAAAACAACCCTCCTATGTCTGCAGACGTTGCGTATACGTTGGTCTACGAAGTAAGTACGAGGTCTGCCGAAAACTAACCGCCAGCCCAACACCGCGAGTAAAACCTCGGTTAATGAGTTCAAGAACCAGCTTGAGAAGGGCGACGACGAGCGCAAGATAGAGGTGATGAAGCAGATCCTCATCACAATGCTCAACTCGGACCCAATGCCTGGGCTGCTGATGCACATCATCCGGTACGTGATGCCGTCGAGAAACAAGGACCTGAAGAAACTGCTCTACTTCTACTGGGAGATCTGTCCGAAATACGAACAGGACGGCAAGCTCAAGCACGAGATGATCCTTGTGTGCAATGCCATCCAGCACGACCTGCAACACGCTAACGAGTACATCCGCGGCAGCACGCTGAGGTTTCTGTCGAAGCTGAAGGAGCCGGAGTTACTGGAACCTCTGGTGCCTTCTGCCAGACAATGTTTGGAACACCGTCATGCGTACGTCCGCAAAAACGCCGTCTTTGCCATCTATTCCGTCCACCTGGTGTCCGACCATCTGATCCCAGACGCGGCGGAGCTGTTGGCAGACTTTTTGGCCGTCGAGAACGACCCTACATGCAAACGCAATGCCTTTGTTTGTCTCGGGCACCTGGACAGAGAGGCTGCTCTGCGGTTCATCCAGTCGCAGGCGGTGACGTCCATCGACCCGATCATCCAGCTGGCCATAATCGAGTTTATCAGAAAGGACGCCGTGTCCAATCCCGAGCTCAAACCACAGTACTTGCACATCATCTCGGATCTGCTTGAATCCTCCAACAACGCGGTGATCTATGAGGCTGCCTCTACCTTGAGCGTGCTGTCCCACTCACAAGCAGCGATCACCGGTGCTGCGTCGAAGTTCATCGAGCTGGCCGTCAAGGAGCCCGACAACAACGTCAAACTCATTGCTCTGGAGATCGTCAACGAGCTGCACCTCAAGCACGAGGACATGCTGGACGACATGTGTCTCGACATCCTCCGGGTTCTGAGCGCCCCATCGCTCGATGTGAGACAAAAAGCCATCGAAATCACCCTGTCGCTGGTCACCAGTAAGAACGTCGACGATGTGGTTAAACTGCTGAAAAAAGAGCTCCAGAAAACCTCCACGTCCAACGAAGAAAAATCTGCCGAATACAGACAGCTGCTGATTTCTGCCATCCACTCCTGTGCAATCAGATTCCACGAGGTGGCAGCCAGCGTGGTCGACCTGCTGCTGGACTTCATAAGCGAGCTGAACACGACCGCAGCTGCCGAGGTTATCACTTTTGTCAAAGAGGTGGTGGAGAAATTCCCAGACCTCAGGAGCCACATTATCCAGAGGCTGATTGTGTCGCTCAAGACGATCAAGAGTGGCAAGATCTTCAGAGGCAGTCTGTGGATCATCGGAGAATACTCGCTGGACGAAAAGGACATCCAGACCGCCTGGAAGGCCATCCGGGCCAGCATCGGCGAGATACCTATTGTGGCTGCCGAGAACAAGGGCCACGACGACGAGCAGGAAGAGGAGGTGAAGGCCAACGGCCACACCGGTCCAAAGATTCTTGCAGACGGAACCTATGCTACCGAGGTCGCTCTAGGCGACTCCAAAACCGCTGCCGTGTCTACGGCTACCAAGCACCCTCTCAGGGCTCTGCTGTTGGAAGGTGATTTCTACCTAGGCTCTGTTCTGGCCTCCACCCTGGTCAAGATGGTGTTGAGGCTGAGCAAGATCACTAGCAAGACCGACCTGCTGAATGCTCTGAAGGCCGAGGCCATGCTAATAATGGTGTCCATCTTGAGAGCTGGCGAGTCGCCGTTGGTGAAGAAGCGCATCGACGAGGACTCTGCAGAGAGAATATTATCGTGCGTCAGGTTTTTGAGCGAGGAAGGAAAAGACGAGTCGCTGATCGACGAGGCGTTCCTCGTCGACACCAAAAAGGCATACAAGCAACAATTGGCCGCCGAGGCGCAACAGCTCAAGGACAAGGAGCAGGCCAGCGTCCAGGACAACGCAGAGCAGGTCGACGATGCCATTGTCTTCCGACAGCTGAGCACCAAGGACAAGGTGGAAGATCTGGACGAGGAGGACCTGACGCTTGCCGCGGGGGCCACCGTTGTGAAGGAGGACCTGTCGTCGAGGCTGAAGAAGATCAAGCAGCTGACCGGTTTCTCGGACCCCGTCTATGCCGAGGCCTACGTCAAGGTGCACCAGTTCGACGTGACGTTGGACGTTCTGTTGGTGAACCAAACTACAGAGACCCTGAGAAACCTAAGCGTCGAGTTTGCCACGCTGGGAGACCTCAAGGTGGTGGACAAGCCGACGACCCAGAACATCGGGCCGCACGCGTTCCACCGTGTCCAGACCACGATCAAGGTGACCTCTGCCGACACGGGCGTCATTTTCGGAAACATCGTCTACGACGGCCAGCACGCCGACGAGAACACCATTGTGATCCTGTCGGATTTGCACGTGGACATCATGGACTACATCAAGCCTGCTACGTGTACAGAGGCGCAATTCAGAAAGATGTGGAACGAGTTCGAATGGGAGAACAAGATCAGCGTGAAGTCCAACCTTCCAACGCTGAAGGAGTACCTGGACGAGCTCCTGGAGGGCACCAACATGAACAACCTGACTCCGGGCGCGGTGATCGGCGAGGAGTGCCAGTTTTTGTCTGCCAACCTGTACTCGAGGTCGTCCTTCGGCGAGGACGCTCTGGCCAACCTGTGCATCGAAAAGACCGCAGAGGGCCCGATCGTGGGCCATGTGCGGATCCGGTCAAAGGGCCAGGGCCTGGCCCTGTCCCTGGGAGACAAGGTTGCCGCGATTGCGCGCAAGACCAGCCAGGCCGTGGTGTCGCAGGTGTAAGAATAAAGTAAATCAAATAAATAAAATGCCACCATTTATTTTAATTTTTTCTCTAACCCAAGGCTCTTCTGGCGCACGGAAGTACTTTTCCATGGATCTCATTTCGAATTTTAGGGCATCTTGCGAGTACCGCGTTCCGATTGCCGTCCGGGTCCCGCTCCTGGACTCCATTGTGCCAGACCGCTCGGGCAGCAAGCTGCTGGAGGTCCTGGACGTGCTGGTGTTCGGTGTGCTGTTCTACCACGGCCTGTATCTGGTGTGCCGGCTGCTTTGTCTGCTGCCCCGAATGCGGTCTCTGGTCCCCAAAAAAGTCGACCGGCTCGACCTCAGCATGCGGATCGTGTCCTTCATCCAGTCGACGCTGATCGTGGTGCTGGCGATCCCGCTTTTCGACAACAAATACCTCAACAAGGACCGCGTTTTTGCGACCACGCCGTACTCTGAAATGTACAGCACGCTGGCCGCGAGCTATTTTGTGTGGGACACGGCGATGTCGCTGCGCCATCTGCAGCACTTTGGGCTGGGCTTTCTGATCCACGGCGTCATGGCCAGCACCGTCTTTCTGTCTGGCATCCGCACCCAGATGATCCACTACTACAGCCCGATTTTCCTGCTCTTTGAAGTTTCGACGCCGTTTCTGAACCTGCGCTGGGTCGCTCTCAAGTTCCCCCAGCTCGTGCCCGAGTGGCTCGCGCTGGCCAACAACGTGCTGCTGATCTCGACCTTTTTCGGCGCACGAATCTGCTGGGGCTGGTACCAGATCTACAGACTGGCCCTGGACCTGTACGCCGCGCGACACGACCCGCGGTTTGTGCCGTCGACGGCCGTCATCATTCTCTCGACGAATTTCGTCCTGGACATTCTGAACGCGTTCTGGTTCAGCAAGATGCTGACCGTCGCCGCTGCCACGCTCATGGGCAGAAGCGACAAGCTCAAACTCATGTAGACTGTTATTCTATACATCTGCATACTTGGCGTACTCCGGCATCGCCAGATACTTCCTCGCCGTCTCGATGTCCAGCTGGATGTCCTTGATCAGGGCCTCCATCGACACGTAGTCCAGCTCGGGCCGCACGTACCCAAGGATGTTGAAGTTCAGCCGGCACCCGTAGAAGGTCGACCTGAACTCGTGCAGAATGTGCAGCTCGCACGCCTTCTTGCTGTTCTTGAAGAACGGGTTCCAGCCCAGCGACATCACCATTGGCTGCACCTCGAAGTCGCTGTCTGCCAAATTGGCGCCGTACGTGAACTCCACCTCGCTCTTTCCGTCCGAGCGCGGCACCACCTTCGTCTCCGGCGTCTGTTCCGGCCTCAGCAGCCGCACAAACCCGAAGTACACCCCTGTGTCCAGCTTCTGCAACTCCGGCTCGTCGTCCACGGGCACGTTGGCCGTAGGGATGCCCATCTCGGCGGAGCCGCGGCCAAAGCCGGCAACAACACTGGTGTTGCGGATCACCAGCGGAAAAGGCGCCTGCACCGTGGCGGGAATGTGTGGCCGACTCATGGCGTAAAAAATAATTTAATCAAAATGCTTCGACAGAATTCCAGTAGATAAGGCGCAAATTTATTCGAGGTTGCACAGCCTGACTTAGCTATCGGGCACGTCCTCGCTCGTCATGCCCCTGAACTGCTTCAGCTCGCCGCCCCGCTGCCAGTCCTCGCCCAGGAGCCGCAAACGGGCCGCCCCGCTGTACCTGCGCTCGGCTACCGCCTGCGTCCAGTCGGCGCACGTGACCCGCAGCAGCTTTGCGCCCTGTCTGCCGTAGGCGGCGCAGATCTGCGCTGCGCACGAGTCCCACCACATCCCGGCCACCGCGAAGTGCACGCTGGTGGCCAGCTCCAGCGGCAGGTTCACGAGCCGGCTCATCATCGTCCATGCTCGAGAAATCGGAAGCGGGTGCTTCGTCTGGGCCGCGTCGCAGCCCAGGAACGTCGCGTCGATCTGCAGCCGACACATCACAGCGTACACGGTCGCTATGCCTGAGAGCCGCTCGTCGTACTGGATATCCTCCTCCCATTTGCCGTCTGCCTTCCTTTTCCAGCCCATACGCAGCCGGCCCTCCTCTGTGTCGATCGTGCAGGTGTAGCCAATCACCAGTGGGCATTTCTTGACAAACCGCGCCAGCAGGTAGTATTCAAACTCTGGAAACACAATCAGCAGGTTCAGAGCAAGTTTCGCCAGCGGAACAGCGCTGTCTGGCTTCACAGTCACCTCTGTCTCTGCCTGCGAGATGATCGCCTTGGCCATGAAATTCAGCAGCCACTTGTACGCCAGCTCGTTGCCCTTCGCCTCAGTGACCAGCCCGTGGATCTGGGACATGATCCGCTGCCACTGCGGCTCGCTGTTTGTCAGCTGGCCAAACTTCGGGTTGATCTTCCGTTTCTGCACGCCCACAAGCTTCTTGAGCTCCTTATTGGCCGGCTCCTTCATTTTCTCCACAACATCCCGCTTGATGTCTGCGATGTCCTGCTTGTACTTGAGAAACTGCTGTTCTACAGCTGCATAGTTCGTTTTGCCGTATTCGGCCTTCTTGGCGGCCTCGTCGGCCTCCTTGCGCCGCCTCTCGTCCTCTATCGTCTTCCGCTCTTCCTCCTCCTTGCGCTTTCTCGCCTGCTCAAGCTCCAGCTGCCTTTTCTTCTCCTCCTCTTCTTTCTTTCTGCGTTCTTCCTCTTCCATCCTTCTGCGCTCTTCTTCCTGTCTCCTGCGCTCTGCTTCCGCCCTTTTGCGCTCCTCTTCCCTGCGCCTCTCCTCCTCCAGCCTCTTGCGCTCCTCTTCGGCCTCGATAACATGCAAAACTCGCTCTTTACTCTGCTCCAGCCGTTCAGACAGCACGTCCGCAAAATACCGCAACGGGTCGAAATCGTTCTTCTTCGCCATCTCGGGCTCGTCCTCGTCAAGAGACGACTCCCTCGTGCGGTCCACCACCTCCGGAGACGGGCTGGCGTCCTCGTAGTCGCACATCTTCAGCACATAGTCGAACCGGCTTTTCAGATCCAGCGTGCCCAGCACCTGTCCCAAGTCTTCAATTTCGTCCTCCGTCTCCGACAGCGAGTCGTACCCCGACACGGGCTCGTCAGAGTCGTACTGGAAGTGCGGGTTTCGATGGGGCGTGAATCGCATGTTAACAGAGATTACCGGGTAACGATTTTTTATTTAATTTTTCAAGGTCTTTTTTAATTATTTTGTCCATGGTTTTTGTTCAGCTGAGACAGTTCTCCAGCAGCAGCACCGCGGCCGGAAGACCCGGCTGCTCGCTGGTGAAACCGGTGCACCACCGCGTGCGCATCAGAAAACAGCTGCTCTCGCCAAGATTCCCGGAGTTGAAGCTGCCGCCGTCCGACGTCCGCTCGCCAAAATATAGACCTTTTCTGGTGGGACAGGACAGAGTCAAGGAACACTACCACAACACGCTCAAGTCGGACCTGCTGCTGATCAACTACCAGCACGACCAGAAGGAAGTGGTGGGTCCTAAGAAAAGGAAGTGGGACATGTCGTCGCCGTACCACATCAACAGACCGTTGCAGAAACCAAAGGGACAGATTGTGCCGTCGCCGACGATCCGCCCACGCACGTGGAAAAACGTGCCATTTTTCGAGGGCGTGTCGATCAACTGTTTCGTGGCGGAGGCCAAGGCGAATAGTTCTGCTGCTGTTGCTGCGCTACTGCAGATCCAGCAAATCACAAACTCCAAGGTGTACCCGATCTACGCTAAAACCAACGTTCCCTCGTGGAAGCTGCGGCCGGGAATGCTGATGGGAGCCCGCACCAGACTCACGGGCGCCCCGGCGCACCAGTTTCTCACCACGCTCACCGAGCTGGTTCTTCCTCGGACCAGAGACTTCAAGGGAATCCGGACCTCGGCGGGTGACCAGTACGGCAACATCGCGTTTGGTCTGAGTGCCGAGACCGTGCGTCTGTTCCCGGAGATCGAGCACAACCAGGACTCCTGGCCCAACACCTACGGGTTCTGGCTGACGCTGCACACGAGCGCGCAACTCGACTACGAGGCCCGCACGCTGCTGAGCGGTCTGGGCCTGCCTTTTTACGGCAACGAAAAAGTTCCGCTGCTGCTCAGGCAGGCGCAGTGAGTGTACATAGCATGATGAAAAAATATTATTTAATTTATTTAAATAGATCATATTTTTGCAACCTATGGCTGTATTGTCACCATGACGATTGCCGCCTTTGCCAACTCCTCGCGTACGTGTCCTGTGCCGCCGGGCGACGCGCAGACGGCGTGCCAGTTCATCTTGGACACCTGCGATCGCTCGAACTTCAAGTATATGGAGCTGTACTACTGTTCAGGGTTTCTGTCGCAGATGCCTGCGTGGGTTATCGTGGGCATGCTCATGGTGCTGATCTCAACGCTGTTTTTTGTGCTTGGGTTCCTGGCGTCCAACTGCCTCACGCCCAACCTCACGTTTCTGGCCAGACTGCTCAATCTCGGCGAGAAACTGTCCGGGCTCACGCTGCTGGCGTTTGCCAACGGCTCCCCCGACATCCTGTCGACCTGGATCGCTATGAACTCCGGCTCCACGGCGCTGGCCATCGGCGAGCTGCTCGGGTCCGCCAATTTCGCGCTCACCGTCGTGGTCGGCAGCATGGCCATCGTCCGCCCCTTCACCGTGGACTACACCTCGTTTGTCAGGGACGTCGCTCTGTTCCTCACGCTCGTGGTGCTGTCGCTGCTTTTCCTGCTCGACGGCAAAATCAAGCTGCCCGAGAGCATCGCCATGTGTCTGCTGTACGCTACGTACATCTTGATCAGCTTCCTCAGTCCCGATAAGCTGCTCGCCGAGACGCGGCCCAAGGTCCAGGACCACACAAGCGCCGAAACAGAGGCAACGGCGGTCGACGCGTTCGAGCAGAACATCGAGAGTCTCGAGACGGGCCAGAGTTTCCGGCTGTCGCTGGCGGACTCCATCAAGCTGGCCTTCAGAACGTGCGACCTCAAACACATAGCAAACTACTGCCGCGGCGAGTCGGGCGACGAGCCCGTCCAGACGGGGCAGTACGACGTCCCTTTGCCGTTGCACATCGTCATCACGCCCGCCGACGACGACACGCCGCAGTCGCCGGTCTCTGACGAGGACCGGCTGCTGCCACCAGCGCGGCTCTCGCGCACGTCGTCCGTCGCGTCGGCGGCGTCGATTACGACGATCCTGTCCGCAGAGCCCGTCGAGGTCTCGTGGAAAACCAAGCTGGTCCCCAACTACGGCCGGCTGGCCCTGCGCAACAAGCCGTTCGAGTCGCTCTTCAACATCGCCACGCTCCCGCTCGCTTTCTGCATCAACCTCGCCGTGCCCACGCCCGCCAACTCGCGCAGAGAGTTCGACCTCAACGTCCGGCTATTTCACGTGCAGCTGCTGCTCACGCCGCTCGTCGTCCTCCACGAGCTCTCGTCGCACGTGCTGCAACTGACGGCGGCGCTGTTTGCTGCCAATCTAGTTTTCAGCGCGTTAGGCCACTCCGTTTACCGCCGCCTGTTCCCGGCGATTTCCGCGCTCGTCGGCTTCGTCAACGTGCTCAACCTCATCACGGCTGCCGCGTCGGAAATCGTCAACATCCTGAAAAACACCGGCACCATCTACGGCGTCGACGAGTCCGTGCTGGGGCTGACGGTGCTCTCCATGGGCAACTCGATCGGTGACCTCATCACCAACAGCACGCTCTCGTCCCTCGGACTCGCGCTCACGGGCCTGCACGCCTGCTTCGGCTCGCCGCTGCTCTACATTCTGTTCGGAGTTGGCCTCAGCTCGCTCGTGGTCAGCATAAAAACAGGCTCCCCTGTGGAATTCACAGTGGACAACCACTTGAAATTGTCCAGCTTCAGCCTCGTTTTCATTCTGCTCATATACATCACCATTGTCCCGCTGCGCAACTGGAAGGTCGACAGACTTGTTGGGTACATTGCCGTCTTTTTCTGGATCGCAATCACCTCGCTGAACGTGTGCGTGATAAAATAGCGTAAATAGATTAATTTACAGATTAGAAGTACTCCTTCTCGACCACGCCGTCCAGATACTCCTCGAGCCGGGCTTTGTCGGCGTCTGCGAGCTTCTCCAGCGCCAGCAGGTACATCTTTTGCAGCTTCGTGGCGTCGGGCGAGTAGAGATAGTAATAGTCTATGCATGCTTTCCAGAACAGGTAGCTGGTTTTGTGCTGGTACTTGAGCAGGAAAGGCTCTAGATCGAGATTGTACGACAGCAGCTCCAAAAACAGATAATCGAAATGGCGCTCGTGCTCGGACCCGGCGACCTCGTCGAGCTTGGCTTCGACCAGCTGCAGCAGGTCTTTATTTTTCCCCAGCTGCTCCAGCTGGAGCAGTTTCAGCCAGCCCTGCACCGAGTTCGGATACATCTGCAAGAGATCGACCACCACGGCTTTCGCAGCACTCAAGTTTCTGGTCAGCACCTCCAGATCCGCCAGCCTCAGCCGCAGCTTGACGTTTTCTGTCGCACAGTGGTATATCCCAGTCACCAGTATTTTTTTCGCTCTGTCCAGCTGGTTGAGATTGAGGTAGTAGTTGCTGTATTTGATCCAGAAAAACGGGTAGTACGCAGTGGCTATCAGGCATCGGCCGTAAACCGTGTCGATGAGCTTGCGCGTGTTCTTCGTGATCGCCGAGTTCGAATCTTTGTGAGACGACTTGAGCGACAGCGTCTCGCAGTATTCGAGGTATCTGTTCCAGTTGTGCAGTTCGCGGCGCTCCAGCTCGTCGGGAGCAAAATAGGGTCGCGTCACGGCCTCCTCGAACGGCCACAGCTGGAACACGTTGTACTGCGTCGTGATATACAGGTCCATGTAGCGTTTGCGCATGTCTTTTTTCAGGTCGGTGAAGACTTTGTCGTCTTTGCGTCCTATAAGATCCGGCCAGCTCAGCTTATAGACGGTTTTCAGATCTTCCTTGGTGATCAGGTACTTGATGGTGTCGAGATCCGCGTTTTCGATGAGCTTGAAGAACTGCCTGATGTATTTGGAGTAGTGGTACAATGGCACCTCGATCACCCGTCTCAGAAGATAATGGTATTCTTTAGTCCTGCGATGCGCCTTGAGAAACTGTAGATACCGGTCGTACAGCAAGTGGGCGTAGAAATGCGTCCCCACCTGTGTTCTGGCGCGCTCGAACAGAGCAATGACCGGGTCGTACTGGTGCACGGTCTCGACCACAAAGTCCAAGTATTTTGTCCATATCACGATCGACATGGGCACAACTTCGACGCCGCGCTCGTATATTTCGCGAGCCTCGTCTGTGCGACCCGCACGGAACAAATAATCCGCATAATTGCACCAGTACTGCTCGCAGAACGGGAAATTGACCAGCAGGTTCTCGTACGAGATGGCCACCAGTCTGCTGGACACCGCGTCCTGCTTCAGCTTGAGAGCGACACTGACCAGCTGCTCCCACGCAGAAAAATCGTGCGCGTTGTTATGCAAATACCGCGATAACTCGAGCCAATCTTTCGGCAGGTCGTCAACGTTGAGGTCGGACATGGTTTTGATATTTTTTCTATTTTCTTATTTTTTATATTATTTTCATGTCCGGCCGCAAGATCTTCCAGAGTTTGGTGAGCGAGCTGCAAACCGCCGTCGAGAGAGCTTTCGAGAAACACTCGAAGGACATGCTCAAGAAACAGGAAGCCCTTATACAGTACAAGAGAATGCAGTACGTCCGGTCTGGCAAGGTGCTCAGTCCGGAAGAGGACGCTAGACTCGTGGAGGAGGTCAAGAAAACTACACAGGTGACCATGCCAAAGGTGAATGTCGACATGGTGAAGGCTTTGGACTCGGACGCGTTGACCTCCAAACAGCTAGAACACCTCAAAAACATGGCCTCCTTCGTCAAAAGCCAGAGAGAATACGTCGAGCTGCTCGAAAGATATAACCCGGGAATCAGCATGAAGCAGACCGACAAGGTGCGCAAGACAGCCAGGAGAGTCGGACTGGAGGTTCCCGAGTGAGATCGCTAGTGTGTTTGTGTATCGTATATAGTATTCAACCAGCATGTTCAACGACCGTGCTGACCAGCTTGCCGTTCTTGACGGTGTGTTTGAACTGCTCTGGAACAGCAAGCTCCTTCATGTCGTCCGATTCCGGCACGTTGATGTTGAGCGAAGTGGTAGACGAGGTGAACACCTCGGTGTCTAGCGACGACGCGGACAGATACAGGGAGCCAGACTCAGACTGATCGATCGAGATCATCGGGACAGAGTCGGTGACTTGGACCTCGAAGCTCTTGGACTTGATGACGTCGATTCCGCTGATGGCTTTCTCGACAACGAGCCCAACCTTAGTACATTCGTTCAGCGTGATGGCGTTGACCTTGCCCTTGATCTGGATGATGCTGGAGGCACAGTTGGCGATGAAGATGCTCTGTTGCATCTCTCCGTCGATGGTAATGATTTCGGACTCGTTTTCGAAGTTGGCCACCACCCACTTGCTGTCCACAAGCTCCTTTTTCGGAGGCTTCTTCTCCTTAGGAGGCTTTTCGCTCAGACTAGCAGGCTTCTTTGGCGGGACAGGAACAGATTTTTTTGCCGGAACCGCCGACGAGGCGCGCAATTCTGGGTTCTTGTGGGTCATCTGGCTCTTGTCAACCTTCTTGAGGCCTGCGGTGATGTTCTCGCCCTTATTGAGCTCCGAGAAAACAGCGTTCATGCCCGTTGCCTGCTGCTCCTCCTTGGCCTCAAAGACGGAGGCCGGTGGAGGAGGAGGTGGGGGAGGAGGACCGCCTGCGCCAGAAACAGGTGTTGGAGGAGGCGACGGAACGGCAGGTGCTGCTGAAGACGAGGCCTTGGCCAGGTTCTCCTCAAACGAGCCTCCTTGGACGTTCCAGGATGGACCGGTGGTGTGGAACTCCTTGACGTAGTTTTTGAGGCCGTCGAATATTCTGATGAACGTGGTGGCCCATTTGACCTGGTTCGGATCGGACTCCTTGTACTCCTTCAGAATTCTATTGGACCAGAACTGGGCCGAGTCCTTGTAGTCTGGAATGTACGAGACAGGCGTGGTGACACAGATCCATCCCAGAGCAGGAATTCCCTCCGCCACAGCGTTGAGGTTGTTAAAAAACTTGGAGGTACGGTTGGCGTCCTTGACCTCCACCGCCTTGACAATGACCTCGTTGATAGGAGCAAGAGCCGACTGGAACACGGGGCTCGACGCGTCGACGGGCGCGGACTTGGAGGCGGCCTGGAGGAAATTGCGTTCCTCCAGCAGCGCTTTCTCGAACAGCTTGGCCTGCTCAGCGACCAAGGGGTCGATTTTATCTGAGATTTCCACAAACGGAGTCACGTACTCCTCCATGAATTTGTCGAACGCTTCAATGGCGGGCGCCTCTTTCTCAGGCTCCTCAATTGCCTTAGCGTCAGCTCCGGCCTGCGAGTCCGTGCCGTCTGCCACGGCTCCACCGGCCTGTCTGGTCTTAGAGCGGACGGCATTTTCTTGGAAGATCGTCACGTCTTCGAGTCTCGACGCCGCAGCCTCCAGCCTACAATGGTTAGTCTGTATGGCGGTTTTCACCTACCGTTTGAGCAATGTCACCAAGTTGTATCCGTGAATGGAAAACGATTCGTTCGACATCAAGAGGACAGGGAATTATAGTAGAGAAAAAAATAAAACAAAAACAGGACCAAATAAAGTGCAAAAATTAACTCCAATTCTTTTCCATGGCAAATAAGCGCACCGAAGAAGAATTGCCGCCACGGCCGGCGTTCCCGATCCCTGACTTCCCTGCCCCCACGCAGCCGGAGCCATACTACGCCTCCTACGAGACAGGCATACCTATTGCGATTGATCTGGGCCGATCGACAACGAGGATTGGGTTGGCCAAGGAAACAAGCCCGAACAACGTATTTCCGACGGTGATGTCGCGGTTCAAAGATCGCCGCGTCAACAGGATGATTACGCTGGTCGGAAACGACATGTACTTGGACAATGTGTCGAAATCCAATATCCGGTCTGCCTTTGACGGTCCAATGATTAATAACTGGGACGTGATCGAGAAAGTGCTAGACTACGGGTTTCTGCACTGCGGGGTGTCTTCGCAGGGCAGGGTGGACAACCCGATCGTCATGAACGAGGTTCTGGCTCCGCCGTTGCAGCAAAGAACAAACATGATGGAGCTGCTCTTTGAGGCGTACAACGTGCCGAAACTCGCGTTTGGAGCAGACTGTCTATTCAGCTACTATCAGAACGGAGGCTCCACAGGACTCGTCATTGGAACAGGGCACGATGCGACGCACCTGATCCCTGTTGTAGAGCACAAGCCGGTCCTGTCCATTGCCAAACGGCTAGACTGGGGCGGAAGACAAGCGACCAACTATTTGATGGACTTTATTGGGCTCAAGTACCCCTACTTCCCCACAAGACTCACCACTTTCCAGATGGAAAAAATCAAACAGGACTACTGCTATGTTTCCAAGAACTTCTCGGAGGAGATCACACACTATTTGGATCTGGATAATTTGGAGAAGAACGACATAGTGCTGGAGGTTCCGTTCACGGAAGTTGTCAAACACCAGAAAACCGAGGAGGAGCTGCAGCTGGAGGCCGAGAGGAAAAGAGAGCAGATCAAGCGGCTCCACGAGCAGGCTCGAGAGCGCCGATTGGAGAAGCTGGTGCAGAAAGAAGCAGATTTCAGCTATTTCACCGGTCTGAAAGAGCGCATGAAGAGCATGAACAAGCGCGAGCAAATAGATGTCTTGCGGAACGAGGGATTCCAAGACGAAGCAGAGATGAACAGGCATATAGCCAATCTTGAGAAGTCGCTGAAGAAGGCTAGAAACGAGGATATTGGCGAGAACACCAGCGAGGAGCCGCCTTCGTTCCCGCTGTTGGAGGTTCCCGACGAGCAGTTGAGCGACGAGCAGATGAAGGAGAAGCGCAAGCAGCGTTTGATGAAGGCCAACTACGATGCACGGATGCGCGCAAAGCAGGAGAAAGAGCTTGCCAAAAAGGAGGCCGAAGAGGCTGCTGAAAAAGATAGAAAATGGCGAGAGTCTGATTTGAGCGGCTGGATTGCTGACAGAAGAGAGAGGCTGGAGAAGCTGATTCAGCGCGTCAAGGAGCGCAAGCGGCTGAAGGAGGAGCTGACCGACAGAAAAAGCCGTGCTGCGCAGAACCGGATGAAAAACATAGCGTCTCTGGCAGACGAGGACAGGGGCGCCGGCAGACGCAAAAAGGCCGGCAATGTGACCATTGACAACGACCCGAACGACACGTTTGGCGCTAACGACGAGGACTGGGCCGTTTACCGGGCTATTGCTCGCGAGGAAGACGACGACGCAGAGGAGGAGGTGCAACAGGAGATCCTCAAGATTGAGGAGGAGCTGTTGGAGCACGATCCCAACTTCACAGTGGAGGACACGTTACAGAGACAGTTTGACTGGCGCAACTCGCTCATCCACCGGTTCTTGAGAGGACCGCGTAATTTCGATCCGGAAGACCAGCACCAGCAGCACCAGATCCACCTGAACGTGGAACGGATTCGGATCCCAGAGATACTGTTCCAACCTTCGATCGCGGGCGTCGACCAGGCGGGCATTGTGGAGCTAGCTGAAGACACGCTATTGAGAAGATTGCCCGGAGAGAAGGGCTTCTCTGGGGACGACGCTACACAGATGATGAAAGATGTGTTTATCACTGGGGGCCAGTCATTGTTCCAGAATTTCCAGGAACGGCTGGATTCCGATTTGCGCGCCGTGCTGCCTGTTGGCTCTCCTTTGAGAGTGAGGCTGGCACAGGATCCGCTGCTTGATGCCTGGCGCGGGATGGCCAAATGGTCGCTTACAGACGAGGCGAAACACAGCTACGTGTCCAGACAGGAGTACGCCGAGTACGGCGCAGAGTACATCAAGGAAAATAACATGGGCTGTGTTAGACTATAAAATACACAGAGCCTAATGCTTAGGCAGCTTTTTCTCGATATCGACGGTGTTCGGGTTGATACCCTTCTTTTTGAGATTATGCTTGATCGACTCCTTCATGATTTCCTTGTCTGCTTCGTCGTCGAAGGTGGCGAAGTCGCCGTGGATCAGCCCTTCCTTTTCTGCTTCTGCGTCTGCTGCCATCTCCTTCTCCTTGGCTCCCGCCTTGGACACATCGTGAGGACTGGAGGCCACCTTTTGGAACTTGGCGACGAAAAAGCCGTCCACGTTGTATGCGTGCGGGTAGTATCTTCTCGTGAGTGACACTTTTGGGTTGAACTGTTTGCCTCTGTAGGAGGTGAACCCTGGCTTTCCGATGGCGAGGCCGGTCTCCACGAGTTTCACGTTTGGTCTCTTGCGCAAAGCATAATCCACCACGGCCTCGTTCTCCTCGACGGCAACGGAACAGGTAGAATAGACGATCACGCCGCCGGTGGCAGAGTGCGCATCCACAGAGTCGATCGCAGAGAGCAGCAGCTGTTTCTGGAGATGAGGAATCTGGATGAAATCCTTCTCCGTTCTGTTGACCTTGACGTTCTGGTCCTTGGCAATGACTCCTGTTCCAGAGCATGGCGCATCCAAGAGTACTCTATCGAACCCACCAATGACCTTTGGAAACTCGCGCGCATCATAGTTGCAGACCACGGTGTTGGTGCAGCCCAGACGATGGATATTGGCGATCAGCGACTTGGTTCTTGCTTTGTTGGCGTCGTTCGCAAACACACATCCCGTGTTTTTCATCAGCGCAGAAATGTACGTCGTTTTCCCGCCGGGAGCCGCTGCCATGTCCAGAATCCGCTCATTTTCCTGCGGATCCAAAGCCATCACCGGCAGAAAAGAAGAAGCCGCCTGAAGGATGTAATGTCCTGCCAGGTACTCCGGGGTGGCTCCAATCGGCACCTGCGAGTCGAAGACCTGCAGTCCAACCTTGGTCCACGGTCCTATTGGTTGCAAATTCACTCCCTTGTTGACCAGGGTCTGGGCCAGCTCTCTGCGTCTCGTCACCAAGGTGTTGGTTCTGATTGTCACTGGTCTATGAATTTCGTTCGCCTCGAAGAACTCAATGGCCTCCGACGGAGAAAAGAGATTGAAAAGCTTCTCGGCCAAAAATGGTGTGTAGCCAAAATATTCACATATATCTTTGAGCAGCCGATCCACGTACTCCACACGGCTTCTGCCCTCCTCGGCGAGGTTCTTGAAATCCTCAAGCACCTTGACCACCTCGAGCATACGGGTTCTCACCATCGTGAGGTCAGGCCCTGACTGTTTCATTTCCTCCTCTTCCTCTTCTGTAGGCAGAACCTTGGCTCTTGGGTTTTTTGTGTTCTCCTCCAGAAGCTCGTCCTCGGCGTCCTGTTGCTCCATTAAAGCCTCCTCATCGAGCTTTCTGGAGTACTCTTCCATATTGGCGGCGTTGATTGCATCCATATCGTCGCTCTCGTCGTCGGAAAACATTGGTCTCTCTCTGCCTTCCTCGTCAGAATCAACAAACTCGTCGTCGAGCTCGGGTTCAGAGTCGTCTTCGAGCTGTTCAAACTCGTCAAGACCGGCCTCTGCCTCCTCATCATCGTCAAAAAGAGATTTTTTCGCTGCCGAAAGCTCCTCAAGGTCGACTTCTGGCAGATCCTCTGGATCCTTATATTCCTCTTCCTGTTTGGACTTCTTAGCTTTCTTCGCTGATTTTTTCACTTCCTTGGACTCTTTCTCTGCCTTACGCTTTGTGTCTTTTTTCTTCTCGGTTCTCTGGAATTCTTCCAGAGAGGGAGGCATTCCCTGCTTGTTTTTGGCCCTTCTTCCCATATCTGTGCCTATCTAGATAATTTTTTCAAATTTTTCACGTAAATTTTTTGGTCCCGTTTCCAGAGGTGGATCAAAAAAAAAATAAAAAAATTCAAGATCAAAAAAATAATACCTCTAGGATGCCCGAAATTGGTCAGAACAAGGCGATCTCGCCGAACGAGCACTGCCTCGTGACCATGCCCTCAGGAAGTCTTAGAATCATTCAGCTTAAGCCGGGAGGGACGATCAATCTGGGCAAGTTTGGCCATTTCGTGGTAGATGGAACATTTGGATACGCCTATGGACAGGCTTTCGAGATCGTTGCGGACAAAAGAGTGACACCGATCAAGCACTTGTTGGTAGATCTCGAAGACAGTAATGATGGAACACCAATTCCAGAGCTCAAAAGCTCTGCTACAAACAAAGATTTGGTTGATATTGGAGAGAAAATCCAGAGATTGACGAGACAGGATATTGAGAATATGAAGAAAGAGGGCGAGGGTAATCAGGTTGCGCGTCAGATCATCGAGAACATGATCCAGAGCCACGGGGCCTTTGAGAAAAAAACGGTCTTTTCTCAAGAGAAATATCTAACGAGAAAGCAAAAGAAGTTTGCCAGACGGTTCCAAATCGACAGTCTGAGCTCCTCGGCTTTACTTAATTACTACTACCGGGAAAAGGACCCACAAAGGGTGCTGGATTTGAGTGAAGAGACGTTGGGTTTGATGATGAGTCATGCAAACATCATGCCCGGTGGAAACTATTTAGCATTGGACGAGACGGGAGGATTGTTGATATATGCTCTTCTGGAAAGAATGCAAGGACTCGGCTCAATCATATGGTTGCATGAGAACGACCAGCCAAACACATGGATACTGAAACAGGCTGGATATACTGACGCAGAGATGGACAAAATGCTGCGTCCGATCAGCTTCCTGGAGTTTTTCGAGCCGGACGAAGACACAGGCAAGGTTTTCAAGTTCACAGACGAGGAAGTCGAGCAAATGCCGCCACAGCGCCGGAGCATGTATGCGAAACGACTGGCAAAGGCAGAGAAATTGAGGCAGACAGTGGAGATGGTGGCAAACCACGATCTTGATGCGGTAGTGAGTATTTCCACCTTGAACCCAGCAACCCTGATTCCTCGTGTTCTGGAAGCATTGGCTGGCTCGCGGCCAGTCGTTGCGTACCACCAATACAAGGAAATGCTGATTGAGCTCGACCATGTTCTGCAGAAAGATAAGCGAGTGATCATGACCAACATATCGGAAACCAAAGTCAGACGCTACCAGACGGTGCCTGGCAAATTGCACCCATTAATGACGTCCAGAGCTGGCGGAGGGTACGTGTTCCACGGCCTGAGAGTCCTGCCGGTGGAGGGAGTGCAGGCTGTGGGACGGGGCAAGAAGCGTAAGAGCGAGGAGCCGGTCGCCTCATAGAATTTCATCGCACATAGACTGTAGAATATTCCAGCTTGGTTTCCAACCAATGACGTTCCGTATATTTTTGCGCGTATCGTATCTGATACCGCAAGTCCAGCTTGGGAGAAGGCTTTTGGTGTGCTCTGCCTGCTCGCGGTAGCCAAGCTCAAAGACAAAACCCTCGATCGGTGCCCGGCACACGAGCTCGCACAGCGCACTGTAAAACTCGAGGTTACCAACAAGTGCGTCTTCGGGCTCATATTTAAGGACTGACTCTTCGACACCGCCGGCTCGGTTGAAATGTTCTCGAGGTATGTATGGAGGATTGGAAAGAAGCAGCGTGGCGCTCGTTTGTGGGAGCTGGTGCTTGAGTAAATCGCCGTGGTGAAACTCGACTTCGGCCTTGACCTTTGCAGAATTTAGCTGGAGATTTTCTTGGCAGAGAGCAAGTGCCTCTTTGCTGATATCCAGCGAGAGAACTTTTTTAACATTTGCGAGTGTCGCTATGCTTAGTCCAATGCAGCCAGAACCAGTGCAGTACTCTAGCACTTCGACGGGTCCGTTACGTTTTTTGATTACCTGCTTGAGCTCCTCGCACCACTCCTCGGTGTCGTTCCGCGGGATCAGGACTCCTGGCTTGCACTTTATTGTGAGATCGCCAAAAGGCTGGGAGCCGAGAATATATTGTAACGGGACCAAATTGGCTCTTTGCTCAACGGCCGTCTGCCACTGGGATCTGGGAAGCTCCTGCTGGATCCAGCGGAGTTCCTGCGCCGCCTGGCTAGCGGGAAATTTGGACTTGAGAACCTGCAACCATGACATGAATAAAATAAATCATTTTTTTTCGAAATTACCAAATATTTTTTCAAAATAATTTAGTTCATGTATTTCGTCTATATACATTACAGCCCCTTTCTCGAATAGTACATGTATGCTCTTTCGTGGGCTTCGTGACTGAATGGAGAGATAACCTCGGACTCGCCAGGTCTGGCAATTGGGTTTCTCATGTAAACCGCATGACATGTGCGGAATGAGATCTCGATGTGCTTAGGTAGCACGGCGAACGGAGCAATGAATTGACGCGGTCTCCAAGGCGTGAAGTATGGCTTTGAAGGGTCCTCGAGCCCCCACATTGATTTCTGCCACGGCAGGTCCATCTTGTATGCTCCTTTCTCCTGCACCTCCGTCCAGGAAGGAAGCTTAGGATGCTTGATGAGTCTGCTGACCCAGGTGGACACAATGGCATCTTCAGAAGGGGCTTGCTCCTTGTGGTCTTTTCTGACTTTCTCCAGGTAGCCGGACTTGAGCTCCGAAAGTGCCTGCTTCACTTTCTTGGTTTTGGTATCATCGTAAAATTTACCCTGCGGCTGGCCGTTCACGTATTTGGGCAAAATCTTGGAAATCTCCTCGTTCATCGCCTCTTCATCGCCCTCAAACAACGCCTTGTTCTTCTCCACCATCTGATATATGTTGAAGCATTTGCTTGCGAGAGCAGCGCCGAACTGCGGCTCGAACACACTGGCGCCCACCTCTCCCTCGACAGCCTTTGCCGTGTTCACGATATCGGCCAGAATCGTGCCTCTGGTAATGCTGTTCAGCATCTTGCCGAGCTCGTTGATCTTAGACTCCTGACGCGAGCCAAAACGGGCCACAGCATCGTCGAGCTCTGGAGGAGGCAGCTCTGGGTTGTAGAGACCGCCATACGTCTGTCTCATCTTCTTTTGCTTACTTCTCTGCTTCTGCCACACGTTGAGCGGGTCGGACCTGGCGCGGTTCACGAATTTCTGCCATTGGATCACCTGCTCTCTGTCCACCTTGTAAGCCTCTTTCAGGCTAGGCTTTTTCTCTCCCAGAGCCTGCAACACCCTGTCTGGCTCCACGCTGAACACGTCTCCAGGACTCAACGGGTACGAAGGGTGTTTGATGCAGACGCCATTGACCTTGACTTCGCCCGCGAGAATGAACTGTCTGGCCTGTCTGACCGAAGAGGCGAACATGGCACGGAAAACGGCCACATCGAGCCGCTTTTCTAGCACTGCAAACGTCTGCAGCACCATCGGGGTCTCGTCGTTGGCCTTTCCGCTGAGCGACGCATCCATCTGGGCCACACCGTCCAGTTTTTTCTGGAACAGCTTGAGCCATCTGCCCTCAGGAATGTGCTCTCCGTGGTATCCTCTTGTTTTCTGTTTCGAGTTCCATTTCTGCATGAACATGGACATCACCTTGAACATCGGCGCCCGGTCCTTGTAGAAATTGAACAGGTTGTGCTTGTTCAGCGCCATGCGCACCCGTCCCCGCGTTAGGGAGAACAGGTTTGTGGCTTTTCTAGGCATGGTGGATGGAAAAGGATTTTTTCGAAAATTTTGCAGATGTAGGCCAAGGGCCGTCGGCCAGCGTCGATCGGCGCGTTTTTCATCACAGTCCCCAAAACGGCAAGACGTAAATAGCGGGATATTACACATAGTCCTGACGCACCAAAGTTGGCTCCTCAAACTTCCATGGCTCCCAGACACGCCAGACCCCGCGAAATAACCAGCCAGCCGGCCTACAAGTTCCCCACTCTCTACGCTGCTCCGTACGAGTGCATGTTCCCTGTGGTGGCCACCAAGCCGGAACTGCTGTCCAAAGACGGCATCGACTTCACTGCCAGCGTGCGCTTTGAGCCTAACAACGTCCAAAAATACTCACAGCCTATCAACATCAAGTACACTGTATCTTCCAGCGCTCAGAAAGCCAGCCGCGATCCCCTGAAACGGGTGTTTGCTCATTACGAGGAAGACAGAGTCAGCGGACTGGCTTTTGGTGTTTCCACCATCACGTGCGGCCCAGACGGCAGGGTCAGCGTCGAGCGGTCCGCAGCAATATTCCCAGATACCCCTGTTGGCTCGAAACGGTCGCTGGACAGCCTGGACGTGTCGTTTGGCACGACCACTCCGTCGCCGGTGGTGGTGCAACGGCTGGGCTCTCTCAAGAAACGCAGACACGACAGGCTCGACAACTCGATGACGATCTCCCAGCGGGCCATCTTGCGCATGGTGGACGACTCGCTCGTCTCCAGCGACACGGAGCTGTACACGTCGATACTGCAGGAGGTGCGGCCGCAGACGTCCAACGTGCGAGCCTCTCGAACGGAGAACGAGGCCGCGAAGGAAACCGTCAGCATCGACGCCGAAGACCTCAAACTGGCGCTTTCGGAGAGAGCGCTGACTCCGCTAAATTTGGGAGTTTTCAGGGACGACTAGCCGCGAGTGTTCGATATCCAATATATTAGCGTGGTGATTATATACAGTAGCCTGCGTAGCTTAATTTGACGTGGAAACAGTTCTGGAAGCGGCCTTTTCGATCGTGAAGCCCGGGTCCGATTTCCTCTGCTCTCTCATCTCGTCCTTGGTGAGCATCTCGTCGGCAAGCTCCACCTTCACCAGCTCCTTGACCGTGGCTATCATACCGGCCTGCTCCGGACATATTCTGTGGAAAACGGTCTGGTGTCTGCGACGGAGACCAAGTCTGAGCAGCGTCTCCTTCTTTTTTTGGGGCAGCGCGATCGCGGACCGCAACTGCGTCACTTTGAAGTACTTGGGCGTGGCCATTTCGATGAGAATATTTTTTTCCGTGTTAATTTTACATACTTTGCACTGCCGGATAAATGCAGGTCGTCGCGGCAGCGCTCCTGTGCTGTCGGCTACGGGGCGGGTTTGTGTGGGCTCGTCTGTGGGCTCGCCTGCTGCTGCGCTCAGCTCGGTTTGCACGGCCTGTGTTTTGCGGAGATCGTCCTTGAGCGCAGGAAGAGCGACGTTACGTCACAGCACGCCGTCGTGGGGGACGAAGAAAAATATCGCGTCGATTGCATTTGCGCGAGTCACGTTGGGGGCACGCGGCGACCGCGTGGTGACGCTGGACAGCCAGCGGATTTGCGCCAGGGAGGGCGCGACGGGGTCCTGGCGACTGGCATCGGCGGTACGAGTGGCCTGTGTGCGGCCACCGGGGCCACGTATACAGCCTTGCCGAGGATAGATAAAAATAACCTGTGCTGCTGTAGCACGGAACGTTTTTGCGGGGCTCCTAATTTTTTTAACTATTTCTCACCTGTTTTGTTCAAACCAGCTATCAGAGCCGCTTTCGCCGTGAAGTTTAAAGACCCCTGCCAAGGTCGTTTGCTTAGTCATTGCTAGCCATGCTTGGGCTGTTCAAGAATATAGTCAAGAAGAGCCGGCCGACAGGCCCCGAAGCCGGGCCCGCAGACCCAAACAACACGGACTCGGGCCCTCCTCCCGCGATCCCTACCGAATTTGCCCAATTCTACTCAGAACTGTCGCCCAGATACACATTGCTGGAGAAAATCGGCGAGGGAGCGTTTTCTGTGGTGGTGAAGGCGGTCGACACCGAGACACAGGACTTTGTAGCCATCAAGATCATCGACAAAACAAACATGAAACCCGAACAGATCAACTCTGTGCTTAAAGAAATCAGCATCATGTCTAAGCTGGACCACAAGAACATCACCAAGCTGTACAGCTACCAAAACTCCTACAGCTCCAGATACTGCTTTCTATTCCTTGAATATGTGAGCGGCGGCGAGATTTTCAACCAGATTATCAAGTACACGTATTTCAGCGAGGACTTGTCGCGCCACGTGATCAGACAGGTCGCCAGCGCTGTCAAGTACCTGCACTCGCAGGGCATTGTGCATCGCGACATCAAGCCCGAAAACTTGCTGTTTGTTCCGACAGAGGTGTTTCCTCGCTCCAAACAGGAGCAGAACAAGGCCAGACGGCGTTCGGACGATAACAACAAGCTGGACGAGGGCAAATTCATCCCGGAGTACGGCTCTGCGGGCATCGGAGTCGTCAAACTCGCGGACTTTGGGCTTTCCACCGTCCTGTACAACGAAAGCATGCAGGCTAAGACGCCCTGCGGAACCGTTGGATACACCTCTCCCGAACAGCACATGAACCTCGGGTACACGAAAAAGGTGGATATGTGGGCCATTGGCTGTGTTTTGTACACTCTGGTGGTCGGGTTCCCCCCTTTCTACTCTGCTACGCAGGATTCGAAGGATATCAGCACCAAGGTGTCCAGAGGCGACTACAAGTTTTTGAGTCCGTGGTTCGACGAGGTTTCGGACGACTGCAAACGGTTGATTGCCAATCTTCTGATAGTGGATCCTGATGCGCGGTACTCGATTGACCAGTTGCTCAGAGATCCGTGGATGGTGAGCGGATACGAGGACCAAGCTGCAACCATCCACAGCAACGACACCGTTCCCCAGACAACGTTCGACGAGGCGCTGTACAAGAAGCTGAACCGCACGGCCGACAACCTGGCCGACGGTCTTTTGGCTCCGCGCGCGGAAGCCATCCGACTCGTCTTCGACACGGCCAGCGGTGTGCAAAGAGACGCTACGCCGCAGCAGGCCGCGCCAAAAGCAGCGAATCTCAGTGTTCTTGAGGAGAACGAGCCCATAGAGATCCTTGCGTTCCGCAGACGGCCTGACTCGGACTCCTCGCTTTCGCCTGAAAACTCTGCCTCGCAACTTAGCGACGAGTTCGACGAGGATTCGGACTTCGAAGAAACAGAGCTGACGCCGAAGCCGTACGCCAAGTACTCGAGGTCTCCGTCGTACAGAGAACGCAGGACATCGCCGCCTAAGGACGACCCTCTGTCGGGACTCGACGCTGAGCGTTCTGGAGGAACCTCGACAGAAACAACCAGCATGACCGCGAACGAAGAGTCGTCGATTTTTACGTCTGAAATAGAAGACTTCTCCACGGGAGCCAAGCGCAAGTCGTCCGTCTGCTTCCAGATCAAGTCGTGCAAAACAGGCAGCGGCGGGTCGACGAGTTCCTCGCTCGCGAACGCAGCAAGCTCGCGGTCCTCGTCACTGACGAAAAGTGTTTCCGAGTCGCACAAAATATATCCACGCACCCCTCAGACGACGCAGTTTGTCGAGCTCGATGACCAAGACGATGAACTCCGGGAGGGGCTGGAAAACATCACAGTGGACGACACCACGCCCGTGGAAAACAAACGGCCTGCGCCGGCAAAGAAATACACCGTCCAGAGCGAGCCGTCGCCGGTGTTCGACGCGACGCTAAGCAACACGTTCGACCTCAAACTAACACACTCCAAAATCCTCGAGCGCCGCAAAATCAACGGGTCCCTAAAAACAGGACCAGAGCTATAGCACCTATCGAGCAGTACGATCCTTCACGAGCTATTATATAACATTGTAGACATGCATAATTATACGTGTGCTAGTAATGGTTCAGCCGCCACAAGCGCACCTTGCCGGCCTCGTTGCCCGTCGCGAGCAGCTCGTTGTTCGGGCTGAAACACACGCTCGTCACACGGCCCAGCGGCGTGCCGCTCGTCGGCCAGTTCGAAAACACCCGGCACGTCGGCAGGTGCACCAGCCGCAGCGCGTCTCTCTTGTCACGTGACGCAACGCACATGACCTGTCCGTCGCTGGTGAAGTCGATGCTCGAGATCGTCGTGACGAGGTTCTCGACGGTGCCGGCCGGCCGGTGCGAGCCCTTGAGGCGGTCGTACACGTTGACGATGCCGACGTTGTTGCCGACGGCCAGCCACCTGCTGTTGCTGCCGCCAAACTTGATTCTGGTGACGCCGGTTCCGGAGTCGTCTGTCCATCTGTCGAGCGTCGTTCCGGCGTCGACGTCGAACTCCCATACCTCGCCGGCCCTGTTGACGGCGGCGAGCGTTGTGTGTGCGTCTTTGGCGGTCGTTTGCGAGAAATCAAAGTCCACCAGCGTGCCCTCTATCTTGAATCCCTTGAGCCAGACACCGGTCTTTGGCGAGATGATATTGATCCAGCCGGAGTTTCCCATGAGACCGAGGTACTTGCCGTTTTTGCTGATGCGGAAATGTTCAAACGAGCGCTGTGTTTTTTCGTGGCCGTACATTCTGCTGATTTTCTCGATCGAGCCACCAAGCACGTCCCATTTGTGCATGTATCGCCGTCTTCCAGCGGCGAAAATGTCGTCGCCGTTGAACGCCGCCGTCTGGATAGGCGAGTTGCGCAGATGCAACGACGTCACGAGGTTGTTGATTTTCCCGTCGATGTGGTAGATTCTGAGCGTACGGTCGTAGCCTCCGGTCATCAGAAGCGGCTGCGACTCGTGGAAACAGAGTGTCTGGACGGCCGACCTTGATATTTTCTTGATGTTGGCGTCTGTCAGCCGCGAGATGTCGATCTTGCCCGCCGGCAAGAACCGTGTGTCCTGGCTTCTTACGTTATGGGTCTGGTTGCTTTTCAGGAACTCCAGCAGCGGGTTCGTCGATGTGAGAACGTCTGTCGACGCGTGCCCGGCCTCGGTGTCCTGCTCGTGCTCGTCCTCGGAGTCTCCTTCGATTTGGTCGGCCCAAACAGGACGGGGATGAATTCTCTCGAACTGCTCCCGCAGCCGGTGGATATACTGCTTGCCTCTGATCTTGTCGTCCTGGGCGGTTCTGCGCAGCTTGCGCAACCTGTCAGCGCCCAGAAGAGACACACTGACTTTTTCGTCGTCGCTGTCCTGCCACGCCGCCTCGTCGTCGTCGCTGTACTCGCTCATGGAGTCGGAGGCTGGCTCGTTGTCGGAGTCTGTGTCCATTCTGTCGTCGTCGCTCTCGTCGACGAAGTAGAGGTCCTCGTCTGCCATGTTCTCCACCTCGTCACTCGCGGCATCGGACTCGGACTCGGAAAGGGCGTCTCTGTTTTTCAGCTGGTCCAGATGCTCGTCCTCACTGCTATCGTCGTAGGTGAACAGATCCTTCTCCTCCTGTTGCTCAAAATCAAACAGTTTGTCGACATGCTTCAGATTCTCGCTGAATCCCTCGCTGTCACCAAACACGAGCTTCTCCAGGTACCGCTCTTCCTCGTCGGGCGGAGGTATTTCAACAGACATGGTTCTATAATTTTTGCTAATTTTTTTTCTAAATTTTTTGTAGTGCGTAATTCAAACATTTTCGCTAATTAAAACATGCGTTCTTCTTTGGCAAGATTCAAGTACGTATTTCTGGCCCCTATCCATACTAACGTACAGCCACGGCTCGTCATACTACAACAAATACACATACCAGATGTCGCCTGCCATGCTGCGGGCCAGACAGCCATACTTTTGGAAAAATCTGGCTCTGTTCGGGCTGCTTGCTGGCATCTCTGGCGGAGTCTACCTGTACACATACTCGTTCCTGATGAAGGACGACTTTGAGGACATCCCTATTCCGCCAATCAGTGACGAGCAGCTTGCAGAGCTGAAAAAGGAGTATGAGGCCACCCGCAAGAAGTAGCCTCAAAGCGCACCGTTTAACTGTACATACACTATTTAATCTCAAGTACGCTCTATCTGTCACCATGCCTGCCCTTTGCCGCCAGTTTCCGCCTGTCGGACTCGATCTGGCGCCGGATCTTGTCGCTATTCTTCTCTGTGAAACTGATCACGTTCGACAGGTTGTTGTTCCCGACTGCGTAATACGTGGCACGCGAGTTCTGCAGAACGATGTCCTTGTGGTCGAGTTCGCCGGAGCTGATGAGTCTTTTGTTTTCAGCGTAGAACTTCGCCATGTCGAGCTCCACCATCTTGGGCGAGTCTGCTTCGTCAGAAGCCCTGGACTCTGTCTCTTGTGCGTCTCCGTCCTCGCTATGTTCCCGCGGCTCTTGGGCAACTCGCAGTTGGTCCACATCAACGCCGTTTTCCGCCACCTCAAGCTTGGCGCTCTGCTTGATCCCCAGCACCTTGCCAAGATCCAGCTTGGCCAGCGACGACTTCTGCGCTGACGGCTTCTGGACCCGTCCAGAGTTCACTTTTTCGCCTGTGTGTGGCTTTTTCTCGTTCCGATCGCTCAAGTCCTCGTCTGATTCATAGCCCTGCAATAACCCCATAGATCAAAAAAAATCCTAAAAATTATTTCCATTATGTCTTGTCAGATCTGCAACGAGGCCCCGTCCAAATATAAATGCCCCCGCTGCGGACTCAAATAGTAAGTGCAAAATCTCTTCTTCTCTAACACACAGCTGCTCGCTGAAATGCTACAAGTCCGAGAAGCATCAGGATCCAGAGACACCAGCATCGCCCCAGCAAAAGCCCGCAAAGCCACTGCCAAAGGTGGACGATCCGGAGCTTCAAACGCTGCTAAACTCGCCAGAGTTCGTGCAGTATCTGAAAGAGCCCGTGATACAGCTCAACATACGAATCATCAACGAGATCCTCAGCGATGTGTCGATAACACAGGAATACAATACAGAGGGACGGACAGAGGTAGCCATACGCAAGATCAGCAATCTACGCTATAAAGGGCTTGAACAGAATGCCGCGTTCGACGAGTTTTGCAACCTGGTGCTGAAGTTGCTTGAGAACGAGAACGAAAATCCTGCACTGTAATCAAACAATCAGCTTGCCTTTGAATTTGTTCTTCGGAACACCCTTGACCCCCGTCAGCTTGATGTGGAACAGCTTGCCGCCTTCATCCAGGGGAACAGATCTCAGCTTGTCAGGGTTGTCTAGGTTGAGGTCTGCGGTGGTGACGAACATCTCGTTGAGGTCTGGACCGCCCAGCGTGACACAGCTGACTCTCTGCGCAGGGAAAGTCCATCTGTGGACAATGTCTCCGTCAGGATTGACCTTGATCACGCTGGCCCCGCCCCATAATGCAACATACAGGTTTCCCGAGGCGTCGATGCACGAGCCGTCGGGTCCCAGCTCGCCCATGATGCCGATCTGCGATCTGATCTTGGAAACAGGGAGAAACAGAGTTTCGGTGCTCAAATCAGGCAGTCCGGTGCTCTTGTAGAATTTGTACTTGTAAATGCCCTTTTCAGTGTCTGTCCAGTACATGATGTCGTCATGCCAGTTCAACCCGTTCGGACACGTGACATGGTCCTTGATGATCTTTGGGTGTTCCCAGTCGTCCTTCGGAAACTTGTAGAAGGTAGCCTGGTTCGGCAGTTCTTTGACAAAGTCGCAGAATGTGCCGATCCAGAAGTTGCCCTCCGAGTCAATGGCGCCCTCGTTCGAGCGCATCGGCACCGCCTTCTTGAAGTGCTCCTTCTCCGGGTACTTGGCCATGTGTTTGAACTGTCTGGTCTTCAGGTTGTACTGGCCAATACCGTCTTCTACACCACAGACGTAGATGTCCGGGTCTTCGGTAAAGCCGACAACACCCACCGAGGCGCTCACTTTGTACTCCTCCACCTTGTCTGGGTTGTCCAGGAAGGCTCTGTGGATTTTGCCCTCGATGATGTCCACCCAGCTCAGAGAGTTGTTATCCGGGTTGTAGGAGACTCCTTCTGCTAGTCTGCCTTGGAAGTTGGTAAATTGCTGCTGTTAGCGCTTCCGAGCAGCCAATTACGTACCTGAGTCACATTCGTGGTCATCTTGAAAAGAAGAGATAAAAATTTATTGGTAGAAATCGTTGTAGAGCAAACAAACACACGCTAAACGTCTGGGGAAGCAAGCGTATAAACAAAACAATAATTTTATTATTTTTGGTGTATATTTTCCATGTTCCGATATCCTCCAGAAATTACCTCAGTGCTGGCGCCGTTGGTGGTCGTGCAGGGTTTAGGGGAGGAGGGCACTCTGTTCAAACAGGCCAGCGTCCCGGAGTTCCCCGAAGACAAGCAGATACGGCTGCATGACGCAGACTCTCCAGATAGTCCGCTGAGCAGGCTGTTCTCCGATCCCGACACTGTTGAGCGCAGATTGCCGAGCGTGCAGGTTGCTTCCGGGCTGGAACTGGCGCACGTGCTAAAAGACCACTCTCTCGAGTCCGAGTACTGGTACAAAGACTATGAGAAAAAGCATCTGTCGTTCAGGTTTAAATTCGCGGGATCGACGTTCCGGCTGCCCAAACACGCCGAACGCGCCGACGACGACCGCAGCGTCTCGTCCGACGGGTCTGCGAGCGCGTCGCCGATCTCGCCAATCAACCCAGACTCGCCTTGCTACAGATCAATTCTGCCCCTGGAATGGATCCAGAAATATAGAGAGCTGCTGCCGTCTGTATTTATTGCCGTGCACGAGCTGGACGCCGGGTCGGACGAAAACGACAAGACGCTGGCATTGGAGCTCAATGATACCCGTGAGAAGCTGGCCAAGCACGGAATCAAGTTTGTCTGTGTGCTGCTCTGCTCGTCTCCAAGCACCCCGGAGCTGGAGGAAAGAGTGGCCACTCTGCGCAGAACAACGAGCCTGCCGTCGAAAACGGGCATTCTCGTGCTCCCGGCGGGCAGCCAGAAGGAGCTGGAGTCATTTGCTGGCGTACTGATGGCGCTGATCCGGCCCTGGTGCACCGAATACTACGCTGTGCGGGAAAAAAAGATCAAGAGACAGCAGCTTATGGACGCCTCGTACAGCGAAAAATTCTGGCTTGCGAGACAGGCACTGAAGAGTGCAGTTCTAGGCGAGCTGAAAGGCGTCACCGAACACAGCACGAAGCTGATGGAGTACTCGTACGAGAAGCTCATTGACGTGATCCGCAGCATAAGTCGTGAAACTCAGCCCGAAAGATGGCACGAATGTCGTTTGTTGCTGGATTTTGCCGGCATACACATCACACGCGGGTACCTTGTGCTGGGGAATGCCAACATGGCATACAAGAAGTTCGACATCCATCTGCAGAACATTCTGTCCGTGCTGCCGTCTCGCTCTTTGAAATCGTACCCTGTGATTTCGTGGCTCGCTCTGCAGCTGACCTGGCTCGCGCAACTGGTCGAGAAGTGTCCCGAATCGATTGTTTCCGTTGAGCGGCCTTTCCAGCAGCACTCATCGTCCAAATGGTTTGGCACTTCCGTCGACGGGCTGCCCATGCCGCACGGAGGATACATTTACTTGCAGGCGTGCTCTTTGGTCCACAGACGTGAGATTCAGGCGGCCAGCGGCGCCGACGTCTACGACACGTACATGGCGCTGAGTCCAGACGAGGAAAAGCAGTTTGATTACCACGGGACGCGCGTCCGGCTGCTGTCGCGCGCACTGGAGTTGTTCACGAGAGCGAAAAAGACAAAATTCAACAGAAGCGAGTCGTACGTCTACTTCCAGCTGGGAGAGGAGTACTTTGGTATGGAGAACTACTCGATGGCGGCAAACAACTTCCTAGTGGCTCTTTCTGCGTTTAAGAACGAAAAATGGAACCAGATCGCGGCCATGATTTTGTTTCGGCTGTTCCAATGCTCTGTGAAGCTGGAAAATTATAAGGACGCACAAATTCGCCGGCTGCAGCTTTGCACGCTGGAAGACCGGTTTGTGGCGCGGTACCAAGACGACCTCGGGCAGGAAATGCCGGTCGACGAGCCTGTTGTGCTGAAGGAACCGCTATTCGATGGTCATCTGGTTTTCAAACACCCGTCCGTCTCGCTGCACGAAAAAGTGCACTTTCAGCTGTATCTGCGCCCGCTGGTGAACAGCCTGATGGCAGAGCTTGTTGCCGAGCGCGTGGAGGTCGTCTTTGCTGGCGGGGAGTTCCGTGTTGTCGTTGAGAACGAGACCGGGCCGAACACACCGCTCTGTATAGTAACGGACGGCCGTGCAAATCTCGACTTTTCACGCAAGCAGGCCAAAGTGCTGCAATTTGAGCTGCAACCAGACAAAATCGGCAAGTTCACGGTTGACAGTGTGCGCCTGGTGCTGCGTTCTGGTTCGCTTTCGTTTGAGAACCAGCTGGTGTCGGTGTGCCGGTCGCCAGACCGGCTAAAATGGTACAGGCCGTCTAGCTCGAAATTCAACAAGCCGTTCGAGTGCGAAATCGTCAACGGGGCGCAGAACGGGTTCGAGGTGATCCCGAAACCGCCCGAGGTCGATTTCCGCGTCAGCCACGCCAGCATCGCATATAAGGGAGAAAAGGTGCCGATCACAGTGCACATCGGCAACCAGGACGAAAACAGCTTTGGTCTGCGACTCCACGCCACAGGCAAACTGGCCACGACGTCTCTGAAGGTCACGTGGGCCGACGAAGCAGACCACAGCGCCAGCTACCGTGTGTCTGACGCTCTTAGACCACATGACTCCGCAGACGTCGAGCTGTTCGCGCATCTTCCGCTGGCAGAGACGGACGGCGACACGGTGAGAATCGACCTCCAGGTGGACTATCTCATCGACAACAACGACAACACTGTGGTGCGCAAGACCAAGCCTGTGCAGATCCCGGTCGTCGACCTGTTCAAGACCAGCTTCAGGCTCTATCCGTCGCTGTCGTCGCATATTCCGTCACTCTTCGATGTGAGCGCGGCGGAAATCGTTGCTGTGCCGTCGCACGACCGCTGTTGGCGCTCGAAGCTGGCTATTGAAAACGTCTCTGCCGAGGACGTGGCCATTTCGAACGTTTCCGTGGAGATCAATAAAACAACGCCGGAAACGGTCGTGGAGACGACTCTGACGGACTTCCCGGTGTCGCAGCTGGGCGCAAAAAGCACCGGCGACGGCTGGTTCGAGTTCCGGTGCCGGTGCGCGGACGGCGTATTCAAGCGGTCGATGGGGCTCGAGCTGTACCTGTCCTTTGAGTACGTTTTGCAGGGGCGGCCGCAAAGCCTGACAAACCGGTACAGAGCCCTCCTTTGGAAGGGCACGCTGCCGCACATGGACCCGCGCACGCTGGTCAGCGTCGACTACGCGGCAGACGCGCTGCACGTGACGTACGTTATTGAAAACCCGACGTCGCGCATTTTCCAGTTCAGCACGACGCTGTCGACGAGCGAGAACTTCAAAATCAGAAACTACAGAAACCAGCACAACTTCTCGGTGCTGCCGTTCATGAAGCAGGTCCTGCGGCTGGAGTACGAGCAGCTGGCCGGCGAGGAGTGGACCAAACTGCCAGAGTTCCGCATCTACGACCTCAACTACAAGATCTACCTAAACGCGCAGCCAACGAGCGACCGGTTGCAGTCGCGCACCGACGGTGTGTACGTGCGCAAGTAGTAGATGGAAGATAGACTCGCAAATCCATTAAGTACCTAGTTGATCTTCAACAGCTCGACATCGAAGATGAGAGTAGCATTGGGAGGAATCAGGCCGGGGAAGCCTCTGGAGCCGTAGGCCAATGGGCCCGGGATCGTCAAAATGGCCTTCTCGCCCAGTGACAGCTTGGAAAATCCTTGTTCCCAGCCCGCAATCACCATGCCCTGGCCTATTCTAAACTGGAAAGGCTTGTTTCTGTCTCTCGAGGAGTCGAACTTCTTGCCGTTCTCCAGCGTGCCCGTGTAGTGCACAGTCACCAGGTCACCTGGCTGTGGGTACGTCTTGCCGTCTCCTGGGGCAATGGTTTGGATTTTCAACTCTGACATGTCTAGTGGCAAACGATATAAAATATGTTAATGTACAAATTTTCGTGCATTATTTTTTCCGCGCCGATCGTCTCACCGACGGCGTCGATGGAACCGACGACGCCCCGGCACGAGCCCTGCCGCGCCCGCCCGGCGTCGCCTTGACAGGCGTGTCCTTGGGCTTGAAGTTGCGCGGCACGCTCTTCGAAACCGACGTCTTGCGCTGCTTCCGCATCGCTGGCGTCGCATGCATGGCCCGTTTCGCAGGCACCTTCTCGCCGCCCGTCTCCTCCTTCTCCTCGTCGTCCTCGTCCATTTCGTCGTCCTCGCCGCTCTCTTCGTCGTCCACGTCGTCCTGTGCCTCGGTCTCCGCGTTTTCCTCCGCCTTCTCGTCCGCCTCCGCGTCATTAACTGCCTCCTGCTCCATCTCCTTCTTCAAGTTCCGTCTCGTCGTGCGCGTGCGCGGCTTCTTCTCCTCCCGCACACTCTTGCGACGTGTCTGCGTGCCCCCTTTCTCCTCCTCGTCGCTGCTGCTTTGTGCACCCGCCGCATCCTCCGTCTCGGCGGTCTCCTCCTTCAGCTTCACCCGCTTTTTGCGCCCGCTCCGCGGTGCCTTCTCCTTCTCCTCGCTCTCGCTCTCCTCGTCTGTCCGCAGCTTGCGCGAAATCCGTCTCTTTGGCGTCTTTTCGGACTCACCCTCCTCCTGCTTCTCCTTTTCGTCGTCGCTCGCCTCGGCCGGCTCCACCGCCACACGACGCCGCGTTCTCACGCCCTCCTTCGCTTCAGCCTCTTCCTCGGGCTCTACTGGCGTCTCTGTCTTGTTGCGCCGCGAGCGCCGGCGAGTAACTGGTGTCCCAGGCGTCTCCTTGCCACTCTCTGGTTCCTCGCTCTTTACTTGCACCTCCTTCGCCTTCGTCTCGTCCTTGGACTTCCGTCTGGTACGCGACGCCAGCGAATCTCCGCGCTTTTCTTCCTCGGCTGCCTCCTCGTCGGTCTCGTTCTCGTCCAGCTTCTCTAGTCCCTTTAAATTATAGTACTTGTTTAGCTGCCGCGTCACATCGCTCTTGGTGACGCTGAATTGGGGGAACTTCTCACCCAAACGCTGGATGATCGTCGTATAGCTCGCCTCCCGCTCCTCGCCGAGCGGCTTGTGGTAACATATGAGATTTAGCAGATACAGTGTCTGCTCGCGCGTCCACTCCATCGTGCACAAAAACACAAGCCGTTCTTTTTTTCACCACCTGCCATTTTACGGTGCTAGGAGGGGGTCTCCGGCGGGAGTAGGTTTCTGCCCTAGCAACGAGGTCTGCTATATGTCGCGCATGCAAAGCTGTCGCGTCCGTCTCCTGTATTCTCAGCCCACCGTCCGGTCCAAGTAATCCGTGATATTCTCCAGCATCTCCTTCTTGGTCTTCGCTTTCGGAATTAGGTTCGCCTTCGAGTTTACGTACACCTTCAGCTGGTCCGAGGTGAAATCATTCAGCTGTCCCAGCTTGTAGGCTTTCAGCACGATGTCGTCGGTCAGCAACATAGCCCTCTTGTCCTCACGAGTCGGCTGGACGTTCAGCTGCTGGAAGTTGTCCACTCTGTTCAGCTCTGCACGCACTGCGGCCACTAGGAGGCTCAGTTTCTTGGAGTTTCCCAGCCGGTTGCGCAGCTCCATGCACTTTTTCTTCAGCTGGTCCTGCCCATCGATCATCTGCTGTTTCTGTATTTCCAGCGGGACCTGCGGGTCGTAGTCGACTTCACGCTGCAACAGATGGTCCTCTAACACTTTGAAGTACCACTCGATCTGCGGGTTTGGTAACGGCCTGAATATATCCACAATCTCTGTAACCAAGTCCTCGATCTGATTGGGAAAGATTGGCGCGCTCGGCTCCATCTGCAACAGATAGCCCGGCAGGCAGCGCACGTCGTCCTTGAACGGGAGTGGGATGAGCGCAAGGCCGTCAGGATACGGCTCGATGCTCGTGGTGTACCCGAGCGAGGCAGCGGTGGGGACCAGGTAGTACGCTGTGGGGGCCTGGTTTTTGCGCGTGGACCCCCACGCAAGCGCCATTTTGCGTTTTGCCGTGAGCGACTGGTACAGTGCCGAGAAAGATCGGCGCGAGTGCGTGTACTGCTCCAAGTCGCTCGGAGTGACCAGCGCAGGCGTGCCCACGGAATAGTGGTGGACAAAGTACTCGATCTTGCGGAACCCAACAATCTGGAGCACAGGTTTGTTGTCGTTGTCGAACGGCTTGGCTATGAGGTCTCTGTCCAGTGTAGCGTGCTGGTTCTCAAAGCCAATGGTCGATACCACGTTCTCGTCGTTGACCTTGGCGCCCGTGGTGGTGTCGAGCTTTACCGACTGCGACTCCACGTACCTGTATGTGCCATTGTCGTCGAAGAAACGGTAAGGGCTCTGCAACCGGGGCTCTTTGAATAGCGGACATCCCTGAACAGAAATCTTGATGTCTCGCAGCGCCAGAGTGCATTTAAAGGAGGTCCGTCTGAGTTCCTTGGTTCGCAGAATTTTGTCTTCGATCTGATCCATGTCCAGCTTTTCCACAGCAGGCCGGAACCGGTCAAGAGTCTCGAAGATAGTCTGATACTCTGACAGATCGAAGTCGGGCTTGTTGGCGAGCAGAAAAGGCGTGATGTTGATTTTTTCCAGGCTGAGGTCGTTGAGGATGTTCCAGAGGGTGATTTTGCGCGAGGTGTTGCCGTTAAAGGGTCGATCGCAGTCTGAGAACAGGAAGACGCGACGGACCGTGTACGGTTTGGTAAAGCGTGGGGGAGCCACAAAGTTGTCGCGCGCGACCTGCAGCATGCGGGCAAGTTGCTCCCCATAATTGATTTCCGGGTTTTCCTCGAGCACAGCCACAGAGTCCCCATCGAACTGCTCTACCGTCTGCAATTGGTCGATGCTGATGTCCTGCAGCTCGAAGACGGGCAGCACGCCGTCGACCGACGCGTCCTTTTTGATGCAGTTGAAGAGAAAGCACCCCAGCCCCGTGTTGGGCTGGCTCTTGACCAGGTCTCTGATCAGCCCGCCCACACAGGACATGATCCTGGGCACATGGCTGCGTAGCGTGGGCGTCAGGTGCAGGGCAAAAATAATGCCCTGGTGCAAATCCTTCTCGTCGAAATCAGAGCTCATGGCAGAAACTGGCTCCTCGTATAAATTATTTTTTTTCGTTCCATTTTTTTTATTTATTGGTTATCATGGGTAAACTCTTAGACCTTGTGCTCCACCCGACCGAGCTGAAGGCCGTCGTGCAATTGTAAGATCCTCCCGGTTGCCCGTCCACTAACTAGTATAGCAAGTTTTTCAGACACGTGGAAAACCCACTGGACACCAAGTCGCAGTCTCCGTCCGAAGCGATGTGCTACAAGATGCTGGCGCACTCTTCGCGTTCTTTTGTCGCCGTGATTATGGAACTGAACCCTGAGCTGCGCAATGTCATCATGCTGTTCTACCTGGTTCTCCGAGCGCTCGATACGGTCGAGGATGACATGACACTCGACCCAGAGCTGAAAATTCCTCTGCTGAGAGCGTTCGACTCGAAGCTGAATCTCAAGGACTGGACATTCCACGGCAACGGACCGAACGAAAAAGATCGTGTCGTTTTGGTTCATTTTGATAGTGTTCTCACCGAGTACCACAAACTGCAGCCGAAGTACCAGGACGTCATCAAGGACGTTGCGCACAGGATGGGCAACGGCATGGCTGACTACGTGGTGAATGACGAGTTCAACCTGAACGGCGTGGCCACCGTGAAGGACTATGACCTGTACTGCCACTATGTCGCAGGACTAGTGGGAGAAGGACTCACGCGGATGATTGTGGCAGCAGGCTTTGGACACCCGGACCTGGCCGACAAAATGTACCTCAGCGAGTCTATGGGTCTTTTCCTGCAAAAGACAAACATCATCAGAGACTTCCGCGAGGACCTGGAGGACGGACGGTCATTCTGGCCGAAGGAGATCTGGGCCAAGCACACAGACAAGCTCGCCAACTTTGCACGGCCCGAGTATCGCCAGGAGGCCCTGAACTGCAGCACTGAGCTCGTGCTCAACGTTCTGGGCCACGTCAGGGACGTCCTGGTGTACCTCTCGATGGTGTACGACCACTCCACGTACTGTTTCTGTGCGATTCCGCAGGTGATGGCTATCGCTACGCTGGCCTTAGTGTTCCAGAACCCGGATGTGTTTGAGAGAAACGTCAAGATCAGGAAAGGAGAAACGTGCAGCTTGATCCTCGAGTGCAGAACCTACGAGGGCATGCTCAGGGTGTTCTCCAGATACCTCAGGGTCATCCACCACAAGTGTCCGGTTTCCGACCCGCTGTATCTCGAGATCGGAATGAAATGCGGCGAGCTCGAGCAGTTCATCGAGGAGCTCAATCCGGACCCAAGCCATCTGCCAAAGGGTCTCGAGCCACGCAAGACCGTGTACTCGCAGCTGGCCCAGACGAAGATCCGGAAGGATGTCGTGGTGGCCAAGAAATTGTGGAGAGAGCAGTTTGCGTGCAACGCGTCTCTGGCTCTCATCGCGGTGTGTGTCGTCACTTTGTTATCTAAAGCCTACTAAAAGACTACTATATCACCCATTGCGAGTTACCGTAGTCCGTCGCGTAAAAGTACTCCGGGTGGTCGGGCAAGCGCTCGTGGACAAGCGCTGTGCGGTGCTCTTGGCTGTCCAGCGTGCTTTGTATGTGCTCGAGCGGCACGATCATCTGCATTTCTGGTCTTTCTGCAACCAGCTTCAGTTTCTGGTCGTTCGTGCTCACCGACACGTGTCTGAGGTACTCGACGCAGTTGTCTGGCAGCTCCCGGCGCTTTCTGATCTCTGCAATTGCAAGATACAGCGTCTCGTGCTCTGTGCCGCTCGCGTGGCACTGCAGAAGAGCCAGCACGTCTTTATCGGACAGCGGAATATTCAGCCGTGCGGCCAGCTCCAGAATGTTCAAGCTGCACAGTTTAGCAGCGTGCTTCGCCGCCCCCTCAAATAGGACGTGGAAATGGCGGTCCTCGAGCAGGTGCTGCAAATTGTTCCCGACCACGTAACGCAGCACAAAAATCATGCTACCAAAATGGCCGCAGAAATATATCGAGCGCAGCGCAGCGTACAGGGCCAGCTGCACGGTCCGCGGCTTGAGCCCGCTAATCTCGTTAAAATGCTCTTCTATCTCCTCGTAGTTGTTTCTCGCAAACAGCTTGTCCTGGAACATTTTGGGCGCGAGCTCGTCGTATGAGATGGGGATTTCCAGCTTGTCGAGGAATTCCCAGCTATATGTGGGTCCCAGCAAGGCCGCCGCCGTCGTCGCCACGGGCACCTGCGCCTCCTGATCGCGCACCTTCAGAACCACATCGAATGCTCGCTCTAGGTCCTTGTTTTCCACGAAAAGTCGGCACAGGTCAAGCAAAAACTCGCTCGTGAACTCTGTGCGTGCTATGTCTGGATACACGGCCGCGACGACGTCGTAGTTGGAGTTCTTGAGCGCGGTGGCGGCCAGACTCGCGTAGTTCAGCGGCGTGAGCATCGTCGACGGCAGCTTTCGCAAAATAAACAGGACTGTCTCGGTGTCGTTTCTGTTACTCGCCTCGATCAGCAGCGTGATCGCATGCAATCTCTCGACAGCCCGCGGGTCCGCGAAGAATTCGGCGCTGCGGAACTCCCGAACGGCCATCTCGTAGCTGCCGTGCAAAAGAAAGCCGCGGATCTTGTATCCGCGCGCGAGATCGGGCGTCTTCTGCTCGACGTAAGTGAAGAACAAATGGTTGTAGTACGGATTATTTTTGCGCAGAAACACCTTGAATGTGAAGTCCAGGAAGCCGGCTGCTGCGTACTGGGCCTGCTGCAGCACGCCGTACACCTGCGGGAGCTTGTTGTGCAACGACTCCTTGGGCCCGAGCTCGGCGAGTTTTTTGAAGAGTGCCGTCTTGTGCTTTTTGGTGGCCCTGGGCAGCGACATGAAATTTATTCAAATATTTTTTACTTCTCCACATTTTTGTGTTTTTCGCCGATTGTCATGTTTGCGTCAAGATGCGGGCTCAAAAAGCCCCCGAGCGCCGTCTGCAAACGCTGGTCGTCCATCCACGTGTTCAACCGCGACATGAAGCTCAAACAGCGCGAACGGGCCGCGCGCGACGAAGAGAGCCAGATGGTGGAGTATATCAGGGACGAGGTTGCAAGACGCACGATCGAGCGGCTGGCGTTCCTGAAAACGCCCTTCTCGACGGTCATGGACTTTGGCTGCAACGCAGGCAACTTCGAGCGCCAGCTGTGCGACGTCCGCCCCGACGACGACAAGCGATGGCGCGACGACAAAAACCTGGTGCGATCCAAGATCGAGAAAATTTACATGGTGGACTCGTCGCAGAACATGCTAGATAAATATAGAGACGCCCCGTTCAACTCGCGGCTGAACATCGAGCGCGTCAACGCGGACGAGGAGGCGTACTCGCACCCGCTGCTGGCGAAGAAGGACATGTTCAACGTCATTGTGTCCAACCTGTCGCTGCACTGGATCAACGACCTGCCGACGGTCTTCAAGAAGCTGTACAACTCGCTGCAGCCGAACGGGTGCTTTGTCGGGTCCATGTTTGCCGGCGACACGCTGTTCGAGCTGCGCACGGCGCTGCAGTTGGCCGAGATGGAGCGCTGCGGCGGTCTTTCTCCCCGTGTGTCGCCGTTCGTCGAGTCGTCCGACGTCGGCACCCTCATGCAGAAGGCCGGCTTCCAGATGCTCACGATCGACGTCGAGGAGATCGTCGTGGAGTACCCGGACGTGCTGGCGCTCATGAAGGACCTGCAGCTGATGGGCGAGTCCAACTCCATCCTGAGCACGCCGCCTGCTCTGCGCAAGGACCTGCTGATCGCGCTGCAGCCGATCTACCACGCGATGCACGGCGACCCGCGCACGGGCAACCTGCCGGCGACCTTCCGGTTCGTGTTCATGATCGGCTGGAAACCTGGAGAGAACTTCCCGCAGCCGGCAGCACGCGGCAGCGCAAACGTGAATCTGAAGGACGCGCTAAACTGAGTCGCACTCAAGTTCCTGCAGAGCTTCCAGGGCAGCCAGCCGCACGCTTGCGGCCGGGTGTTCCTTGCTCAGCCTCGACAGCCGTGCCACACAGTCTGCTTTCGTGTCTGCTGGGTCTGCTATTGCGAGCTGGACGAACACGCGAATGGCTACCGCGAGCCGTCCCGGGTGTGTTTTCCCGAGCGTGAGGTTGTACACGCGCACAAAGATGCTCCGCACAGCAACGTCGGCTGGCAGCGGCAGGTTCAGCTCCAGTGCGTTGCACAGGAACCGCAAGCAGGCGTCCTGCGTTTTGGTAGCACGTTCGACGCGGCCCTGTGCGGTGCCGAGCGGCTTCAAAATCGACAGAATGTCGCCCAGCACGGTTTTTCGGTCGTCCAGCCGCTCCCAGGCCTGGAAGAACGCCAGCAGCGCCGCGTTGGTGGCTTGCGCCAGAGACTGCTGGGACCCGGCAGAAAAACAGTAGCCCTTCCAGAACTCGCGAGAGAGCTCTCTGTCTTGCACGAGATGCGCACGGTAGATATTCATGAGGGCCTGGAAATGGTCCACGTCGGACTCTGGCGGGGCGAACTGCCAGCCGTTGAGCTTTGCCGCGAGCTTAAGCGCCGCCACACGCAGCCGCTCCATGGTTTCGCCTGCTATGCGCAGAAGTTTGCGGTTAATGAGCGCGCGGTTGCCGAATTTGTCTCTATTGGCCTCGATGAGCTTCATTGTCGCCGATCTCACCAGACTCCCGACGTCGCCGCGGTTGGTGACCGTGTAGTCGTCGAGACAGGCAATCAGAGTCTGTTTCTGGTGCTCAGCCACGTCGTGGCGGTGCAGATACTCTGCGAGCGACAGAATGAGACAGCTGCGCAGCTCTGCGTCGGCCGGCCCGGCCACCAGCCCCAGCACGTTGTCGAGTCTTGCTTCCAGCCAGTGTGCGAGTCCAACGGCGCGCGCAGCCACCAGACTTCCGTTTCGAATATACGACAGCCATTTCGTGATATATTTTTCTGGTAGCACGAGCACCCCCGCGAGCTCGCAGAACCGCCGCGAAACCTGGTCGCTGCCGTTTCTGACCACGCTGAAGACGGTGTCCAGCTCGTGGTCGTTCGGAACAAATCCGTGGCGACACAACACTGTCAGGAGGTGCAGGAACTCCTCGCCTTTGTGGAACGGGTCTCTGTGGAAGTCGAACGTGAACTCCACGAAAAGCTCGTGGTATTTGTCGGTGTCGAGCTCTGTTGCGTCCTGGAGCAGCTCCGCAAGCACATAGAATCGTCCTGGCCGAAACTCTTTCTCGAAGTACCGTCCGATCAGCTGTGTATCGCCGATCTTTCGCAGCGTCTGTGCTGCCCGTGTGCGGATCTCGTAGTCTCTGTGCAGAACGGCGTGCTCCAGCGCTGCCTGGATCTCTCTCTCCAAAAGCCCCATCTTGCAAATGTCCAAACTCAGCGCAAACGCCCTGTCGAGCTGTCCCAGCGCCGTGTAGTCCAGGGCCTCGACCAGTTTCACCTTGAGGCTGTGCCTGTCGTGGCGGTCGAAAATGTCGCCGTGGCGGCCGACCACCTCCTGCACGCACGCGGCGCCCGCGCGCCGCACAATCAGCTCCTTGTCGAAACAGCAGCACAGCACCAGGTCGCGGAAAAATGCCCGCCACAGCTCAAGGCCCACCTCGTCTGTTCTGTACCGTTTGGCCAGCGACCAGATGATGAAACACGTCGCGTCGCGCACATTCGACCCGACTGCGTGGGTCACGCGGTACTGCTCCAGGAAAAGCGTCTGGTGCAGCAGGGCAGCCAGCTCGGGCAAGAACGCCGTGTCCAGCTGTCTCGTGCGCGCCTGCTCGCCGATTGCCAGCAACACGCCGTGGAAGAGCTCGACGTCGATCGACTCGGCGTCGACGCGGCCGTCGGCAGAGAGCTCGAGCTGTGCAACCAGCGCACGCACCACGTCGTTGCGCAGCTGCTGCGGGAGCAGCCCCGCGATCTTCGCCAGCTGCTTTGCCACAGAGTACCGGATAACCGTGCTGGCGTGCCCGACAAAGTCAAACAGATAGTTAAATACCTCCTCGACCGCGTCGTAGTCGCCGGTCCGCACAAAATGGACGCCCAGCTTGCCGAGGTTCTTGACAAAAAACCGCAAGCACGAGGCGTTCGGCGTGTCCAGCTCGTTTGCAATCAGCACCAGCAGGCGCTGCCCAAACAGCTCGAGCGTCTGTGGCGCACACAGCCGGAACAGGTGGTTTGTCGTTGTGAGGAGGCCGAGCTGCTCAAACACGCTTTTTTGCTCCCACGCGAGCGAGTTGAAGTTGTCCGCGACAAAACGCTGGAGCAACGTCGCGCAGTCCGCACGTGACAGCAGCCGTGCCGTCAGCAACGCCGCCGCGTCGCTCTCCTTGCCGCTGGACTGGAGGTGTTTGCGGGAGAGGTCAAAGAGAGCCTCTGAGAGACCGGGCCTGACTTTCTCGAGCGGAAACGGCACCAGAACCAGGATCGACAGCCATACTAGCAGGAAAAAGGTCTCCTGCCACTGTGCACGGTCAGAAGCGCCGAGACGGCCCGTTTTGTCAATGACTGACACCAACAGGTACAGATCGCTCGTCAGACAGTTGGAGACCACCTTGATGCCTCGTATTTTGGCGAGGTGGTAGAATATCACGCCAACCTGCTCCCCGCAGGCCAGCTCGCCCGCCAGCACACGACGGTACACGTCCACCAAACGGCCCACAAACGAACGCAGCCGCGAGTCCAGGAGCTGGGGGTTTGGCTGGAACTGTTCAATGCGATCCAGCAAGGCCTGCAGGGCGCGCGGGTCGGCAGGCTGGCTCCCGCAAAGCGCTCTGTCAAGCCGCAAATCTATATCCCGCAGGAGCTGGTCTGCAAGCTTTGAGATCTGGACGTCTTCCATGTATTTATTTACAATATTTTTATTTTACATGAATATTTATGTGCACAGCCTTGATCGGACAGACAGATGGGGCCCAGTAAAACGGACGGAAGAAAAAGGACAAAGGCGTGTTGGGCAGCACACAGCAGTGCGCAGCCGTTAGCACGCTTCACTCCTTCAGCGTGGGCCGCTCGCGGCCCGGTTCTGGCACCTCCTCGACACGCTGGAGTTGCACGTCGAACTGGTCGCTGCGCAGCTCACGCAGTCCCCTGTCCAGCTCCTCGAGGTCTTCCGCGTCCTGTCCGTCTACAGTCTTGTACAGCAGCTCCATTTTGTTCATCCAGCGGTGTGTGCCCTGGTACGCGGTGCGTGGGACGGTGAACTGGGCGAGCCGGAAGCGCGGCGGCAGCGCGAGCGCGTGCACTGTGTCAAAGAGGTGCCAGGCGTCTTTCTGCGAGCGCGGATTGGGCACGAGCCGGAACGTAGCTCGGAACAAACGCATGTGCTGGACAGCTCCGGTGGCCTGAAATATTTGCGCAGGTTGCGCCGATCGACGCGGCGATCCAGAGATGGTATGGCGTAGTTGCAGCATGCTAAGCCTTGGCATAAAACGTGGCGAAGCAGCCCCGGCGCGCGCCGCATGGCTAAGCATCTATCGGGAGTATATAATGTTTGCTTGGAAGGAGCCAAGCGCTTGGGAACGGCAGCGACATCACACAGAAAAGCTGGGTCTGCATTTTTGATTTTTGCAACGCATATAAAAAGGCCGTTTCAGCGAGATTTTTCAGCAAAATGAATTTCCTACGGCTAGCACTGCTGGCCACGGCCCTGGCAGGTAACGCCAACGGCAACAGCGCCCACGCGACCGCGTCCGCCGCGTCTGCGTCAGTGTCCTCGTCGCAGGTCTACTCGGACCAGTACGGCGTGCTGCAGTTCCAGAACTTTGGCTTCGAGGGCTACTTCTTCAACGTGAAGAGCATCGACTCGAGCTCGAACGACTCGTGCACGTGCGAGGTCAACAGACACAAGCCGGTGAATTTCGAGGGCCCGATCTCGCCGCTCAACAACGAGGTCTCGGTGCACATCAGGGGCCCGATCAACCTGCAGAAATTCGGCTACTACGTCGCCGACGACTACACCTTCGGCCAGACCAACGGCTCGTGGTCGCGGCTCGCGTACTACGACTCCGACAGCCGCCAAGCGGACAACGTGACGTTCCTGGGCAACGTCGGTGAGAACGTCACGTGCCTCGGCAGGGCCCTCGACTACGTCGACGCCGACGGCGTGTCGCCCGCGAGCGAGAGCGCCGTGCTGGACAACGTGACGCTGCACTCCAACCAGGAGCTCGTCCTCATGTCGAACGTGACGTGCGGCGACTCCGGGTTCGGCAAGGACTGCGGCGTCTATAGAGACGGCATCCCGGCCTACCACGGCTACTACGGAACCACCAAGATGTTTCTGTTCCAGTTTCTGGCGCCCGAGGAGGACACGGTCAGCGAGGACACCGCGTCCTACAACATGCCGGCCATCTGGCTGCTGAACGCGCACATCCCGCGCACGGCGCAGTACCCGACCAACGCCAACTGCTCGTGCTGGAGCTCTGGCTGCGGCGAGTTCGACATTTTCGAGATCCTCAACACCACCGAGGCCCTGCACTTCTACTCGACGATCCACGACTACCAGGGCACCGGCGACATCGAGACGGGCCTGGCCAACGAGGGCTATCTGGAGCGCACGCCCGACGCCGTCATGACGGGCGGCGTTGTCTTTGGCAGCGACGGCACTGCCACGGTGTTTCTGTCGAACTCGACCAGTTTCGACGAGACCATCAGCAACGCCGACCTCAGCGACTGGATCTCGAGCGTGGAAAAGGCCGATTCCGAGCACACCATGATGCTGTCCTCGGCCACCAACACGATCAACGGGGCCGGGACGCTCGAAAGCAACTGGTGGACCCTGGGCCTGCTGGCGTTTATGTGTGTACTATAGAGAAGCAGGGAACACAAGCAGTGGAGCAGAGAGCTTGCGATCTGCGGTCGCTGCCACGGGCTGTGCTCTGCGATTTGCACCTATTTCTTACGTAATGCCAATCGCAACTTGTTTTTAATTTCGTTATGTCTGACTGGAGCGTTGATCCCGACAACCGGCGCAAGCTGCTGGCCCTGCAGAAACAGGGCGACAACAAGAAGTGTTTCGACTGCAAGGCCCCGAACCCGCAGTGGGCGTCGCCGAAGTTCGGCATCTTCATCTGTCTGGAGTGCGCAGGCGTCCACCGTGGTCTTGGGGTGCACATCTCGTTCGTGAGGTCCATCACGATGGACCAGTTCAAGCCGGAGGAGCTCAGCCGCATGGAGAAGGGCGGCAACGCTGCGTGCGCGCAGTATTTCGAGTCGCACGGCCTGGACCTGTCGCTGCCTGCGCAGCAGAAATACAACAACTATGTGGCCGAGGACTACAAGAGCAAACTCACGAGCATCATCGAGGGCAGGGAATTTTCCGAGCCTGACCACAGCGGCGAGACGTTGCCTTCCAAGGACACGCTGTCCTCCGATTCCAGGGACTCTGCGCTGCCAAACATGGAGCAGAACGAGGCCTACTTTGCCAAGCTGGGCCAGGCCAACGACACGCGTCCAACAGACCTGCCTCCGTCGCAGGGCGGCAAGTACCAGGGCTTCGGGTCCACGCCTGCGCCGGCTGCGCAGCGCGGGTCCAGTCTGTCTGGCTTCACGCTGGACGCCCTGCAGAAAGACCCGCTGGGAACGTTTTCCAAGGGCTGGGGCCTGTTCAGCACGACGGTGGCCAAGTCTGTGAAGGAGGTCAACGACACGGTGATCCAGCCCAGCGTGAAGCAGCTGGCCGAACAGGACTACGCACAGCAGGCCAAAAGGGCCATGGAGCAGTTCGGACAGAAGGTCCAGGAGACCGGACTGACGCTCCAGCAGCAGCTGGAGGGACAGAGGTCCGACGGAGGCAAGTACGGAAAGCTATTTGACGGGCTGGGAGAGGACGACGACAAGCCTGCTCCCGCTTTTGGTCTGGCCAGACCCAAGGAGAAGACCAAGTTGGATAGCATGGGCAACAACATGCCGTAGGCCAGACTGCCGGTAAACACGTTTTCGGCCTCTATAAACTGTTTAGAGAAGGTTTTTGACATGTTATTTCATAGGTACTAGTTGCCGTCTGATCTGATCGCAAGTATGTTTTAGGGAAAACGCGCGCGTGCAAAGGTGTATTTTTTTATCTTCGTCTTTTGCCGTTCGTGGAATCCCTTTCAGGATATATAAAGCACAAGCGTTATCCGTCCTGCTAATGAGCCCCGCTGTCACCGAGACCACCACGCAATCCGGCCAGATCCCGGAAGCCATCAGACCGGCCACTTCTCGCGGATACGCCCTCACAGAGAGAGGCGTGCACAACATCTCCAAGGGAGCTCCTCCTCCATTCCCTATCCCTGAGTTTGACGACCCGTACAAGAAGCGCGAATGGCTCCTGGAACACATGGCCGGCGCCTTTAGAGTTTTTGCCCGCAAGGGCTACACCGAGGGAAGTTCGGGACACATCTCCGTCAGAGACCCTGTGGACCCAAACACTTTCTGGATCAACCCGCTCGGTATCCATTTTGGCCTGCTCAAGGCCAAGGACATGGTCCAGGTCGACGAGGACGGAAATATCATTGGCGGAAACAAAGTGGCCATCAACGCTGCGGGTTTCGCTATCCACTCGGCTCTGCACAAGGCCAGACCGGACGTCAACGCTGCCTGTCACATGCACTCCGTGTACGGAAAGGCGTACTCTGCGTTTGGCAAGCCGCTTGAGATGATCAGCCAGGACGCCTGCAACTTCTACAAGTCGCATGCTGTGTACACAACTTTCGGTGGTGTTGCTATCGAGGCCAAGGAGGGCGAGGAAATCGCTGCTGCCATTGGCGATGGCCACGGCGCGATCTTGCAGAACCACGGGCTCATCACCGTCGGATACACTGTCGACGAGGCTGCGTACATGTTCTCACTGATGGAGCGCTGCTGCGAGTGTCAGCTTCTGGCTGATGCCGCGGAGAACCAGGGCAGAAAGAAACAGATTATCGGTGACGAGGAAGCAGCATACACCTACCACATGAACAGCGACAGGGAGACACTGTACATGGAGTTCCAACCTGATCTCCAGTGGGAGATTGCTCAGAACGACGACTTTTTGAGCTTCTCGAAGCAGAGTAAATAAATTGGTGCCCAAGTTTGAATTTTATACAAATACAACTTTCCTTGAATTTATTAAATTTATTTATTTCTTATCATGTCCGATTTCGATATGATGGACATTGAGGACCGACGAAGCAGCGTTGTGTCCCAGATGGCGAGGCCAGGCCAAATGCCTCCCAGCAGCCTTGTTTTGATCTTTGATACCAATTTCCTGCTCGATCATCTGCCGATAGTGGACGGCCTTCGCGGGCTGCCGGTGCCCCATCAGCTAATTATTCCCAACCAGGTCGTGAGAGAGCTCGACGGGCTCAAGTCGTCAAGCTCGCATGTCTCCGGTGCCGCTCGCAAGGCCATTGACTGGATCTACGGGTTTCTGCACAACAACGACCAGATCTTGCGGGTCCAGCGACTGCACGAGAGACTCGACCGCGGGGCCGTCCAAGACGACGCTATCCTGGACGCTTGTCTATTTTTTGGGTCAGAGAACATGGTTGTGCTGTTTTCGAACGACAAAAACCTGTGCGTTAAGGCTCTGGCCCAAGGCGTGCTCACAGTATCCTACCGTGAAGACATGACGTCGCAAATGATCGCCGACCGTCTAGTGGCAGAGTTCTCGCGGGTCAATGGCGATGTGATGGAGCTTGAGGTGAGCAGAGAAGACACACAAGTGGCTGCCGACAACGTCTATTCGCAAGTACACACGCTCGCTGTGGAGGCCATAGAGCACGTACTGCGGGAGGAATTTGGCGACGATTTCGACATGATAGATTACGACCCTTCGAAACAACATTCATTGCGCGACTGTTGCTACACACTCAGACACTACAGCATATCCACCTTCGGGAGCTATTTCTCTAACTCTGGCATCAATCCGCTAAAATTACTCAAAGAAAAGCATAGCATAGCAGAATATTCCAGCAAGCCCCAGTCGCAAGAGCAGCTGTCCGAGTTTGTCGAGTTCTGGGTCATTGTGTTAGAGGGACTCTACAAGAAGCGCAGCAGCGAGCAAAAGGCGGCGTTAAAGATGGTCATTGACGCGTGGCGCAAGACAGCGCAGACGGCATGATGTATATAGTACAGTAGATTAGCGGGTTCTTCTCTGTTTGATAGGGAAGTTGTAAGTGTGGTCTCTGAGCCGCTTCCTGGGGCTCGTGTCAGGTGCTGTCTGGGTGTTGGGCTTGCGGCGTTTGGACGGTTTAGTAGGCTCCAGCTCTACGTGCGCTGTGAATAGATTTTTCAGGGCCTGTGCAACCGACAAGTTAGACTGTTTGAAATTAGAGACGGTCTCGTCCTTTATTTGTCTGAACGACGTGCCAAGCGAGCTGCGGAGCGTGCCTGTCTGGAGAAAAAGACGCTGGATCTCGTCGCTCTGCAAAATAGCCTCGTCTTGCTCCAGGGTGTTGCCCAGGTAGTCCTGAGCGATGGACGCGGCGAGTTTCAGGATGATCTGGTTCTTCTTATTGAGCTCGTGCGCAAGGCTCGTCACGAGACTCGCCTCCAGCGCGCCCAGCCGCCCCACATGCGCAAGAAACTGTTTTCGAACAGATAACAGCTTATCGTCTGATAATCGCGTCAACGGAAACCGGAATTCGAGATCCGGCTTGCACAGGGTCACAAACCCGGGCTCTCTGCGCAAAACAACGCCATGCAGGTCAGCGAGCTTGTCAAGGAACGCGTCGATTTCATTTTCGCCGCCAATTGCTGCGTCGTTCAGCGCAAACAGCCTGTCGAGCTCCATCCGGCTGGTGCACTCGTACGCGTCGAATTGGTCGGCGTCTGTCACCAGCAGGGTCAGATTCAACGGAACAGACGATGCATGGACCCCTACAAAAATGTCGGCCTCGTTGGCAGCGGGAACAAACACGCAGGGAAACATCTGTAATGTCTCCTTTTCCTCGCCCCGGTGCGCAGATCCGAAAAACGCATGTTTTTTTTTAAAAAAAAAAAAGTTCGCACCCCATCCGGCCGCCGTCTCGGGCTCCTCTCATTTCTCTGGCTGTGCAAAGGAAAAGAGTTGTCCATTTCTTAAGTTCCCAACGCTGTTGTTTTCTTTTACTCAATAATTAGACCAAATGTTTACCAGAGCATTGAGAAAGTCCATTTTGAAGGCTGTAAGTGCGTCCATACCGGACATTGTCCTTCTAACACGTCAGTCGCAAAGAAGATTCTTGTCCATCCACGAGTATAGATCTGCTCAGTTGCTCAGATCATACGGGGTGCCTGTGCCTAAGGGAGAAGCGGCCACTACTCCAGAGGGCGCCTACGAGATCGCCAAGTCTCTCGGCACCAAAGACCTGGTCATCAAGGCCCAGGCTCTGACGGGAGGCAGAGGTAAGGGCCACTTTGATAATGGCTTGAAGTCAGGTGTCAGACTCATTGAGAGCCCGGAGGAGGCCAAGGATCTCGCTTCCAAGATGATTGGCCACAAGCTGATCACCAAACAGACTGGTGCAGCCGGAAAGGAGGTGACTGCTGTTTACGTCGTGGAGAGAAAGTACGCCGAGCGTGAGGCTTATCTGTCTATTATCATGGACAGAAAAAACCAGTCCACTTTAGTGGTTGCCTCGTCAGAGGGTGGTGTCGACATCGAGGGTGTTGCAAAGACGAACCCTGAGGCCATCAAGAAGTTCCCTGTGGACTACAACAAGGGCATCAGTGACGAGCTGGCCAAGCAGATTGCCTCCGGGCTCAAATTTTCTCCAGAGGCCGTTCCAAAGGCTGCCGAGACGATCAAGAAGCTGTACCAGATTTTCAAGGACAAAGATGCCACCCAGATCGAGATCAACCCATTGTCGGAAACCGTCGACCACGAGGTGATGTGCATGGATGCCAAGTTCGGCTTTGACGACAACGCTGCCTTCAGACAGGAAGAGGTCTTCTCTTGGAGAGACCTGACCCAAGAGGACCCGGATGAGGTCCACGCCAGCAAGTTTGGCCTGAACTTCATCAAGTTGGACGGCAACATTGGCTGCTTGGTCAATGGTGCCGGATTGGCCATGGCTACCATGGATGTTGTCCAGCTGTACGGTGGATCTCCTGCTAACTTCCTTGATGTTGGTGGAACTGCCACTCCGGAGACCATTGAGGAGGCTTTCAAGCTGATCATCTCCGAGAAGGGTGTCAAGGCCATCTTCGTCAACATCTTCGGAGGTATTGTCAGATGTGACTACGTTGCGGAAGGTCTGATTGCTGCCACCAAGAACCTGTCTTTGACCATCCCTGTTGTTGTCAGATTGCAAGGTACCAACCTCGACATCGCCAAGAAACTCATTAGCGAGTCCGGACTGAAGTTGTACCTGTTCGAGGACCTTGACGAGGCCGCCGAGAAAGTCGTTGAGTTGGGAAAATAAACAGCTAGCTATAAATTGATTCTTACATTACTGTACACTTCTTTTATACTCATACATCACCCATTCTTCCTCGTCTTCCAGCTTCTTGCTCACCAAAGCTCCTCCGAGCCTGAGAGCATTTTCGTTTGTAGACTTGGCTGTCATCTGCACAACGTGTGCTTTCTTCTTGTCGTCAGGCATCACTTGATCGTCCAACTGTTTATTAAGTTCTTTTTCTCTTTGCTGCTTGCGAGCCTTCATTTCGTCAATGTACTTAAACGACGGTCTAAGTTGGCAAGTTTTAGTCACGGGGCTCAGATGGAGCTCCCCATCGCGCATGCGCCCCACATAGTATCCGTTTCCATCCACTAGTACTCCCCTCAAGGTCTGATAGTTGGTACCTCCCCATTGGGAAGCTTTACTCTCATCGTAAAAACGTGAGGTGTCTATTGGTATATCCATTTCCAGGACGCCACTCGCCGGCTTGAGTCGTGTTTGTGATATTGTGCTGTATTTATGGACTGTCGGTTGCTGGACCATCAGAAGAGACGGCCCGTTAACGCGGATAGATATTTCTTTGATAACTGGATCAGACATAAATAAACTTAGAAAAAAATATTAAAAAATTCAGATTTTTTTCGAATTTTTTTGGAAAATTATTTATCTATGGAGGATGACTTGCTACTGAATTTTGCGAGCGAACCGCGCGCAAAAAAGCAAAAAGTGAAGGTGACGGGTGGAAAATGGAAGGAAAGGCGGAAATCGCAGCTCGCGAGCGAAGGCCGCGGCCGCAATGAGAAAAAAGAGAAACAGGGTGTGAACCAGATAAAACTAGGTGAACGCACCAAGGAAACTGCGACTGCCGAGGGCGAAGAAAGACCGCACAAAACCGCATTCCCCGAGCGTCGTGGAGAGGGTGGCAAAAACAACACGTACGTTTCGTCGCTTTTCACTGCAAACCCCGAAATCCAGGACAGACCCGTCGCTGAGATAGATGTTCTTTCTCCTTCGAACGCTCCTCTAGATACCTCCTCCTTTTCCGGACTTGGACTGAACGATAAAATCAACGCACACCTTCTTAGTCAGCGTTTAGAGAATCCCACAAAGATCCAGCAACAGGTGATTCCACGTCTGCTAGCAGGAAATAATGATCTCTTTGTACAGGCTCAAACAGGTTCTGGTAAGACCTTGGCCTTTGCGCTACCAATTTTCCAAAAGCTGATGGAGATTCCAGACATTGATCGAACATCTGGTCTTTTCGCGCTGATCCTGGCTCCCACGCGTGAGCTTGCAACCCAGATTTATTCTGTATTCGAGTCTCTTCGTCGTTGCCACCACAAGATAGTCGCCGGAAACGTTATTGGTGGAGAGAAGAAAAAGTCCGAAAAAGCTCGGCTCCGCAAAGGTGTCAACATCCTTGTGGCAACCCCGGGAAGACTTGTGGACCATATCGAGCACACCCAGAAGTTGGATCTATCAAAAATTCGGTACGTCGTGCTGGACGAGGGTGACCGGCTGATGGAGCTTGGATTCGAGGAGAGCATAACGAAAATTCTACACAGCATTTCTTCGTCTGCGGTGCCTCTCCACTATCCCTCTTTGCCGGCCAAAAGAGTCAGCATTCTCTGTTCGGCCACCATCAAGTCCACTGTGAAGAAATTGGGCGAGTTGTCGCTGGAAGAAGCCGAACTGGTGACCACTAGTGAGAAGATCACAAAGGTGCCCGATCAACTGGTGCAGCAGGTGGTGGTCATTCCTCCGAAACTGAGATTTGTCACGCTGGCCGGAACTCTCAAGAACCTGATTAAGGACCAAACGGCTTCCAGAACGATTGTGTTTTTCTCGTGCTCTGGATCTGTCGATTTCCACTTTATCGCGCTTACCAGGAAAGCGGCCTCCGAAGACACTTCAGGCTCGCTATTTGGATCTAGCATTTTCAAGCTGCACGGCTCCCTTTCGCAACAGACCAGAACTTCTACTCTCAAGCAGTTTGCCGACAGTCCAAATAATGCGATTCTGCTCTGCACGGATGTCGCGTCGAGAGGCCTCGACTTACCGCATATCAACAACGTCGTCGAGTTTGACCCCCCTTTTGCGTTGGACGACCATCTTCATAGAGTGGGCAGAACCGCCAGAGCCGGCTCTCTTGGAAAATCCGTTCTTTTCTTGCTTCCAGGAGACGAAGAAAACTATCTGAAAATAATAGAGCCATTGCATCCATCTGGCATTCAGTTCCAAAAATACGAATCGGTGCTAAAGGAGGCATTTGAGAAACCAGGCGAAAAGGGCGGCAGCTGGGACACCCAGGCAACCACATTCCATCTGGATTTGGAAAGATGGCTGCTGGAAGAGCCGCGAGCAAAGGAAATAGCAGCCAATGGTTTCATCAGCCACATCAAAGCGTATGCCACGCACTTGGCCTCTGAAAGAGAGTGTTTCAACGTGAAGAAGATCCATTTAGGACATCTGGCGAAATCGTTTGGGTTGAGAGAAACGCCAAAGAAGCTTGCCAGTGGTGGAGAGCGTAAGAAAAAAGAGGACGGGAAGTCCAAGATGCTGCGCATGGCCAAGATGCACCTGCAGGCACAAACAGATGAATTCAACACATTTGGCTGAGTTTGGCTTCGATCCTAGCTTTAATAGACTGGTTAGCATCCCCCACTGAGGCGCGGAAGGTTTCAAGTCCTGTCCTCACCGTTTCTGTGGCTGAGTCCACTAACAGACAGAAATAACCTATAGCATGAACTCTTGTGGCATTTTGCAGATTCTGCTCGATTTTAACCGACTGTAGCAGCTCTTCGAAGAGCGGTGTGGTGTCTGGAGGCCAGAAAACGTGCTCCTGGAGGTTGTAAAGCACTCCCACAGCAAAAAGTCCGTCTTCTTGGTCCTTGGTCGAAGCTATGTTTCCGGAAAGAATGTGCGACCGGCGCACCAACTCTAGCAGTGGCATAACGAGAACTCCGTCATGTAGCCCGCTTTCCCTTTCTGTTGTCAGAATCACTGCCAGTCGCAAGCAATTTGACAGAAACTCTGACCTTTTAGTGATAGCAGATTTCACCAGATTCTCTATTCTGTCAAACCCTGCCAGCGGACGCAATTGGTCCACAAGCATCTCAACAACCAACAAACTTTTCTGGTTCTCCAGCTGAGCGGCATCGATTACTAGTTTCAGTATTTTTCCGGTGCATAGTTCCATCAAAACTTGGTGGTCTCGGCTTAATAGATAATCAAATGCCAGCTCTCTAGGAGAAGCTCTCGGAACAGGCTCAAGAAAATCTTCCAGGGCCAGCCGGTCGATCTTGGCCAACTTTGCTTGTTTCTCGGTGTATTTTCGCAAGTTCTCTGAAATAGGCAAGAAGCGCTCTAATGCCTTTCTGGTGAAGTCCAGCGGTGGCTGTTTTTTCATGGGCATGGCCAAGTACATCCAAGCCAAAAGAAGGACGATATCGTTTCCCGCAGCTTCAATGCCCACAGCTAAATCCTCCACGCCCCTGAGCACAAGACGATCCATCATGTTGGCATCCATCGCGCCTTTGCGAGCCATCTCGAGAAGTGCGGTTCTTTTGGTTGACAGTGGAGATCTGGTAGAACTGACGGCTTCGGCCATAAATTCAATCTCCTGGTCGTACCTGCTGTTCAATCCTGAAACCTTGAGGTCAACGCTGGGCTGCAGAGTCCTGCTGACGGGCTCTGCGTCAAGCCCGTCGCTCTCGTTGTCTGAGTCCTGCTCCGCCCGGTAGCTTCGTGTAATCCCGTAATTTCTGCGAGTATTATGTGATTTTGGGGGTCTCGGAACCAAATGGTTGCCCGGCTCGATCGCCGGGATGGAAGGAAGCTCCAGTGCAATCTTTGGGATCTGGGGGTCTGGTTCTTCCGAAGTTATATTCGTTAATGTCTTGATGCTCAAGGTGGATTTTCGCGGACTTTGAGGGAGCTCGTCAAATAGGCCAGACAGATTGTCGGGGACCAAAGTCTTTTTTGGCGACGCGTGTTCTCCCTCGGACAGCCCCGGTAGTTCCAGCTGGGTGCCTCCAGATTTTGGTTTTTTAGGCGTCGGAGACAGCAATTGCCTCCGTTCAGGTTGTTTTTCTGGCCGCCAGCGCGGTCGCTGCTCCTGTGAAGCCTCCTTAAAGTAGTCCTCCGTCTCGAAGTTGCGCAACTTCGGGATCGGCGCGTTCTGGAGCGAGCGTTTTCGTGGAGGCCTGACAGATTTCTGGAATCCGACAGGGCTCTCGGTGAAATCGAACACGGAAGAAGTTCCAGCCAGAGCAGTTTTCGCTGAAATGTCAGGGCCCAGAGACTGTCGTTGCGTGGGCGAGCAAATTCCCTTTCTTCCACCACCGTACATATATACAAATGCTGATCCAATTTATTTTTTCTGATTTATTTTCCCATGTACGGAGATCTGGCACATAAATTGGCACTGGAGGCTAAACGGACACAGTCACTAGATAAGTTGCCGCTCTACCAGGATAGCCTGGTGAGGGCCATAGTACGCGAGATACGGGACCTGCAAAAAGAGGCCGACGTGCTGACAGAACACGCGAGCCAGAACGACGATCGCGTCAACCAAGCACAACTGTTTGTCTGCCATCTGTGCATGCGGCGCAACAAACGGTGTCTTCTAGCTTACCAGCGGTTGCGGGCAGAGCGTCTGGATGAATTGGTGTGGGCCAATAACGAGATCACAAAGGAGCAGATGGACAATCTGTCGCCACAAGAGCAGGAGTACCTGAAAAAGTATAACGACCTAGTGAGCGAGTTCAAAGGGCCTTTGGAGAAAATCGATTTGGGAGGGACGCTGGAGCCGCCTGAAGACGTCTTTATCGACGTGAGAGTGTTGAAAGACGCCGGCGAGATCCAGACAGAGTACGGGGTTTTCAACTTGACTAAGGACTCGCAGTTTTTCGTTCGCCAGGCAGACGTCGAGAGACTCATCCAGCAGGGGTATCTCAAAAAACTCTAAGACTGCTCTATTTTCCTACACCAGTTATAGAAACTTTCGAACAGCTGGTAGTTATAGCCGCTCTTCCAGACGACTTTGATCGGGCTTTCGAGCAGCAGCACTACCTGAGCCGGATCTGCCAAGAATCTTAGTTGACGGCGGTAAGCTCGCGACCACACGTCGCCCGGAAGCTCCAAGATGACCGAGTCCGCTCTTCTGGTCTGCTCCACATTCTCCAGCCCATTGATCCGCTCCAGCAGCTTGTCGCGCGTGCACTGGAGCTCGCGTCGCGTTTTCTGACGCACTACGCTGTTGAACAGGTCTGCGTCGGGCCGTTCGGGCCGGAAAGACCAGAACAGGATCCATCGTCGTGTTCCTTCCAGCGTCTGGCTGCTGCGGAACTCGTGCACGCCGTAGTTGTCGATTTTGCGGGCGCGCAGAAGCGAGATCAGGGGCTTGAGCGAGTCGTATTTTCCGATGAGACTGGAAAACCACCGAATAGAAGAGCTTTTCACGGTCTCGCTCTCCAAAACCATCCGACGCACAAATGCTACCTCACCGCCCTCGATAACCAGCTCGTTGGCTGCGGCCCTGGGGAACCGTGGGTCAGCCTTCATTTCTGCTCTTTTTTCCATCTCCTCAAAAGAAGAATAAAAAGGCGGGTTGCACATGACAAACCCGTTTCGAGAGCCCAGTAATTCAACCAAACGGCGAAACAGCGGATCCTGCTGCCTGGTCAGCACCAGCTGGATTTTTTCCTGCAGGTTATTCTGTACAACAATGGCCCGAGCCAGCTCCAATGATTCCTCGTCGATATCAGTGCCTATAAATTGAAGATCAAACAGTTTGGCTCCCAGGAGCGCATAGATTGCCAGATGGCCGGTCCCAACGTCAAGCCCCACATGATCATCCCAAGAACCCAGCAATTTGCGCATGAACTCCAGGTAGTCTAGACGATTGAACAGTCGCGGGCATAATCTGTCGCTGTGTATATGTACCGTCAGCCCCCACTCCTTCAACAAAACCTCGGTAATCGCAATCACTGCATCGTTGTTATGGAAATCGTACTTGGCTCCGTTGAAATAGCGTCCCAATCGTGGATACTTCGCCACCAGAGTCTCAAAATCCAATTTCCTCGAAATATTATTTTCCATAATTTTTCACTTTCGTCTTCATGTCCTTTTTAGACGAAATCATCCTCCAGGACGTGGCCAAATTCTGTCCAGAACAGTTTGTCAGCTACCACAAATGCGTCCAATCGCCAGACAAGAAGCCGACTGACTGTCTTCCGATGCAACTGGCACTGCAACAGTGCGTCAGGAACGACGTGCCGTCCTTCCAGAAAATCCAGCAAAATTGCTCTTCTGCGATATCCCAGTACGAAGCGTGTCTGCGCGGAGGAGACTCGGCCAAATGCTTGGACCAGTTGGACTCTCTAAGACAATGTGCCGTTAAACAGGTGCAAAGTGCCCAAAAGCACTGAAAACATGTATTACTATTTATTTAGTCATTTCCAAATACAGGTGGACTCATTGACACTTTAGCGCAAAATATTATCCGCCTTATCTAGGAAAAAAAATGAGGTTGAAATAAAATGCATGCAGATTCTCGGTATCCCCAACTATGTAATGTTTTTCCTTCTTTCTTTGCTGCCAATCGCTCTGGCTGTGGACTCTCAGTCCCTTGAAGGAAAATACTCATGTGTGGGCACGTTCATCTTTGGTCGCCACAATGATAGAGTCGCCAAACCGGCAAACTACCTCACCACTCTGGGAGCCGTTGAACAAGTCGATTCGGGTGGCTTTTTCCGGGAGAGATACTTTGGTTTGGACAAAGACGGGAACTCTGTGAATTCGGATTTCGTCATTAACGGGCTAGACCCGCAGGGCTACTTTGTCTACGGAGACACTTACGCTCAATGTCCGGCTTCGACAGTCATCGAGTATTCCCAAATGTCTTTCCTGCAGGGTTTGTACCCTCCTTCCACTGCCGTCGACAAAAACGAGACTCTTGCCGAAACCCAGGACTCTCGATTGAGCAATGGAACCTCTGTTGAGGCTCCTTTGGGCGGATACCAGTACGTCTTTATGGACGTGCAGTCAGAAACGTCTGACGACTATTTCTGGATTAAGGGAGACGAAAACTGTCCTTCTTCGGACGCTGCCATTGACGCTTGGTACGAAACTGATGCGTTTAAGGAGCTCAACTCGTCCACTTTTGATTTCTACCAGTCGCTGGCTGGCGTTCTTCCGTCGTCCAAATTCCCTAAGTGGAAACTCAATTTTGGTAACGCGATGAACATTAACGATTTCGTTTTTGTCGAAAGCATCCACGACGATGACTGGGCCACCAAGTGGAACTCCTCCCTTCGTTTCCAAATTGCCACTCTTGCAGATGCTGCGCAATGGGGAATTTCGTACGATGCTTCCAACAAGATGAATAATTTTACTATTGGTGGACAATCGCTTCTGGGAGCGTCTCTCGTGTATTTGAATGTCACCAAGGAGAAAGGCTCTCCTTACATCAATTACTTCACCGGCTCCTACAACACGATGTACCAGGTCTTCGGTCTTTTGGAGCTGAACCAGGTCTCTGATAATTTCACTGGTATGCCTGGCTACGGAGCTACTCTGGTCTGGGACCTGCTGAAAGACACCTCGGACAACTACTTTGTGCAATTCTCCTTCAAGAATGGCACCGATGCTGAGGACGCGCTTGTTGCCTACCCGCTTTTCGGACTGAACTCGACTCTGCTCTCCTGGGACGACTTTGTTGAAAAAACGGAAGCAGTTTCTATTACCCATCTCGAGGACTGGTGCGAAAAATGCTCAAGCACGTCCTCGCAGTGCACCAGATACTCCTCTACGTACGAACAGGCTTCTGAGGCAGAGGAAAAGGGTATTGACATGGAAAAGGTTGCCGACGGCTCCTACCACCTTAATAAGCTGACCAACGTTGGAGCAGGTGGAATTGGAGCAGGAGTCACCATCGGGGTCTTCCTGATTTTGGGAGCTTTGGTCCTTGCTTGGAAAAAATTGAGAAGCAAAAAGAGTCCATTGCTTCCTGTTGCCAGGACTGTCTCCAGAGACACCAAGGCAGAGACGTCTTCAGCTTCCGACGCCAGCACGTAGTCTTTTACTTGTTTCAGACACTACCCTTTTCGTTATAATTTTACATTTTTTTCTGGATTTTTTCCTTACGCTAAACCAGCTAACATTGACCATTGTGAAGCTCTACTTCTAATTGGTCTCAGTAGAACTGGGAGAACAAAGGTGGACATTTTAAGTTCAGTCGTGTGTCATTTCTATTGGCCTTTCGACTCTACAACTGTCCACACATTGATTGAGCCTTAGCTGAATGGTTATTAGTACACATTAATATACAAATGGCTTATTCCGATGCATTATCGAAGATGGAACCGGAGTACTGCGGAACTTGATCAAAATCAAATGGACATGGCTGCTCCTTCTCGAAGTTGTCGAGCCATTCGCAACCGCGGGAAAGAACGGAAGACTGGAGCTTCTTCATGACAACAAGAGACTCGTCGTAGTTGGTGTACTGTAGCCCCGTAAACTCCTGAAACATTAGTTTGAAGTAGAAAATCAAAGACTGAAGGCCCTTCAAATATCCCAGATCCGGAGAGTCAATGTGCGCTGGCGGATAAGTAGTGTTTGGAGGAAGAGGTTCGTTTGCAATTACACATTGCGCGAAATCAATTAGACGAACAATCAAGGTCGACCGCGATTCCGCATGGTCAGCATCGGAATCGTACATCAACAGGATCGATGAGCCATAAAGCCTGTAGCCAGGCAACTCCTTGAAAATTTTCTGCAGCTCATTCAAGTTCTCTATCAGATTCGGCAAATGCTTCACCACCGAGAAAATAGAAATGCCATCGTAGAGGAACCTAGCAAGCGATCTCACGAACTCATATCCAACGTTGAGCTTGCGTCCAAAATATTTATCCCTGTTAATGAAGCTGTTCCGTTTTAAATCCCAAACTTGCATTCCGCAGATTCTTGTTCCTAGCCGTCGAGAAGTTGTCTGTTGGCATTTTCTCCGCTGCGAACACCGCTTCTTTTCTGTAGCCTCTACACCGTACTGTCGAGTTCCCATCTTCAGATCCAAGACGCATGGATGTTGCATACCAGAGGTCAAATCTTCAAGAAGAATGAAGCGTTCCAGCCGAGTATGTTTACGTCTGGAAGATAAAGAAGGCGAGTTCAAGAGCGGCGGAGAGGACAAACTCTCTTCATCATCAATAATCGCGTGCTCGCTTGTCGTGTCTTTGTCCATATCAAATATTCCTCCTCCATCATCCTTCTGCGGCAGTGTCTTGATCTGGTTTATTAAAGTCTCTCTATCGGGGAAATTACATTCATCGGCATGCGCAAGCTTCTTGAGGTCCAGCAAGGAATTTGAGTGTCCACTTAAATGATCCTTCCGAGCCGTCAGCTGAGGAAAAGTCTGAGCACTGGAAACACCTTCCTCAAATGGCGTGGGTAATCCCTTTTTGAATGAACTTCCTGTCCCGCTGGTAGAGTGTCTATGCGATCTTGTGGAACGAGCCCCTGCGAAGCTACTCGTTTTATGGTGTCCTGTGTGAGTTGCCTTGCTTCGTGCTCTCCTAGCGTATTCCTTAATGGGTGCAAACACTTCTGTCAAGACCAGTTCTTGTAGTTTAGTGTTGACTTTAGTAGCTCCCCACTCATCGTGTGATTCTTTACCATCTCGACTTTGTGGAGATGCAAACAAGCTACCAGAGTCACTGAAAGAATTAGGATTGGATCTATCCGGAAGTGGCGAGCTGGTGGAGTAATGGTTCCAAAGCGACTCCGGGAATATGTGTCTATTGTCGTCTAAAACCACCTCGGGAGGAAGTTCGTCTCCCTTGTGACTGGTCTCTAATGAATGATCGTTATCGTAAGATGCGGGTTCATAAGCGTCATCCGCTAAACTGCTGTATCGCACATTCAAAACCCCGATATAACGAGGCATGAATTTTAGCAGTTCAGGGTGTGCAAGTTCGATATTTTCGTACCAAGTATTTTCCCGGTTGACCAACGCTTTGCAAACAGCTCTGTGGCTAAACTTGAAAATTGCTGTATGGCCTCCCACTTTGTTCTTGAAAGGCTGCAACTCCACTGCCAATGGGAACTTTCCCCCAGAGAATTGCTCATGTTTATTCTGTGTGTAATCTGCCGAGTCGGAAAAAGGCGATGCTGATCTTGAGGAATCCGCACAATGCACATCGCGGCTTTCCTTCTCAATAGCCTCCTCAATTTCTTCAATTTCGCTTAGCACTTCGGGGTTGTTCACTTCATGATCAAACTCAGCGGCGGCAGTAAGATGCTCGGGAACTGCTCTACATCGCGAATCCACAGGTGTATGAGGGATATAAGTTGCCGACGACACGGGCTCCAAAGGAGGCATGCTAGGGTATATAGAAGGATGGCATTTGTGTCGCTCCAGGTCCACCGATGTGATGGTGAATGAATTATGGCGAGTGGAGCTTTGACCTTCACTCCTGTCAGTATGAGGATCGCCGTCAAAAGTGGAGGCAATCTTTGATTCTTTGTGCATTTTTGGCAAACTATCAGACGACTCGGACCCGCGGAATAGTCTGAGAGACTTTGCTGCTTTACGGCCGGCCATGTTTGAGCTCTTTATCTCATCTTGATGTCGTTTGTCCTTCTCCACAGAGGGAGGAGAATCTTTGTTCCTAAGCTCTAGTTCGTTATCACACATTGGTATAGGCTATGAGGTCTAGTATGGTGAGACGTAGGAGAAATACGATGCCCAAGCATAGAATTAAATATATCAGAATACAACCAAAGTAGCTTTGAGCAGAGAAACAAAACAAGAAAAAAATATGACATTAAAAAATCCCTAATTTTAACCACGTTGAACAATTGGCAGCACAATCAAAAATATCTTTTGGTAAATAGTTGCAGGCAGATAGATCTTGGCTGGGAAGAGGAAAAAAAAACCTTGCTCGAGAAAAAAAGAGGTCGTACCCGGATTCGAACCGGGGTTGTTCGGATCAAAACCGAAAGTGATAACCACTACACTATACAACCTAACTCATCCAGAGTTCAGCACCATCTCATACTCTATGTGTTGGACTCCATCGACGCGACGATTAAGGGGGCCGGGCTCGGAAATTCCGCAGACCAATGGGGTCCTTATAATTTGTAAGGTACGTGGGATCAAACATCCAACCTCCCTTTCTACATTGCCATCCTCTCTGGATCTGTCTTGCAGGTTCTCCGGGGAGTTCAGTCCAAATTCGAAATATCCCATCTTCCCGGAGTTTTATGTCACTAAATGTATATAAAGAATTTTATACCCACCTTGTTTTTTTCCCTAGATATTTTAACATGTTGAGAGTTGCGAGACGTGCAAACAATATTCAGTGTTTGGCTAGATGCAGTCAGGCTGTGCTGAGAAAGTCCAGTCTGTCGCCAGCTTTTGCCCGTGGACTCAAAACCACCATTAGACCAACTCCTATTGCTTCTAATTTGACACACAGATCTCAAAATTTGAGAACGTCGATGCTTTTTGTGAGACACAACTCCCAGGTTGTGAAGGTCCCTGAAATGGCGGAGAGTATTACTGAAGGTACTCTGGCTTCGTTTGCCAAGGAGGTCGGAGAGTATGTCAGGCAAGACGAGCTGATCGCAACCATCGAGACAGATAAGATCGATGTGGAAGTCAACGCCCCTATCTCGGGAAAAGTCACTGAATTACTGGTGAATGTCGACGACACTGTCGAGGTCGGTCAGGACTTGCTGAAGATAGAGCCTGGAGAAGTTCCAGCTGATGCCGAGAAGGCAGAGCCAAAGAAAGAGGAGCCAAAGAAGGAGGAGCCAAAGAAGGAGGAGCCAAAGAAAGAGGCACCTAAGGAGGAAACTAAGAAAGAGGCTAAAAAGGCGGCTCCAAAGAAAGAAGAGCCAAAGAAGGAGACCTCTAAGGCCGCCACCCCAGAAAAGACCCAGTCTGCTGGAAAGTTCTCTAGAACCGAGGAGAGAGTCAAGATGAATAGAATGAGACTGAGAATTGCCGAGAGATTGAAGGAGTCGCAGAATACTGCCGCTTCGTTGACCACTTTCAACGAGGTCGACATGTCTGCTTTGATGGAAATGAGGAAACTGTACAAGGACGAGATTCTCAAGAAGACCGGTATCAAATTCGGATTCATGGGAGCATTCTCAAAGGCCAGTACTCTGGCCATGAAGTCGATTCCAGCTGTCAACGCTGCTATCGAAAACAATGACACCATGGTTTTCAGGGATTACGTTGATATTTCCATTGCCGTTGCCACTCCTAAGGGTCTGGTGACTCCAATTGTGAGAAACGCCGAGAGCTTGTCTGTTTTGGAGATTGAGGAAGCCATTGCCAACCTCGGTGTCCGTGCCAGAGACGGAAAGTTGACTTTGGAGGACATGGCCGGTGGAACCTTCACAATTTCTAACGGAGGTGTCTTTGGCTCTTTGTACGGTACTCCTATCATCAACATGCCACAGACCGCCGTGTTGGGTCTTCATGGAATCAAGGAGCGTCCCGTTGCCGTCAACGGTAAGGTCGAGATCCGTCCAATGATGTACCTTGCTCTGACGTACGACCACCGTATGCTGGACGGTAGAGAAGCTGTCACTTTCCTCAAGACCGTGAAAGAGTTGATCGAGGACCCAAGAAAGATGCTCTTGGTGTGAGTCTATAAATACTAAATTATTCTACGCACTTGTTGCTCAAGTGTCAACCGACTGTAGAGAGGTGGTGCATCCTTTGTAAAAATTGAATAAAATAAATTGAACATATAAATATCCATCACCTTTCATGCTGATTGCCAGCAACACCATAACACACGCCAAACATTTCGCCAGCGTGTTGCTCTCCTTGAAACCGGTTGAGAGGCAACGAGTACTGCTGCACAGACACCTAGTGGACCTCAACAACGCGCTGCGAGCCCGGTTCAACGACCTGCGAAATGGCTACTTTGACTACGTCGCCATTCCCTTTGATATTGAAAAGCAACCGATACGCCCGTACGATCTTCCGTACGGCGCCCTGATTAGAGGCCGGGACGAAAAAATGCTGCAAAATAGACTCATAGAACCGCAGATGCTGAATCTCAAAACTAAATGGCCAAACTTGTTTTACAACGACTTCCTGTACAGCAACCTGTCGACATACCACGTCCATGTCTCGCTCACGCCGATTGTGATGTACGAATCCGACGAGTCGATCGTCCACTACAAACGCGAATACCAGAAACGAAGCAAGCAGCTCAGAGACTCGGGGAAATACTCCCCTGTGCCCATCAACTTGGACGGCAAAGTGAAAATGTTCACCAGAGTCGACTACCAGCGGTTTTTCTTGGCGCTTCCGCTCGACGAGCCCACCGTGAAGCTGATCGAGCCTATCTGCGACGCCTTCTGCGACATAAGGTTCTCCCAGGACGACATTGGCTACGTGAACGGCGAGGTGCCCGGATCGCCAACGTGGAAGATTGATGGTTTGCACGTGACGCTTGGAATGAACGCGCTTCCGCAGCCGCCGACGAACAACTTCCCCTTTGGCATGTACGAGCTGAGCTATCTAAACAACGTGCTCCTCAAGCCTAAAGAGGAACTGCTAAAAACGTTCCCTGATCGACTGGGCCTGGATCTAATAAGCGACGTCAAGCTGGAACTGACGCGCGAGGAGCTGCAGGAGCTGCAGTTCGAGAGTTCGCGGCTGGTTTGTTCGCTGGACAGAGGCGAGCTATGGGAAGATCTCTGATCGTGGAGCACAGCCCGAAAAATTTGCGACCGGTGTTTACCTCATTCCTAAAGCGGAAACTCATTAAGATAATATTTCATGTCCCGGATAAGTTTAATCAGTTGCTTTTCACCTGTGATTCTAGAGCAATGGCCTGGCAGATGAACAACCCGTTTGTGGACTCGCAGCAGGGGTTGCCGGCCAACTTCAAGACGATTCCTCTTCCGGATGACAATTTTGGCTTCGACCCCGAAGTGTACGGAGAAACCGAGGACCTCGACTCGATTCTATACGACCTTGGCATTTCCGAAGGATACAGCCAGCAGCAGACCTCGTTTGAGAAGAAACATTCGAGACAGATCAGCGGATCTGGCATTTTTGGCTACGTGGGCACTGGCGACGACACGCAGCTGGCTATTCCTGGGCTCCCGGTGGTGGACATCAAGAACAAAAAACCGCTGTATCAGCCCATCGAACGATACATTGACAGCACATACATCACAAACAACGTCCCCTCACAGACAGCGGCGAAGCCGGCCCCAGACTACTTTGTCACTGGGCAGCACGACGGCTACAAGTTCCCCCCTCCAAATCCGGAAAGCACACAGGAAACCCCAGCTAAACCACAGGACACGGCGGACCCTGCCTCTGAGTATACGCCGCTACGTGCCACGAGCAGCTATTCTGCCCAGGAGCTCATAACTTTAAGGCAGCTGCAGGATTCCAAAGAAAGCAATCCTGCAAATGCTCAGTTTACACCGATCAAGGTAAAGCACACGTTCGTGGACATCAAGACGCCGACGCCGCAGAAACAGCCCGCGCACTACAGCTGGACGCCGACGCTGATCACGAAGAAAGACTCCGTCTCCGAGCAGATCATCCAGGAGCAGCGTAGGTCTCCTACGAAGAAGAAAAAGCCAACCATCACCTCGACGCTCGAGCGTGGTGCGCTCGACGTGCATTTTGTGGGGCCCGACGAAAACGACATGTTCAAATGCATATACAACGACTGCGGCAAGCTGTTCACGAGAGTCTCCAACATCAGAGCACACATCCAGACACATCTCTCTGACCGGCCGTTCATTTGCGACAAGTGCGGCAAGGCATTTGTGCGAAACCACGATCTCAGACGACACTACAAGGGCCACGAGGAGTTCAAGCACGTTTGTCCGTGCGGCAAGAAGTTCCCGCGGCAGGACGCTCTGAAGCGACATCGGATCAGAAATATATGCATCGGCGCGCTGCCGGACGAAAAGGGTGTGTTCAAGAAGAAACAGCGGCGAGCGGGAGGCGCTGCACCGGACGCCAAACGAGGCCGTCCGCGCAAAGTCGACGACAAGACCGAGCAGAGGCTGCTGCAGGATCTCGACACGCCGCAGTTCCAGCCGTACGAGGAGACAAGTCCGTCGATCTCGCCAGACATGGGCGTGGGGCAGCCGCTGGACGTGAGCTTCAGGGAGCCGTTCAAGGACTCGTTCTACTACGAGGCAGGCGAGTTCGCAAGCAACCTGGAGCCTGAGTTCTCCTTCAATGTTGACGACTACGAGTTTGGTCGGGGTGTATAGTATGTATCAGTAATGCGAAGCGACGTCGACTCAGTACGGGATGCCGTTCGTGAGTCTCTGGAACTCGTCGTAGCCCTTCGTGGCCAGCGACTCGAACGATTTTCTGATCAGCCCGCGGATGTATCTGGCCGCCTCCTTGTCGCTCTTCTTGGGCACAAACCGTGCCGTCAAATGTTTGATGGTAGCAGGCTTGAAGCACGGCAGCCCCGAGCTCAGCATCGGCACCACCATGTTGACGATCGCGTCCATGTACGGCCGACAAACCAAAAACGACTTGACACAGAGCTCTTCGAACCACTTGTACGCCTGCGTGTCTGTGGAGCCACCCATGACACGCACCATCTCGCGCGTGAGCTTGAACGGCGACTGCTCAAACTTGACGCCGCCGGGCACGATGTCGAAACAGAAGCCAAAGTCGACGTGCAACACGTGGCCCTGGTCGTCGTACATGATGTTTCCGTTGTGTCTGTCCTTGATTTCCAGCAGATACGTGATGATGGAGTACGCCGCGAGCGATTTCACAAAGTTGTTGCGAGCCTTCTGGAACTCGATCGACGTTTCTGGGCCGTGCTGGCTGATGAAGTACTCGTACAGCCCGTTGACGGCCTCTCTGCCGAGCATGTCGCGCGAGATCGAGTTTGGCAGCACGTCGATGATGCCGCAGCCTGGTGCCGTCGCGGTAACGCGGTACGGGAACACAAACACGTCCAGCCCGGCGTCCATCCAGATCGTCCGGAACAGCGACATCAGCTGCAGCGCAAGCAGGTCCTGTCTGCAGTCGTCGCCGACCTTGAAAATGGCGCTGAGGTCCTCGATGCGCTGCTGCTTGTCGCCGTCGACGGTGCTGACCTCCTTGCGGATCTTGAACGTGGCCATGAACGGCGCCTTGGCGTGCGACTGCAGCGGCTTTCCAGACTGCCGGTTGATGTCCACCACCACGCCCTGCGGGTTGCTGGGCAGATAAACACCTTCCTCGACCTTGATGGTCGCCATGTGCTTGTCGATCTGCGCTTTTTTCTCCGGCTTGCTGCTCTTGATGAACGGCTTTAATTTGCCAGAAATGCCCGTCACCTCCTCAAAAAATCTGAACTCCCTCTCGTAATATGCCCGGTCCTGCGGCGTGAACTCGGCCACCATCGTCGACCGGATCTCGTCCAGCGTGGGCTTGATGTCGTCCGGCACCGTCGAATCCTCGTCCTTGTACGAGTTTGCGGCCATGTTCCAGATAATCTGGTGCGCAAACAGCTGCGACACCTTGGCCGTCTCCAAAATGAACCGGCGCACGTAGCCCAGCTGCATGTCGAACCGTAGTGCTTGCACGATCTGCGGGACGTAGAAAAACGTCAAGTGGGCGTCGAAACTTTCAAGAGAGCGCATCGTGTACTGCAAGATAATCGGGTCGCTGTTGAATGGCGGCAGAAACAGGTTGATCGCGTCCGACGGCGACGCAGCCGTCGACAGCACCATCAGCGACGGCACCTTGACGTCCTCGCTGGCAAGCAACAGCCGCAGCGCAGTTGGGTCCTCGAGCGCCTTGAGCGGGTCGTTTTGTATCAGGTGTCTGATGGGTCTCTCCAGCGAGAGCGTCCGGTACCGCTCGACCAGATTCAGGGCCAAGCGGCCGTCCAGGGCGTACGCGTCTGCCAAAACGCGGTCCGTGACCTTCACGTTGCTATAAGAGCCGGTGGTGTCCATTGGATGCAGCGGGTGCAGCCATGTGGCTAGGAAGCTGATCTCGTGGTCGAGGAAAAGCAGCAAGAGCACGCGCTTGCGCTCAAACACCGGGTTCTCCGGGTATCGCGCGTCCATGAAGAGCTTGGCGGCCATGTTAAGGATGCCAAAGTCACCGCGGATCTTCATCTTGTTGTTCCCATACGGAGCACGGTGTTTGGTAGCAAACCACGAGAGCGCGCCATCAAGGATTGCAGAAGTGAGTCCGGGCACGTCTCTGGTTCCGAGGCTGCGGTGCACCTTCAGCACGCTTAGGGCAAAATTGATGAGCTCGAAGCGTGCCGTGCGGGCAAACGGATGCGTGCTGGCAAAAGTTAGCCCCAGCAGCGCAATCAACACGGTCCGGGTGAACATCTTGAATATATGGCTGCTCTGGTACCGTGTGGCCTCAAAGTGCGACGCCAGCAGTCTAAACAGCAGCAGGTGCGCTTTTATGTTCTTTGAAGCGTTGCGGCCGTTGTAGTCTATCTGCTCCTTGCTTGTCGGCAGATATTCCATCTTGTTGTACTTGGAGTTCTGTATATCGAACTGTTTGCTGTAAAGACCCTTCTGCAACTTGATGGACTCCTCCAAACGCTGGCATATCTCAGAGAGCACGAGCGGCGCCAGGTCCGACCGCATCTTCATGATGCTGAGCCACAGACCGACGCCAAGTTCGATCGAGTCCGCGTCAAAAATAGCAAACGGAATTGCAACCACCTCGCGCAGCAAGTCGCCCATGCTGTGGTCAGAGGAGCGGATGATCAGCGATGCGGCGGCATGGAGCACGAGTCTGAGCAGGTTGGGAGCCACAGGCAGGTGCGCAGACACGGCCGCCCGTAAATCGGCCATTTTCCTGCGGGTGTGCAAATGCAGAGCACGCAGCCCAGCAGCCTCGTGGTCGGTGAGTCGCAGCAGCGAGTCGTAGCCGCCGGCTTTCCAGGGGAATTGGGACAGAAACGCTGAGGTGATGTTGACTTGCCGGCCAGACAGCCCGTCGACGCTCGACAGTTCGCGGTCCGCAGGCATGACCTTGCCCGCCATTTCCAGAGCGAAGGTGACACCGTAGTTGGCTACTTTTCTGGACGTGCCGTTGACCTTGGAGACGTACGACTGCAGCAGCGACTTGGTGTCCTGCGGACACTTGAGCAGACACAGCGTGATCCATTTGCGAGCCGAGCTGGTCAGCAGGTCGAGCGTCTTGTGTCTCCATTTGTACGAGTCGGAGAGCAACAGCTTCACGCCGGACACCGGCGCGGTAAACTCGATCCGTGGCTCGTACTCGTTGGTGTCGGCGTCAATGACGCTCTCGTAGAGCAGACTCAAAATGTCCAGCAGAGAGAAGAGCGACATTTCGTAGCAGAGCAGCACGGGAGCACGCACAATCAGGAGCTCAGTGCACTGCAACGCTGCGTTCTGGAGCGCAAAGTCTCTGTGGCAGCAGAATATGAACAGGTTCTGGAGCTGGCGAGTGATCTTTGCCGTGGTGAACGACGAGGAGCCGCCTTTTTGGACGCGGCGGAAGTACTGAGACGTCACGTAGAACGCAATCGAGCCGGAAAAGTCCTGCAGATTCGAGATCGAGATGGTCGGGTCCGAGAGGTACTCCAGCGACGTCGAGCAGTCGCCGCATTCGGCACGCAAACTCTCGAGCAGCAGGTTTGAGGCCAGGAACATGAGCTTGGGCCGCGAGATCTGCGTTTCGAAGACTTTGGCGTCGATAGACTTCGACGTGATAATCGAGCTCAGCACGTCCTTGTGCAGCTTCTCGGTGTGCTTCGAGGTGCCCCTGCGGAGCACCGTGTTCATGTCGATCGTCGTCTCTGTGCGGTTCCACGACGACTCGGACGCCAGGGCCGGCGAGTTGTGTGCAACGCGCATGAGACTGTCGTAGTTGGCAGCCAGAAGCTCGGAGCCGTGCGCGTAGCCGTGGATGCACAGGTTGAACCACATGTCCTTGAACAGCGCAACGGTCTCTTTGTCTGTCGGAATGAGTGGTTCCTGGTCGACGGGGGGCAGAAGATACGCCAAAGGCTTTAGATACAGAGAAATCTCAGAGGCAGAGATCGACACTTCGTTGTTCGACCGGTGGTGCTCCAGGTCGTCAATATCGCCCTTGGAAATGATCGCAGATAGCATCTCGTGCAAATACACGGTGTACAGGCTGGAGCTCGCTCTTTTGGCCATGATCTCGGAAAACTCGGTCCACACAGAGCTGATGCGGGAGAACGAAACCTTGTCCTTGGTGGAAATGGTCGAGATGTCGAAAAAGTGTCTCACCAGGATCAGAAATTCCCGCTCCTCCATCACGTCCACAAAACCAGTCAGTCCGCGCAACAGCAAACAGTTTAGCTCTGTTGGTGTCCTGCGCACTTTCTGGAAGAGAATCGTCACTGCCAGGATATTGATTGACTCGTCTCTGAACGCCTTAGCGATCTCCAAAACCGCCGCAATCACGTTTCTGTACACGAGCGGTAGCACCTCGATTGCGTACGAGCCGTCCTCGGTCAGCGTTGACGGAGGCTGGCCGGTCGCGGTCGACGAGAGCGAGAACGAGGGTCTTAGCTCCATCGTGCCGCTCACAGTGCCGCTGTTTGGCTTTGCTGCGTCGGTCAAGATGTTCGTCAGACTGTACACGCACGATACAACGTCGTCCTCGGTCAGATTTTTCAAACAGAACGAAAGCGATTGCGCAAGCTCGCTGACAGCCTCGCTGTTCAAAACCGGCAGCGACAAAATCGCTGGCAGACACTTGCTGAGACGGAGGCCGATAAAGCTCTTTCTCGCCGAAAGAAGAGCTGCGCTCGAGAATATGCTCGTGAGCAGCTCGGAATTAATCATCTCCACCACCTCGCTCGTGCAGTTGCCGTCTATCTTGTAGAGCTGCTCCAGATAGTCGTCCATCAGCGCCGTGGCAAAATTGAGATCCACAACCGAAAGCGTCGAGCCCAACGCGAGTATCTCGATCGTGGACGCCTTGATGGAGTAGCCCGCGTTTCTGCGGCCAAACGTCGACGTTACCAGCCTGTCGGAGCCGTTGTTGACGTATTTGTTGTTCGCAATGGCTGTCAGCGCGAGCTCCTTCAGCAGCGATGTGTCCAATTTTTTCTGGAGCTCCTTGGTGTTACTGGCCAGGACGTGGAACACGAGAGATTTTTCAGACTTGCACTCCAGTTGGCACTTGAGAAACTCAACGGCCAGCTTCTGCACCAAAAACATGAAAAACAGCGACGAAAACTCAAACCCGTAGTCCTCGAAATTGTTCACCATCTCCACATAAACGTGCTCGTCGATCGAGCCAATACATGACTCGACTTGGGAAAAAAACGCTTCGTCAAAGACACTCACCACGCGCCGCACAAGATCGGAGCCAACAAACGCGATGTTTTTAGTCAGCCCTTGCAGAAGCCCTACATAGCAAAACAGAGTCCTCAGGTTGGCCGAGTCTGACTGCAAGGTGTCAATAAACCGGAAAACCAGATCCTGACATTTTGGCCTCACTGTGGGCAAATTCAGCCCCAAAGTCGAAACTGCAACAACCAATTCGTATGACAGCTTTGTCCACGGCGTGGGAAAGTACGTTTTGAGCGTTTTCTTCGAGGAAAACCTATCGGTGCCCAATTCCGCTAGATAGAGCTCAAATCTAGAGAGCAGGATCTCTGCTTGGATCTTGCTTTTGATATGTTCGCAACTTCTGCAGAGCGCCAGCAGAACCTCAAATTCCGAGTGCCGGATATTCTTGCTGCCCAACTGCGCGCCAGACTGGCTCCTAGTGGCCGCCAGCAGCCGCTTCAACGTGTCAGGGACACTCTGTTCGAGCGTGCTGGAGTCGTCCACCTCCCGCACAGAAAGCGAGGCCAGCTTCTCCAGCGCTCTTGCTCTAATTGAGCCTTTTGAAACACTTTTGTTAGAGGCAAAACCAAAAAAATACATACCCGCAGAAAGACATGAATGAACGTTGATTTAAGTTTACTGCCGGTTGAAAAAAAAACACAAAAGTGCTGGTGGTATAGCTCTTGGTGATTATTACATAAGCATTTATTTCGAAGGAACTAGCGTCTGTCTATGTGTAGGTCTCAATCAAGGTGTCTCTGAGGTTGCCAGAGATGGCGTCTGGCTGTGCATCTTGCAGTCTGAATATACTCTCAACGACACTGAGCTCTGGAGCCGTGGTGTCGAGTCCAGAGACGGCCAGCCAGTCGTTAACCACCATGCCTGCTCCCACAACAGCGGACCCCCGATTCACCGTACCTGCGACCAAGGGCACCTGGAGCAGTGATGAGAGCTCCTCCTGGTCCGGGATCGGGGTTTGAGGGTGAACCAGACCGCCCTGGTTCGAAAGAGCGCAATAAGATCCAACAAGAACGTTTCCCGCAATGGTCTGCCTAAACACCTCCACACCCAGAACGTCGGCTATAAGTTCCTCCGTTTCTCTTTCAACATCTGGATGCACAAGAGCGACGTAGTCATTGCAGCAGATCACGTTTCCCAGGGCTGAAAGACGCTCTTCAACACGCTGGATCTTCACGGAGTCCGGAAGACTGTTTCTCAAATGCATGAGTTCTTGATCGGTTGTCTGTGTAGGGACGAGCAGACCTCTTCTGTTGCCTGCGGTCATGCGGCCCACGATTCTGGTGCCTGCAATGGTGGTGTGCACAATAGGGATCACATCGCCCAGCTCGGCCTCAAAGGCAGAATAAAAATTCTCGGAGCCTCCAACAGCCACCAAACAATACGAGTTGGTGAGCTTGGCGAATACGCCGACCTCGTTGGAATTCTCAAACTGTGTTCTAGTTGCCATTCCTAAAATTTTTTTTAAGACTAAAAAAAAGATATAATGAAAAATTAATTGCAATGCACATCTCTGCATTGGTAGCTACTTTCAGTCTCTAATCGTTTAATCCATATCTAATTACTGTGTCTACGTATCGGTCACATATCGTTCAAATCGGTCACATCGGTCATGTCGTTCATCATCGTTCAGTCCAAATCTGGAGTGCTGTATCCAGAGTCGTCGTCAGCGTCGTCTGTCCAGTCGTCGACGTCCATCGCGTCCTGGACCTCGTGGTTAGGCACCACGACAATGCCCTTCTCGTTCGTCGTGATCCTCACCACTTCCTTGTCTTGAACCTGTCCGTTAAGCACCATGATGGCCAGGTGGTTCAGGATCTCATTCTGGATGAGTCTGTTCAGAGGTCTAGCGCCCAGATCTGGCGAGTAGCCCTTCTTACAGAGATACTCCAGTGCGCCGTCGTCCACGTCCAGTCTAAGCGACTTACCGTTGAGCTCGAACCTGCTCTCGATCTCCTTCAATCTCAGCTTGACGATCTTGGCAATTGCATGTCTCGAGAGTCTGTTGAACACCACTGTGGCGGAGATTCTGTTGAGGAACTCCGGTCTAAAGTGAGCGCGCACGGCAGACATCACCAGGTTCTTGGTCTCCTCGTCTATCTTGCTGCCCTTCGATGCGTTGATGTACTCGGCACCCAGGTTCGACGTCATGATCACAATACAGTTCGAGCAGTTGACGAGCGTACCATTGGCAGCCGTGATTCTGCCGTCGTCGAGCATCTGCAGAAGCACGTTCAGCACCTCGGGAGCAGCCTTCTCGACCTCGTCGAAAAGCACCACCGAGTATGGCTTTCTGAGAAGCTGGTTGGTCAGCATACCACCCTCCTCGTAGCCAATGTAACCGGCAGTGGTACCGATAAGCTTCGAAACGGAGTATTTCTCCATCAGCTCGGAGCAGTCGATCCGGATCATGGCTCTCTCGTCTGAAAACAGAAATCCTGCCAGCTTCTTGGCCAGCTCTGTCTTACCGGATCCCGAAAGACCAAGGAATAGGAATGAAGCCGGCTGGTGAGGATTGGCCAGACCTGAACGCGACAGTCTGATAGCGTTCGACACAGCCTTGACTGCCTCGCCTTGGCCAACCACGGCCGAAGACAACTCCTTTTCCATCGTGATGAGCTTAGCATTCTCGGCCTGCGTAAGCTTGCTGACAGGAATGCCCGTCAGTCGAGCAGCGGTCTCGGCAACCTGCTCGGAACCAACAACGTTCTTCACCAAAAACTCCTCGCTCTTGGCCTCTTCCTCCATCACCTTGGCCTCGAGCTCCTCGATCCGTCTCTTCACGTCCGGAATGGCAAACATTCTCAGATCGGCAATGGTCTGCGAGTCGTGCCGTCTCTCGGCGTCCTGGGCCTTGACTTCCAGCTCGTCCAGCTTCCGCTTGGCAGCCGTCAGTTCTTCGTGGCCCGCGCGCTCCTGGTCGTACTTTTCTCTAAGTGGTGCAAGCTCCTCCTCGAGATTCTGCTTGCGCTGTCTGGCGGCCTCCAGTCTCTCCTTTGTAGAGCTGTCGGCATCCTGGTCTCTCTCCAGAGCGCTGATTTCAACCTCGATCAGCTCAAGCTGTCTCTCTTTCGAATCCAGCTCCTCCGGCTTCGAGTCTCTTGCCACGGCAACGCCGGCGGCCGTTTCATCAATTAAATCGACAGCAGAGTCTGGCAATTTTCTGTAGGTGAGATACCTAGAAGCAAGCTGGGCAGCAGTCACCAGGGCACTGTCCAAAATACGCACACCGTGGTGGATCTCGTATCTTGGCTGCAAACCTCTCAAGATGGCAACAGTCTCCTGGATTGTAGGCTCTCTCACGTCGATTCTTTGGAACCGTCTCTCGAAAGCACCGTCCTTCTCAATGTACTTGCGGTACTCAGTGACGGTTGTGGCACCAATACAGTGGAAGTCGCCTCTGGCCAGAGCTGGCTTCAGCAGGTTGGCAGCATCAGACTTTCCATCACCCATCAACATGTGAATCTCGTCGATAAACAGAATAACCATGGCCTGCGACTTCTCAATGTCGCTCAAGACTCCTTTAAGTCTTTCTTCGAATTCACCCTGGTATTTTGCTCCAGCCTTCAAAGCACCCAGGTCAAGCGAGTACAGCTTGCAGCCCTGCAAAACAGTAGGAACGTCGTTGTCCACTATTCTCTGTGCCACTCCCTCGACAATACTGGTCTTACCAACACCGGGATCACCAATCAGACATGGGTTTGACTTGGCTCTTCTGGCGAGCACCCGGATGGTCCGTCTGATCTCCTCTTCTCTGCCAATGACTGGGTCGATTTTACCCTGTAGTGCCCTCTCGGTCAAGTCAATGGCGTACTTGGACAAAAACTCGAATTGCTGCGACGAATCGGCCTGTCTAGAGTCAATTCTCTGGTTTCCTCTCAACTCCTGAATCTGTGCTTTGAGCGCATCGACCTTGATGTTGACCTCCTTCAAGATGCTCTTGATCGTGGAGTCCTCGAGCAATGCCAGCAAAATGTGGTCCTGGCCGATGTAGGAATCCTTTTGCTGGCCCTTGATTTTATTAGCGTTCGTGATAATGTTGGCAGCAGATGCCGAGAACGATGGCTCGGTATTACTGCCTTCAACACTTGGCAGTCTCACCAAGTGCTTGTTGACTGTGCGCTCAAAAGCTTGCCAGTCAAAGCGGCCTCTTTCTATCAGCGTTTTCAGATATATGGCCTCCCCATCTGTAGACATCGGAGTCATAGCAGCAAGGAAATGGAGAGGAACAATCTGAGCATGGTTGTTTTGCTGACACAGCTTCTGAGCTGTGGTCACAATGTTTAAAGCTCTGTCGGTAAATTGTGATTGATCCATGATTGACAAAATTGCTGCTGTAAGGAAAGCAATTTATACAGCATCGAAACGCGAGACCCTCCTCTGGTGATCTGGTTATCTAGAGCCGCACAGAAAGTTCTAGTAATATCTGGTGTGCGGTGGAGGTCACTGGAGTCTGGTTTGCATGTTTTGGCCTAAGGGGCCTACGTAATCTACTTGTGTGTTTTCTTTGGTGCACGGAGGTTGCTGGTGGCAAAAATCTGACTACTGTTCGCAAATTCTTTTCCTCCATACTCGGCTCGGAGTTTCAAAAATGTTCCTTTGTGATCATAGAAAATATGGCTGTGCAAAGCCGATCTCGGCTTTGTCATTTTGCAGATCAGGATTAACGCCCTTACCGCAACCAAAAGGCGGGTCCTGTCTTGCAGCTGTCCATGGCACCTCCTACTCTCATGTCTAGCAGCTTGAACGGCGTTTTTCCGACCACTCTCTGACAACCCTTTACTTCTCTGTTTTACAAATCCTTGGGCTCTCATTGGCTCGACGTGCCTGGACTAACGGAGCCCTGCACGCAGCTATGCGGCTTTTGTCGTGCCGGGGCCGACTTTTTTAACAACTACCATGCAGAACGACTACCTGCGTGACGTAGTTTCCACGGGGGGCGCCTGGTGGACCACCGGGCAGCCCCCAGATTTTCCCTGGTGGACATCCGGCTGGCAACTTTTACCTTCCTCCTGCACGCATAATTTATAAATACATCATCACCACCACTTTTGTTTTTAACCAAACATGTTGTCGGTTTCATCGAGAACAGCCAGATCGGCTACAAAACGCATTTCGCGTTCCATGGCAACTGTCTCTGACATCACCAGGGACTCCAAGGTGCCTCAGAACTTGCTGGAGAAAGGGAACTACATCAACTACAAGAAGCAGTTGGAGGTCCTAGAGATCGTCAAAAGCAGACTCAACAGACCTTTGACGTACGCTGAGAAATTGCTCTACGCCCACTTGGATGACCCGCACGGACAGGACATCCAAAGAGGTGTCTCCTACCTGAAGCTCAGACCAGACAGAGTTGCTTGTCAGGATGCCACCGCCCAAATGGCCATCCTGCAATTCATGTCTGCTGGTATGCCATCGGTTGCCACCCCAACCACTGTGCACTGTGATCACTTGATTCAGGCTCAAAAGGATGGCCCTGCTGACTTGGCTAGAGCTATCAGCCTGAACAAGGAGGTGTACGATTTCCTTGCATCTGCATGTGCCAAGTACAACATTGGTTTCTGGAAACCAGGATCTGGTATCATCCACCAGATCATTCTCGAGAACTACGCTTTCCCAGGTGAGTTGCTGATTGGTACCGACTCCCACACCCCTAACGCTGGTGGTCTGGGTCAGTTGGCCATTGGTGTCGGTGGTGCTGACGCTGTCGACGTCATGGCAGGCTTGCCATGGGAGCTGAAGGCACCAAAGATCATTGGTGTCAAGCTTACCGGTAAGATGTCTGGATGGACTTCTCCTAAGGATATCATCCTGAAGCTGGCCGGTATCACTACCGTCAAGGGTGGAACCGGCTCTATTGTCGAGTACTACGGTGAGGGTGTCGACACCTTCTCTTGTACCGGTATGGCAACTATCTGTAACATGGGTGCTGAGATTGGTGCCACCACCTCCGTTTTCCCATTCAACGAGTCCATGGTTGAGTACCTGAATGCTACCGGAAGATCTCAAATTGCTGAGTTCGCAAAACTCTACCAAAAGGACTACCTGTCTGCTGACAAGGGCTGTGAGTACGATCAGGTGATTGAGATTGACCTCAACACTCTGGAGCCACACGTCAACGGCCCATTCACCCCAGATCTTGCCACCCCAGTGTCGAAGATGAAGGAGGTTGCCGTTGCCAACGACTGGCCATTGGAAGTCAAGGTTGGTCTGATTGGTTCTTGTACCAATTCTTCCTACGAAGACATGTCCAGAGCTGCCTCTATTATCCAGGATGCTGAGTCTCACGGACTGAAGGCCAAGTCTATCTTCACCGTCACTCCAGGTTCCGAGCAAGTCAGAGCCACCATCGCCAGAGACGGTCAATTGAAGGTGTTCCAAGACTTTGGTGGTAAGGTTCTGGCTAACGCCTGTGGTCCATGTATTGGTCAATGGGACAGACAAGACATCAAGAAGGGTGACAAAAACACCATTGTGTCCTCCTTCAACAGAAACTTCACTTCCAGAAACGACGGTAATCCAGCTACCCATGCTTTCGTCGCTTCTCCGGAGATGGTTGTTGCCTACGCCATTGCCGGTGACTTGAGATTCAACCCATTGACTGACAAGTTGAAGGACGCCAACGGAAACGAGTTCATGCTGAAGCCACCTGTCGGTGTTGGTCTGCCACCAAAAGGATACGACCCTGGTGAAAACACCTACCAAGCTCCTCCAGAAGAGAGATCTTCTGTTGAAGTGAACATTTCCCCAACTTCCGACAGATTGCAAAAGCTGCAGCCATTCAAGCCATGGGATGGAAAGGATGCTTACAGAATGCCAATCTTGATCAAGTCTCTTGGTAAGACCACTACTGACCACATCTCTATGGCTGGTCCTTGGTTGAAGTACCGTGGACACTTGGAGAACATCTCTCAGAACTACATGATTGGTGCCATCAACGCTGAGAACGGTAAGGCCAACTCTGTCAAGAACCACTACACTGGTGAGTACCACGGTGTTCCAGAGACCGCTGCATACTACAGAGACCACGGTATCAAGTGGGTTGTTATTGGTGGCGAGAACTTTGGTGAGGGTTCTTCCAGAGAGCACGCTGCATTGGAGCCAAGATTCCTTGGTGGATTTGCCATTATTACCAAGTCTTTTGCTAGAATTCACGAGACCAACCTGAAGAAGCAAGGTCTTTTGCCATTGAACTTTGTGGAGCCAGAGGCTTACGACAGAATCAACCCAGATGATGAGATCGACCTTGTTGGACTGACCGAGTTGGCCCCAGGTAAACACGTGACCATGGTTGTTCACCCTAAGGAAGGTGAGGCTTGGTCTACTCCACTGTCTCACACTTACAACGAAGAGCAAATCGAGTGGTTCAAGTACGGTTCTGCTCTGAACAAAATGGGTGCTTCCAGAAAATAAGGACTGAAATCGGATGCTGCCGAAGTTGGTGACGTTTACTTAATAGAAGGGTGGTAAGTTTCGGCAGAGTTTGCTAATTGGTTTCACAAGTTTATTTATTTACTATCCATTATATTTGATTGTGTGAAAAAAACTTATTCTCGTATCATTAACTATCGTAGAGACAGGATCCCCCGCGAAGGAAGTAGATCAGGTTTTCTCCATTTTCTGGTTTGTCTGGCGGTGTGCATTTGTCCTGTGCCGCAAAACCCAGCGGTCCTTTATCGCAGTCCGCACACGTTAGAAATCTTGCTACTTGCAACACCATTTTGTCCTGATTCTCCAGATTTTCCATCTCCACAGCTATCTCGGACGAGGGTCTACTCACTCCGATGTTATCAAAGTCCCACATTGAGCCCACATGGAAGAACACATCGTTGTGGTCAGGTACATGAGAGTTGATCTGCAATGAAGGAGAAAGGTCGACAAATGCGAATTCCCTGGGCATTGGCGATATAGAAGCGTACCGTGACCTTTGAGGTGTTGAAGAGATTATTTTACAGCGGCAGAATGGACATCGTAAGGCATATTGTGTTGTGGAGTCGATCTGATGGAAGGAAGACATAGGTGGAATATTAAAAATACATTGTATTTAATGAAAAATTAGCGAATCTGCAACAAATAATTTAGTCGCACTCTAGTAAAGTCCTTGATTATTCGATACGGTCTACATCATTCGTACTTTCTGTCCTTCAAACCCTCTTCCACATCCTTGATCATATAGGAATACCAGTACATGGCTGGCCAAATAGTGGCGAAATGCCATAGGGCATGTGCATCGAGAAGATCGAAGAGAGGCGGAAAGTCAAAGAGCTCAAAAGACATGCCTGCACTCACGCTCACGACCAGAACCAGCGGCGTGAGCGTCCAATTGATTTCTTTATTCAGGAGGTCACGTTTTAGCGACATAGAGCGTCTGGCTCTGTTGAAACAGTTGATGGAATGATAGATCCACAACACATCTTGAAGTAGTCCGCAAGCTAAGTTGGCTTGCATGTTGTAAGTGTACGACCAGTCCCTCAGAAGTCTGCCAACATGGAGGAAGTATGCAAGAAGCGTGCAAACTGCGAGAACCTGGCGCTTGAGATCGTTTTCCGGAAGATAGAGTCTGAACACCCGAACGACGATCGCGTAGAAGCCAGACAGCACAGTGGCCCCGGCAAAAAAATAGTCCAGTCTCTCTCGGTTCCACGTATCTCTCAGATGGAACAATGTAGAGAAAAACCAAGCGCACATCGCCACGACAGCCACGATCATGTATGCCGTGTATAACTTGACGAAATGCGTATTTCCTGCCCTAATCTCCTTTTTGTATTGCTTCCATATCATCTTAGCTCCCCAGTAGTGAGGGAACCAGTTTCCGATGCTGAAGATGGTGCTGAAAAGCTCCTGAATCCCAAGGACACGAATAAACGGCCATTTTCCGTGGAACTGATAAACCTCGAGATTTTTACTCTGGCGGTCCTTAGTGACGATTCGCTGGCATTGGTAGTCGCAATTAGGAAAACAGTCCCAGCCAACGAGTCGCAAGTCCCACGAGAGCGGCGGTTCCTGGAACATGTGGTATTTCTGCTGTTGAGACTGCCAACGCAAAAGCGTTCTCTCTGAAACGTCAGAGTACTTTGAGATGCCGTTGCACGTCAAAACATCGCATTTTTTCACACACGTTTGGAACTCGGGCAATTCATCGCCCAATGAAGCCCTCACAGGCGACAATAATAATAGGAATATGAGAATTATCATGAGAAAATTAAATACTGTTATATAAATCGCGTTATTCGTTTTTCTCGAACTTCAGGCTTTTCAGAATCAAGTCGTCTGCAGCCTGGGAATCGAGCATTTTCAGCTGGTCCTGCGGAATGAAAGTCGGAAAGTAGATTGCAAGAACCATGAAGAACATCAGGACGCCAGGAAACCCTATCGCGCCCTTTGTGCACGTGATAGCGAACTCGAAGCCAAAGGCTGCCAGTTGCAAAGCCAGAAAGATGAGGAACCATTTTCGCTCGAGCAGAAAATAATGGCGGGGAAAACCCATGATTTCCCTGGAGGCAGGATCTGTGAAAAGAAACCGGAGTTTCTGCACAACCTCGTTCTCATTCAAGGCTCCAATAGCCATGATGAAAAACAATCCAGCTAGAACTGCCTGGGGAATCTGGCCTAAAACAACTAGAAAGGGTCTGGTCATCATTACTAGCGTCATGAGGCCCTGAATGATATTGCTGAGCCGCTGTTCAACCACTCGAACAACCCTGTCTTTTCCGGTAGCATAATCGTGCTCGTGGACGCAGAGCGCCTCCGTGTGCAAGGGGGCCTGAGGAATGAGGCCGTTCGGGGCCGGTATCCCCAGAATTCCAGCAATTCCTGTGGTAATCCCCAGCAGCATGAAGTCGTAGTGGAATGAGCTTGGTTTTTTCAACGGAAATTCGTCTGACTGGCACATCAGGGAAGAAACGTTGTGATCGAAATAAAACAGTATAGTAAGAAGAATGCCAAAAGGCAGCGCCAGAAACACATCGCCAACGGATACATCTCGCCAGAACGGAATGTACCAACTTTCAGGACGGTCCGGCGACGTGGGGTGAAATGAGCGGGTGATTGGCAGCCTAGCGAAATCCACGGATTTGAGATGGCCTCCAAAATGGATAAATCCGGTGAAAAACACCACGCTGAGCGGGGTGCCATAGTCTTTCACAAATTTGCGGAACAAGGGATGAATGTAGTGCGACTTTGTGCCGAAGAAGTGTGCGGCCAGGCCAAACAGGGTCATCACCAGGGCCACGACGATCGATGCGAAACCGCTCAAATCGTCTTTAATTGCAAACTGGTGTGTCAGGATCTGGATTCCTTTCTGGATGTAGACGATATTAATAAACAGACCAAAAGAGATGCAGCTGTATTTGGTGACATACCGCATGAAATTGACGCTATTTGTGATAGCCACCAAAAAGTGCAAAACCATGCTCCACAGACAGATCCAGCACATGAACTGGAAATAAGGTGTCCCTCGAGGCTTCATCAAATTGTAAACGGTGTAATTGAAAATGGATATCGGGCCAGTCACTCCAACAATGCACAGAGGAGTGCCTGAAAAGATGCCAAAAACTATGCCCGCCATTGCTGACGACAAAAGCACCTCGTTGGTGCCGTACGACCTGTTTGCGTGGTCGTACATGTCCTGTGCGAAGGCCATGGCCGGCAAAAGGTTGGTGAAGAAAATGTACACTGCGGCCGGTATGACGCGGTACGTGAAGCCATCTGTGATGTCTGAGACGTAGTATGGAATCAGCCGTGTCTTAATATCCATGTATACACCACGACCGGGCACAAACTGGGTCATGGCATGGGTATGGAACAAGTTGGATAAGTCTAAAAAATAATCAAAAAAAAAATATAGTCCAACTTAAATAAATTTTCAACAGATGAGAGTGTCAAATGCCCGATTATTCGGCGCAACTATGAGGTCGCTGAACGGCCCTGTGGCACCATTTAAGTCTGATAAGGCGCACAATAAAGGGCCGGTCACCTTTGATAGAAATTTTCCTGTACACAGAAGGGTGAAGGCGTGGGAAAGAGATAGAGAGGATAAAGAATCGTGGTTCAAACGCAAACACGCCCACCACCACGCGAAGCAGAAGAAGCGCGAGCCCCAAAGGGACGAAAAACCCGAGTTCTCTCGTTCGCAGGCACTCAGAAAGACAATCTCGCAGCTGAAGTTGAACCCCCTGGTGGAGTACCTGTATGGCATGAATCCTGTTCTTGCCGCCCTTAAAGCGAAGCAGCGGGAGAGCTTTGGTACTCTGTATCTCCACAACCCCAAGTCCACTCCGAAGCTGGCTGAAATCCTGGCACTGGCCCGCGAACTGGAGCTTCCGGTGAAAAGTGAGTACGGGAAGCATGATCTGAACCTTATGACGAAGAACGGCGTCCACAACGGGATCGTTGTTGAAACCAAGCCGATCGAGGTGGAGCAGCTGCGGTGCTTGTTGGCGGCCGAAGTTGGAAAACTCACAGTCATGAAAGAACACGTTGGAACGACCGAGAGCAGCGTTTCATCCACTGCTGCCGAACGATACCCGTTGGTACTGTACATCGACGAAATATCCGACCCACACAACATGGGCGCAATTATCAGATCCGCCTATTTTCTCGGAGTGGACTGCGTTGTCGTCTCGGAGCGGAATTGTGCGCCGTTGTCGCCTGTGGTGTCGAAAACGTCGTCTGGAGCTCTCGAGTTCCTGCCGATCTACTCGTCCCAGAAGCCGCTCCGATTTTTCGAGGAGTCGCGCTCCAACGGATGGACTATCATCTCGTCTGTGGCTCTAACCAGCGGCAGCCAGTTCGGCAGCAAAACCATCGATGCCGACGCTCTGAAAGAACAGTTACAGAACGGGCCGTGCATGCTTGTTGTCGGGTCGGAAGGCCAGGGCATCAGGACGTCACTGTTGCAACGCAGCGATTTCCTGGTCTCTCTGAAGAGCAGCAGAGCAGACTTAGACGATTCGGTGGACTCGCTGAACGCCAGTGTCGCCACGGCATTGTTGCTCTCGAAATTCTACATGTAAATAGTCTTAGGATTGTATTATATACAGTTACTTCTTTCCCACGGTCTCAAGAAGACCCAGCAGCGACGACAGCACCAGCTGGCTCTTGTCGGGTCCTCCGATCGGGGATCTTGGAGAAAAGCGTTTGACAGTGCTGAACCCGCCCTTTCTTGACGTGTCCTGGTCCTTGACAGGCTCGACCTCGAAGTCGAATCTTTTCTTCACCAAATTCAAGTGTGCTGCCTTTGGAATTAATGGAATGGTAAATTCTCTTGCGTATCTGCCCTCTGCATCCAATGGCCTGCGAACATCAGCAAGCTTGTTGAGGTATTTCACGTGCAGACCAGAGGTAACGGAATTTCCAATAAATCCTCCTAGTGCAAACCGACTGCCTGTGGACCGCGCGCTGATGTATCTTCCGGGGAGCACCCTCGCAGACTGCACGCCGTTAGGTGTCTGGAAAAGCCTGCCCTTGAGGTTGTACGACAGACCAGCAGTTCCAGAGAGCTGTTCGCGGTACAGGGTAGGAAATTGGTACTTCTTCCTGCTCAGCTTGGCCTCGTCGACCTGTCTGGTCTCCAGGAACTCCACGATCTCGTTCGAAAGATCGGTCTGGGCAATTCTCTCTGGATAATTCTGGGCCAGCCACTCCATGAACGGTCTTCTCAAAGTTCTAAGGTACTTTTTGTTGGTTGCAAATTCAAGCGACGAAGGGCGCTGGACCCTCAATCCTAGGGCCACAGCAACTGACCCGTGGCCTTCCCGCGGATCGTGGCCAGGAAAGAGCGGATTGGAGCTGGCTTTGGTGGTCATCGTAGGGTTTCTCACAGAAACAGGGATCCCAAACTCCTGGAACTTCTTCTTTTTGAACGCAAATCCCCCCAGCGGCTCGAAGTCCGGCAAGCCGTACTTGTTGTCGAGGTTGTTGACGACAATATACTTTGACTTGATTTTCGTTGGGATTCTCATCTTGAGACCAAAGTCCCTTCTGGCGAACGACGACGGCGGCGACTCAATCACCTGGTGCGTTGGAAATGTGGCAGATCTGTCGGCACCCAGCTCGCCGAGCTGTCTGGGCACCTGTGCGATCTTGGTTGTGCGGAAAAGCCGTGCAAGGTCGGACATTGAAGTAAACCGATTTATTTTTTCGTCAGCTTTGAGTCTCAATACGCGTTTGAAGCCCTGCCCCGACTCCCAATCGACGCGTCTAAAAAGGAAATCTGATTCTATTTTGTTTGTAATGTCCGACACCACCTCGCAGTTCAAGAAGCTAGAGGTCATCGGGCGCGGCAAGTTTGGCACCGTGTACAAGGGTCTGCGGCTTGACACCAAGGAGCTTGTTGCAATCAAGATCCTCAACCTCGACACGCCCGAGGAAGAGGTGAAGGACGTGCAACAAGAGATCCAGTTTCTGTCGCAGCTCAAGTCTGTGCCCAACGTGACTCGCTACTACGGTTCGTATTTGCACGGCCACAAGCTGTGGATCATTATGGACTACTGTGCGGGTGGATCGGTGAGGACTCTACTTCGTCCGGGGCCTTTGGAGGAGAAATATATCAGTGTCATTGTGCGAGAGGTGTTGCTCGCGCTGCAGTTTATTCATCAACTCGGCGTGATCCACAGAGACATCAAGGCGGCAAATATCTTGATCCAGAAAGACGGCAAGGTGCAGCTGTGCGACTTTGGAGTCGCTGGCCAGCTTACCACCTCGGCGATGAAAAGAACGACTATGGTTGGAACGCCGTATTGGATGGCGCCGGAGGTGATCATGGAGGGCGCCGACTACAACGAAAAGGCAGATATATGGTCTTTGGGGATCACTATCTACGAACTGGCGACGGGAAACCCACCGTATAGCGACAAGGACGCGATGCGTGCGATGCAGCTGCTGACGCAGCACGAGCCGCCGAGACTCGAGGGCAGACAGTTTTCGGCGAACTTGAAAGAACAGGTGGCCATCTGTTTAGAGGAAAAGCCGGAACTTCGGCCGTCGGCCGAGGAACTGCAGAAATCAAAGCTCGTCAAGGCGTACAGGGCGGTGCCAACCGCGTCGCTCAAGGAGGTAATTAGCAGATACCTGCTGTGGCGCGACTCGCGGCCCTCGCGCGAGTCGTTCTATTACGAGGATGCTGAGAGTATCAGCGAGGAGAGTGAGGTCAAATGGGACTTCAATTCGCTGAAAAGCGCGGAATACATGATAGAGAACGAGATTAGCCAGGAAAGCGTACCCCCGCCCGGTGCACCACCGCAGTATGCCGCCGTGCCACAGGACACAGATGACTACACGATCAATCCGACGTTCCGGCTAGGAACGATGCAGACCACTATGCGTGCTGGGACGCAGTCGACGGCGGCGACGACGCTCCGAAACACAGCCAAGTCGGCCGCTCCGTCCAGCACCACTGCCCCGAAATCGCTGCTCAAGCTGTTTGAGCAGGACGAGCCCGACGAAACGCTGCCATCACCGGCTGCAGAGGTGCCAGCAGTCCCCAATGTGCCGATTGAGATCCCTAGCTTGGACACACTTCCAGAGACGGCTGCGCAGGAGCCGCGCCCGAGAGCGCCGACGGTGTCGCGCCAGGAGTCGCCGACGACTCCCGTGCAGGCTGAGGAGCCTGCATCACGGCGTATGGAAGCTTCTAGTACGGGGCTGTCGAGCCTGGGCAACAGGACGCCGTCGCCGCAGCGGCTGCCGCACATGAAGCCGCTCCCCTCGTCCGCGTCGCAGCAGCCGCTGCTGCAGCCGATCAACAGCAAGATTCCATCGCAGAGTGTTCCTCCTGGCCCGCAAACAGCTCCCGCGCTGAGCAATAACGAATACCAGGAGATGAAGCCCGAGCCGGGCTCGCTGTCACGCGTGCGCTCGCAAATGCGGCTCCAGATGCCTGTGCCGATGCTGCACTCACAGTTGATGGACGACAAGGCCGCGGCTGCGTCGCCAGACACGTTGAACCAGTTTGGCGTGAACATCAATTTGGCGTCGACCGCGCCGCTGGCGATGACTCCAGTCACCGAGAAGACAAACATGGAGCTGGGGGCTACGCCGGAGAGAGACTCAGCGGAGTCGGTGCGGCCGCAGGGATATTTCGAGGAACGGGCTAGAGAGACAGAGGAGCACGAGAAAGTGAGTCTGGCAGGCATGCTGGACGGTCTTACGCTGGAAGTGGGGCCGGGAGTGCTGGAGTCAGGGGACAAGGACGTGCTTGTGGCTGATTTTGTCGGGCTGGTCAGCAAGTTTGGCAGTGTCTTGGAGGCAATCATTGCCGAGCTGAGCGAGGCGAAATGAGCGTTTACTGGTCTTATTTTGTTCAATGAGGAGCTGATAGATTTACTCTCTATAAATGCTGAATGCGTCTATTGCTGGAACACTTCCTCAACAAAGTGCTTCACGACGACCTTGCCCTCCTCAAAAGCAGGATCGTCGTGCCGGACAATGGCTGCTGCATGCGTGGCATTTGTCTTGGTGATGTAGATAGGGAACTTGCGCCACGGAAGTCTGTTGAGATGCTTGACGATGTCCTTCTGGTGCTCGGAAAGGTCCAATTTGAACGGACTCAGGATCTGCCGGTACCGGAGCGCGTCTGGAGTGTCTGGCTCGGCAGACAGGTCGAACTCGCCGATCTTGTTGATGGTAGTGGTGAGCGAGAGCGGGCCGTTTTCGCGCGCCTCGAAGATGCTGCGGTTGATGTCGTTGGTGGAGGTGATGGCGTCGAAGACAGAGTCGATGAACTCGTCTCCCTGGTCGTGCAGCCCGTGCTCCAGGCGGTGCAGGTCAATGCTGGCCTCACTGAGCCGTTTGGTGAGCGGTGGCCGTGCCGGCTCCGGCTCTTCGCAGAGCTCCAGGAACTCGGCGAGTTTCGACGACTCCTTGATCACTCGCAGAGTCGAGTTGAAGACTTGCAACCAGTTGTGCAGCACAAACCACGTGACCCACATTGGCAAGTACACGCCGAAGCGGAACAGCATGATGATCCACTTGAACTTTCTCTGGAAGAAGTTGGCCGTCTTCGACTGTGCTGAAACGTCGTTATCGGCTGGGAGGTCCTCCTGGACCATCTGGTTGAGCTTTGTTTTGGACGAGACGTCGACGAGGCCGGTGAACGTGATTGGCTGGTCGGCATCCAGAACGACCGGTTTGTAGTCTTCAATGAACTTCAGACAGAACTTGGATCCATTCTCAAAGTGGATGTAGCCTTCCTGGTCGATTTTCACGTTTGGGTTCTTGTCCAATATGTCAAACGGGTTGATGTAGCTGATTCCAGAACACCACCAGGATGTCCGGATGTCGGAGCGGATGTTCGAGTACAGCGAGATGTTCTTGAACTTTGCGAGGCCGCGATAGAATACAGTGTGCGGAAGCGACATCAGTTTCAAAAGAGGCACTGTAGGCGAGTCTTTGAGGAAAAGCTGGTGGCCGCTTTTGCCCAGGAGCACAGGCACCAGCCAGTTGAAAATCTTGATACTGACGCTCTGGCCCGGAGTCAGGACTCCAACGTGCGGAGAACAGAAACTAGTGAAATTAACAGGCTCGGTGTTGCAGAAAAATCCGCGATAGTGCAGAACACCGATGGCATACCGTGCAATTAGACCTCCTAGAGAATAGCCAACAACAGAAAATTTACTAACGGTCAATCCCTGTTCCTGCAATCTTAGGGCTTCGGCAAGAATCTCCTCCGCGACGCGAGTACCGCAGAGGTCAATACCGTCGTAGGTTTTGAATCTCTCGTTAGTCTTTGTGGTATAGACTATTAGTTGGTCTTTGCTAGAGCTCAAGGATGCATGGTTTTTCAGCTGGGCCTCAATATAGGCAAAGTGCTCAGACACTCCCCAAAGACCATGACAAAGAACAACAAGGTGGCAGTTCTTAGATTCCATGGAGGGGCAGGAAATTTACAGGGTCTTTTATAATGACACTAGGCAGAGATAAGAGATTGTCGCAAGACAATAACTGATTGTGCGATGTGGGTTTCCATAAAATTCTACGCGGTGCAGAGATGAAGAGAATGGTGGACCGAGACGGCCATAACTTGGTGTACGGATGTCTGCTACGGAGTTTTACACCCCCCATATGTACTATGCACGTCGGATTCCTACAAAAGGCGCTCGCCGTTCAATGCCGGCCGGAACGCAATGGGTCAGCTGGTTGCACGGTAACTATGGATCTGTAAAAAAAGCAAACATGCACCCCCTATGGGCGACAAACTCCGATCGGATATTGGTGGTTGAAAACATCTAAAATCTTTTTTCATTGGCACTTTTCGGTCAAGACTGTTCCTTACACTTGGCATTATAAAATCCCAATAGGTCAAGCACCCAGTTTACCTGTTTTTATTCAATTGTGTTTGGCTATTAATTTAGGTTGTAATTTGGCCGCCTACACTTTCCTCAGCAGAGCACCTTTAGTATGTTCCAATCAATAATAAAGGTTGGCCTGCCAAAAACAACTCTCAGACTAGCTTTGCAGCCCAAACCAAGTTTCTGGGCTTGCGCGAAGCCGGCGGCCAGCTCTGCTCGAGTCTTTTGGGCAAAACCATTGCTGGCAACTGCCTTGCTCTCAAGGCAATTCCACACGAGTTTTCCTCTTTTGAACGAGCTCGAATCACTGCCTCCTGTCAAGCGGCCAAAATCAAATTTCTGGACAAACACTGCTATTGGAAGAGTGTTGAAGCTGTTCGTCCTCACATCAGGTGTTGTTAGCGGAACAATTGTTCTTCTTCTGTCTGCATTTTTCGTTTACGACTACACGACTTACACTCCACCAGAAACTATAGAGAATCTTCTAGTCCCCGAAAGTGCCCTGAATCCTCCAATCGGCGGGCCCGAAAACTTGCCAATTCTCACCGACCACCTGGATTCGTTCGATAGCCCAGCAAAGGAGGAACTGAGAAGGAAACCGCATTTGGTTATTCTTGGTTCCGGCTGGGGATCAGTTTCATTGCTCGGAAACCTGGACAAGAACGATTATGATGTCACTGTTATTTCTCCAATCAATTACTTTTTGTTCACACCTATGCTTCCCAGTGCTGCCGTCGGCACTCTTGAGCTCAAGTCCTTAATGGAGAGCATCAGGCACATTGTCCGGAGAGTCAACGGCCATTATCTGGAAGCCTCAGCAGAAAAGATCCTGTTCAGTGAAAAGCTCATCAAAGTTAAGGTCCCAGGAACTGATCAGCGCTTCTACGTTCCTTACGACAAGCTTGTCATTGCAGTCGGTTCCACATCCAACACTCACGGCGTCAAAGGGTTGCAATACAGCAACCAACTGAAGACGGCAGAGGATGCGGTCGAAATTCGCCGCAAGATCGTGACCAACCTTGAAAAAGCATGTCTACCAACAACTTCAGACGAAGAAAGAAAGAAACTGCTCTCTTTTGTGATCTGCGGCGCCGGTCCTACCGGTGTCGAAGTCGCAGCTGAAATTTTTGATTTATTGAATGAAGACCTGACCAGAAGTTTCCCTAAAATCTTGCGACAAGAAATCTCGATCCATATCATTCAATCTAGATCGCACATTTTGAACACCTACGACAAGGCCATCTCCGAATATGCCATGAAGCGGTTTGAGCATGACCAAATCGATCTTCTAACTAATTCCAGAGTCAGAGAGATATTGCCTGACCAAGTCATTTTCGACCAAAAGACAGCCAGCGGTGAGGTCGAGACTAAGAGCGTGCCTTTTGGATTGTGTTTATGGTCCACAGGTGTCGCGCAGAATCCATTAGCTCAGCAAGTCGTCAAGGACCTTGCAGGCTCGCAAAAGAATAAACGTGCCATCGAGACCGATGCACAATTGCGAGTTATTGGTGCTCCTCTTGGTGACGTTTATGCAATTGGAGACTGTGCCACTGTGCGTGCCGAGCTGGCAGAGCACTGTTCCGACTACGTCAGAAAATACATCATTGGCTCCCAATCTCATAAGTTCGTTCGTTCTCATCATATTATCACCGATGACGATATTAAACACGTCGATCTGACTTACAATGAGCTGAAACAGCTTTGCACACAAATATCCCAGATGAACCCGCTTGCCGCAGAAGCGCTTTCCCTAGTTGAGGAGCTCGTTCCGAAATATGATCCGGAAGGACGCAAAAAGCTTAATTTCGACCAAGTCAAGCTGCTCATGAAGGAAGTGGATTCCAAAGTCACCAGTCTGCCAGCCACCGCTCAGCGGGCCAACCAGCAAGGCAAATACATGGGAAAGAAGCTTTCTAAATTACGCAAATCGTCCACCACTTTGTCGATCAATGATATCGTGGATGGCGATATTGACAACGCCATTGCACGTCCTTTCAAATATAGACATCTGGGCTCTTTGGCATACATTGGAAACTCAGCTGTTTTCGATTTTGCACCGGGATACTCCTTCGTTGGGGACATCATCGCAGTCTACCTGTGGAGAAGTATCTACTTTGCTCAAAGTGTCAGTTTCAGAACCCGTGTGCTGCTATTCATGGACTGGTTGAACAGAGGTATATTTGGTAGGGATATCTTGACTGTTTAAAATATAGATTCCTGTATATTGTTTTACATAAGCAGGGAATGATTAATGCCCTTCTTTGTTGTTAATTAGGCGCTAATGAAAATATAAAAGCACGTCAGACGCACATTCTTGGTCGTTCTTCTTGATGGATGAGTCACACAGCTTCTCCATGGGCCTAAGATACCTTAAGTCTCGGCTTTCAAATAGAGAAAACAAGCCAGAAGATAATTTGAAGATAGCATGTGTATCAAGAGAATCCTCATCCATGGCCAGTATGAAAGAAAATGAGTCTCTCAGTCTGAAAAGAAAGCCATTGGAGTCGGAAGAAAAAAGGCGCCATAGCTTATTTAATCTCAGATCGTACAAGGAAAGGACAGATTCAAGTGCCAACTTTTCATCCGATGCACACCAGCCCGGGCTAGAGACGGCACCTCGCCTCAATTGCGTCAATACAGATCTTGGATTCCTGAATTATGGAATGGAGCACATTGACAAGATTAGCTTGACTGAAGATGAGATTAAGACTCCCGAGAAAAGTGATATATTCACTAGCCACAAATCAGAGTTCCAAACGGCAACCAGTAAAAGCGAGGATCAGAAAACGCAAGAAACAGACAAAGCTACCAAATCAGAAACTTTTGCAGAGGTCAAAGAGACAGTTCCGCGCGATTTCAAGAAAGAGTCAGTAGAATCTGATTCCAGCGCCGAAATTGTCACCCTACCTAAAAACACAACAGAGGACAATTCTTGGGTGCTGCCTAATCTCGCACCTTCCAGCTTTTTTTGCCCATCAAAACAGGTTACCTCGCTTTTTGTTGGTGATTTGGACAAGTCTTTGAGTGAGTGTGATTTGAAAAATGTCTTCAACGAATATCCTGGTCTTCTCTCAGTCAAAATTCCTGCGGACTGTCAAACCGGCAATTCGCTAGGTTACGGATATGTCAACTACTCCAATGAAGAACAGGCACAATTTGCAATGGAATCGCTCAATTATACCAAGATCGGCTCGTCAGAAATCAGAATCATGCCGTCCTTAAGAGATAAAAGTCAGAGAGAACGCATAGGCGCCAATATTTTTATATCCAATCTCTCATCGCATCTCACTACCCGACAACTTTATGATAAGTTCAGGAAGCATGGAACCGTGTTGTCGTGTAAGTACGATTCATCCAAGCAGCAAGCATTCATACACTTCGAATCGAAGGAGGTCGCATATGAAGTCGTCAAAAGTTATAATCGTACTACTTTAGATGGTCAAGTTGTCTATGTGGGTCTACATATTCTCAAGAGAGACAGAGAACTTTTTGGGGCTACCGCGAGCGCAAGCACTAAGCTGGCTGAAAAAAGGGATATCTCACAGATCCCTAGTTTTTCGCCCTCATTTAAAAACACAGAACACAAGGATGACATAAGCACACATTATTCCATCTTTGTGAGAAATCTACCTTTGAGTATCGAGGAACATGTTATCAGGAGTTTAGTTGAACCCTACGGACCTGTCTTATCTGTCTTAGCAAGGAGAGTCCCAAAAAGAAATGGGTGCTGGGCTCTAGTGAATCTAACTAACCAGGAATCCGTGGATAAAGCGGTTTCGCATCTAAACATGGTTGAAATCAACAAGCAGCGGCTATTTGTCACTCGCGCAATTCCAAAAGAAGAGAAAAGCTACAGTCGAAAGCAGGAGATGCGGCCAAAATACCGGCTCAAAATACTGATCACGGGATTGAATGTTAACACGCATAAAGACAAGTTCCAAAATTGGTGCTTAACTTTTGGATCAATAAAGTCTGTGGAGCTTTATGGAACATACCCCCAAGAAAACAAGAAGGGCTACACCGCTTATGGATATGTGGAAATGATTAATGAAGCCGACGCTGATTTTCTAATCGACAATCTGAATCTACTGGGTGTTCGCTGCTTCAAGGTCAAAGTGGAGATCCAAAATAAGGAGAAAGTTATTTCCGATATGCGTCACTACCCTTATGGTCCATCGCCAAGGCAATCCAGCGGTACTGCGATGGGGACATATGTGAATCCCTACAAACAATTTCAGCTAGCAGCTTTTGCCAAATCTGTCGAGCAGGACAAGTTCGCTGTGACAGCTCAAACCCAGGAAAAGAGCGATGGAGAGCGACTGAATGTGGATCTTCGCACTAAAATTGAACAGATCATAGGGGTCTGTGCTGTTGATACTTTAGGTGCAGATACACTGATATCGATGAATACGGGAGGTATTTACCAGCACAAAGTGCATTCATTATCTGAACACATCATCAAGTTCTTTTGGTCTAATAGAGTTGATTCGTTTTCTAAATTTCTGGCATCCAACTACAAGGAAGACCAACCCTTGCACCCGCTGCTCAAAACTCAAATTGTGCAAAGTGCAATGTACCTAGGAATTGTTTCCAAAAGCTAGAGATGAGAGTCTTCATGAAATTTAGCTTTACATGACCTATATACCTGAGAAAGAATTTTTTCCAACAGCATTTTTTCAGAATACGATAATGATCGAGACCAAAGGACTAACGAGAGTTTATTGTTAATTTTACACCAATTCAACATAATTAGCAGGAAAGATGCCTTCCCTGGTGCCAATTCTGCCTGTCCACCAATCATCCGTTGAGTCTGATTTTTGAATAATAGTTATCACATCTCCTTTTTTGAACCCGAGATCGCCCTGTTGCTCTCCTGCAAATGTGTAGAGAGCAATAGCTTTCTTGGACCCTGATGATCCTGAGCTTCCACGAGCAGACCCATAGCCAAAATCAGGTTTCTCTGACTTTGGTCTGTAGCCAGCGGACCTTGCTTCCGATTTTGATGATCTGTTTCGATCATATCTATCGTAAACGTCATCTTCCCAAGAAGTTGGCTTTCTTGAATGCGAAGGCGTGGTTCCAGGAGTTGAGCGATGGTAGTACGAACGAGGGGAATCGTCATCCGAGTATCCCTCATCATCCGAGCCATAAGACCTGCGGGAGTTGTATCTGGTGGAGGATGCATCTGAGCTAAATTCTGAAGGGATATCGTTATAATAGTCTTCGTCGTCAGAATAGTACTCACCATTAGCACTTGCTCTTGTGAAAGCTCTGCTATTGAGCACTCTCATGAGAGGCTCACAAGCTGGAGGAGGTCTCACACGACCTCCCAGGATTTGGCTAGCCTTGCACATGTCACCATAGAATTTTCTGTTAGCTTCTCTTCTTTCAACGAGGACGGACCCCTCAACCGAGACACCAGCGAAAAGACCTTTTGTTTTGGAGTAAGCAAACACCGGAGCGACGTTTTTGAGAGAGGCGGAGCCCGCCACTTCCGCATTTCTTCCCAGGGGACCCGCTGCAACAGAAATGTTACCACCCAATGTCACCGAGCCGAATTGGGCGAAGGATTCAACGGCAGCCTGTGTGTTCAGGATGAAAACGAAATCGGTAACTTCGGCTCCAATTTGTCCACCAACACCTGCACCTGCGGTAACGATAGCAGAAGGGGCGGACCACGAGCCGTCTGGCAATCTGGCGACCACGATACCCGAGCCCGCTCTTCCAGAGAAAAGGAATCCCGCTTTCAGAATGGTGATCACCGCCAATCCCTTGGCGTTGAGAAGAACTTCGCGGGGAATGACTTCATCTGCTCCCAACACCTGGTTTGGTTTAATGAAGGAGGCCAGGATTTTGGCAGCTTTTCTGTGTTGTTAGTTTGAGATTTTTGAAACTCCTGATGGAATTTTGATAGCACTTACTTAGACTCGCTTTTCAGCGATCTCGGAATTGGATTGTTCAAACCCATTGCTTACTAGAACTAAAAAATCGAAAAAGTTACCGAAACAGTATACGTCAAGCTAATGTCTTGTCTGATAAGATCGTTTTTAATAGTTTTCGGTGAGAGAGGGCGTAGAAAATTCTGTGGCGTGAGGAGTGGTTATGAGAGTCTCAATGTTGACAGCAAGAAGGACGATGTGGCTTTGTGGGGGGAGGTATGCTGTTCGACAAGAACCTTACGACCATAGAGCTCCCGATCTTGAAGTGGACTGGCTGGCCTCAGTTGGTGAAACTCTTTTAAACAGCCGCTTACAATATGTCAATTAAAGCCGATAATTGTGATAGCTCGAACAAGCATAATATTTTGTTTTGTTAGTCATCATTTACCCAAATAACGGCCCTCTGGTTCAGTCAAATGAAGCTCCATTCGTTTCCATTACTGTTTTCTGGACTCGCTTTTGTAATTGATGTCGAGTGCGCAGTCATTGGTCAGCAAATTCTATCTTATGGTTCTAATTACCGTTATTCCCTTGAAGGGCTCGATAGTGCTCTCCAGGACGATGTGAATTTCATTTGGAGTTCTTTGGAGCAACGCCTTGGTACACAAGGGCTCAAAAAAGTCATTGAAAACTATGAAACAAGTGTTTGTCCAATAACTAGCTCATTTCCAACTGATATCAAAAGCGACTCTGACAGTGTGGAGACTATCAGTCTTGAAAGCTTGCCGGAATATCAACTGAGATTGCATACAAAAAAACGGAGCAACCCACTGAGTCTAGGAGTGGATACTGTTAAGCAGTATACGGGATACTTCGATATCAACGATGATGATAAGCATCTCTTTTATTGGTTCTTTGAAAGTAGGAACGATCCTGCCACCGACCCTGTGATTCTTTGGTTAAATGGAGGTCCTGGCTGCAGCTCAATGACAGGCTGTTTATTTGAGCTCGGACCAGCTTCACTCAATGGAACCACACTTACTCCGATACACAATCCCTATTCTTGGAACAACAATGCGTCGGTAATCTTTCTTGAACAGCCTGTTGGCGTTGGCTACTCGTACAGTACGAGATCCTCTGTTTCAAGCACCAAGGTCGCAGCTAGAGATGTTTATTCCTTTCTGGAGCTATTTTTTACAAAGTTCAGACAATTCGTGAATAATGATTTTCATATCGCTGGCGAGTCTTACGCTGGTCACTACATTCCAAATATTGCCAAAGAGATTCTTGATCGCAAGAATAAGTCTTACGAACTCACCTCTATTATGATTGGTAATGGCATTACTGATCCATTGATCCAATATGGGTGGTATGGTCCAATGGCTTGCAATGCATCGTTATCGGGCTACAAACAAATTCTCTCAGACAGCGACTGCATGAAAATTGATGAGATGTACTCTCGCTGCAAGAGATTGATCAGTGCATGCTATAGGACTCTTTCTACTGTTACTTGCCTGCCGGCAAATCTTTACTGTGAACGTATCTTGGAACCGTTCGAGGAGACAGGGCTCAATGTATATGATATTCGTGGTCCTTGTGAAACTCAAGATGGAAACTGCTACCTCGGAATGGACTATATTGACAGGTATATGAATCTTCCTGAAGTTAAAGATGCACTGGGTGCGGAAGTAGATTCCTACAGCGGTTGTGATGATGATGTTTTCCGGCAATTCATTTTGACAGGAGATGAAACAAAACCGTTTCAGCAATATGTGGCCCAAGTTTTAGATGCTGGTCTTCCGGTTCTTATTTATGCAGGAGACAAAGACTACATTTGCAACTGGCTCGGAAATCTGGCCTGGACCGAAGCATTGGAATGGGAAGAGAGCATCTCTTACCAGAAAGCGGAATTTAAGAAATGGTATACAGAAATTGAAGGCCTTCCTGCAGGAGAGGTCAAGACCAACGGACGCCTGACGTTTGCCCGGGTTTACGATGCAGGACACATGGTTCCGCACGATCAACCACAAGTTGCTCTCGATATGGTTAACAGGTGGATTACTGGAGATATATCATACAACCGCTGAATTGTGTTTTGTTAATCACATCCCTAGCTTGTTTTTCATCTTTGCTTTTTTTCAACCATCGAATACATCAATTTACATACGAATGTTTCTTAACACCTTAAAAATAAAGTTAAATGCGTTTGGCTGTGCTATTTCTGTACCAAACAAATAGATCCAAATATACTCCCTTTTGTTTTAAATGAACGCTTGACTGATACCTGTGCTCAATTTCCTTATCAAAGAATATTAATCTTAGTTACCGAACTAGCTTTTGAACAAGGGCCGGAAGTCATTGTTTGCATTGGTTTACGTGTGCACTCAAAAGCAACTAATCATAAAGTTGGAGCGGCGTGTGTTACGGAGAGGTGGATCTATCTTTTTTGAAGATGTCTTCTCCTCCATCGTCAAACGGGAACCAGTCCTGGATATCAAAAATATGGAATAGACAGGCTTCTTTTTTCAATCCCTCTGTCCATGTACCAACAGCCACCATTGTCAGCGAGTCAACTGATACGTCACAGGATGGCTTAGATTCTAACACCTTGATATCTAATCCGATCAATGATGTCTCCCGGTGTGGGCGTCCTTCTGGATCAACTACATCGCAATCACAAAGAAACTTTCCTAGTATTGTTGTTGACTCTTGCAGGTGTTGCGGAACAATACTGAAGTACCCAGCAGGTATTAGCAAGGTTCGCTGCCTGGTCTGTCAAACGCACATGAGTATCAACGAAGAGACTAGAGAGTCTTGTGAGAGATCTCAAGAGACAGCTGCGAGACCACTATCGTACGGCTTTTTAAAAGACTTCATTAACCAATGCTCCACTGAAAAAAAATCGATTGGAGATGATCGCAATCCACACAGAACTTTTAGACCTTTAGAGAATATGCTCTTTGAAGCATTTTCCTCTTTTTCCATACTTAATAATTCCTTTAGACTCTCAAATTTGACATCACCGAGTTACCGTTCCCCGAACTTGAACTTCAACGAAGCAAAAAAATCATTTGGCCTACTGTTAAGTCTACCCACGAAACGTCCGTTTTACAAGCTTTTACTAGGCGCACTATATTTGCTTAAGCACCCACCTCCCATGAAAGAGCCTAGTGATATTAATTGGCTATTGATCTTGCTGGAAATTCCCATTTTATCGGACTGTTTAATAAGTGGAATCGACTCCTGTCCGGATAGCCTTGCGCCTGATCTGAAGGCCTCTTGCTATGATGTCCTGAAGCATGTTATTGGATTGCTTTCCTACTCGGAAAAGAAGATCACGAGCCGCCTCACTTATTGGTGGTCTAGATTGCCACACGATGAATTCGTCAAAAAGATTGATTTTATCAACCTATACATCACTTTTCAACTCACAAGGTGCATCAATTACGAGCTGTTTAACTCGGTTATACAGCCTGGGTCTTATTTAGATGTTTCCATGAGCGATGATATCAATTTCAAGGAAAACCTGAATGCTCATTTTATCCGCCCGACCTCTAAAAGTTCTGATTTTGGTTTGTTCATTGGTCTACCTCTTTATATCTCGTCGGGAGGAAGACGTACAGATATTTCTTCAAGTTCATCGTTTTGGTCGGGAAAAAAGGAGCCGAAAGAACATGAAGTAAAAATCAGGTTACAACAATACGGGGGTGACTGGCACTTGCGTACTGCAGGCAGATTAGCATCATTCTTATTTATTGCAAACAAGAAGAATAAGAAGGTCAGTGATGCCGTCTTCTACAATAATCTTGTGGATTACGTGAATGTGAAGCAAGATTTCGATGCTTGGCAATTCAACGCTTCGACCAAAAAGCACGAACAAAGTACAGCGAACAAGGACTCTTTGCAGCTCGTGGTTGACTATTTGCAAGCTGAAACGAAGGCAAGCTACTTAGGACTTTCTAGTCCCAATGGAACTCTTAGGAAATCTTCGTTCACTTTTTGCCAATTTCCCTTCCTTTTATCGTTAGCGGCCAAAATATCGATTCTTGAGCACGAGGCGAAAAGAACGATGGAGCGAAAAGCAGAAGAAGCATTCATCCAGTCTCTCAACAAGAAAATGCCCTTTGATGTTTACTTCAAGGTTCGAGTGAGGAGGAACTTTATCACAACTGATTCGCTACGGTGCATTAAATCTCATCAATCAGATTTCAAGAAACTTTTAAGAGTAGAGTTTGTTGATGAACCTGGAATTGATGCCGGTGGGCTAAAAAAGGAGTGGTTCTTGCTGCTTACTAAGGACCTATTCAATGCGGATAAAGGATTATTCTCATATGATGAAACATCTGGATTATGCTGGTTCGCAATATCCAATTTAGACAATGACGAACTGTATTATCTAGTTGGTGTCGTGCTTGGATTGGCAATATATAACTCTACGATCCTTGACCTTCGATTGCCAAAAGCTCTTTACAAAAAATTGATGGGACAAAAGGTTACCTTGAATGATTTTATTCAATTGAATCCAGACGTTGGGCACAATTTCAAAAGATTGTTGAAGCTAGAGGATGTCAGCGACCTTGAGTTGTTTTTTACAGTTTCCTATTCAGATATATTTGGAGACATACATCACGAAGACCTTATTCGAGATGGATCATCCATTAAGGTAACGAACGAGAACAAGTATGAATACGTCGAAAGATATTGCTCATTTTTCTTAAATGAAAAGGTGAAAGCACCTTTCAAATCGTTTTTGAACGGTTTTCAGCATGTCATTGGTGGAAATGCATTATCTTTGTTTACTCCTGAGGAAATCGAATTGATACTGATTGGAGAAGATTATCGAAACCAAAAGATTGATATCGAGATCCTGAAATCTGTCACCAAGTATAATGGGTTCTCCGAAACTGACAATACTGTCAAGTGGTTTTGGGATTACTTTGAGCGCAAAAGTGCTGCTGACCAACGCAAAATACTATTTTTTATTACAGGATCGGATCGGTTGCCGGCGACTGGACTGCCATCCTTAACATTCAAAATCACAAAGCTTGTTGATCCGAACTTAGATCGTTTACCAATCGCCCATACATGTTTCAATGAGCTTTGTCTTTACGCTTATCGCTCAGAGGAGATCTTTGTTTCGAAGTTAGACAAAGCTATATGGTATAGTGAAGGGTTTGGCTTGAGATGACCAATTTAAATCTAGCTCAAACTCAACAAGATCACGGTTTTTATATACACTAATCAAGGATTGCATATTTTTTCAGCTTGTCAGGAATGGCTTCATACAAGTTTTTGCTCTGTAGCCAGCTTTTGCTGAAAATTCTATCAGAGTATTTGTGGGCTGAGTCGGCCAATATGGTGACAATATTTGATTGCTCTGGAAGAAGTTTGGCAGCCCTCACGGCAGCCACCACATTTAGCGCTGAAGTGCCTCCAACATAAATTCCTTCCTCATCAAGAAGTCTGTACAGCATTGCAATAGATTCTTCGTCAGAGATCAAGAATGCGTCATCCGCCAACTCAATATCCTGTGCGACGTTATTGGTGATGCGGCCTTGACCAATGCCTTCAGTGAACGAGGATCCTGATCTTTCTAAACTTTTGCCACCAGTCTTGACATATGAATAAACACAAGATCCAGGCGGCTCTGCAACATAGCATTTTATTTCTGGATTTTGAGTCTTGAGATATCTGGAAGTTCCACACCACGTACCTCCTGTTCCCAAACTGCACGTGAACGCATGAACTTTACCTTGAAGTTGTTTGTAAATCTCCGGCCCGGTCATCTTGATGTGGGCCATTCTATTGTCAAGATTATCGAACTGGTTGGTCCAATACGCATTCTCCAGTCTTTCAGCGTGCCTTTTGGCTTGATGATTAAAGTTTTCAGGATTGTCAAATGGGACAACAGGCACTGGATAGACTTCACATCCTAACAGTTTCAATGTCTGGATTTTTGAAGGAGCTTGGGTATTAGGCATGTAGATTACGACATTGTATCCTTTAGAACGAGCAACGTGGGCTAGACCGATACCCGTATTACCAGCAGTTCCTTCAACTATCGTTCCGCCCGGTTTAATCAAGCCACGCTTTTCCGCCTCCTCAATGAAAAACAAAGCTGCACGGTCTTTGACAGACCCTCCCGGATTCATCCATTCTGCTTTACCATAGATATTGCGACCAACCTCGTCACTGATCCGGTTGAGCTTGACCAATGGAGTATTCCCTACAGCACTAGTTAATCCCTTGCTTGCAAGCAAGGGTTCAAAAGAGGTACTGTAGGATTCCGCGACTCCCTTAGTGCTGCTAAATAGACGTTTGAGCATAGTTTTTCTAAGATATTTCAATAGAATCTGAGTTTAAAGCACATATTTATTATGGCAAGTCATGTGATATGATTACGTCACATATATAAACTTCCCCTTAAGGTATTAGACGTTGAAGTTCGTCTTTATCAATCGGACTTACAGTGCAGTGAATGTTGTGGAAAGACTCATGATCGTGGTCATGTTGATGCTCTCGTAGGAAACTTTGATCCTCTTCTAATATTGCGCTGTATGAATTAAATGACTTAGATAGACCATAACGTTCGCTGTCTCTCTGATAGTATAAGAAATAGTGCTGGGTAAAAAATACCACGTCTGCTAAGGCAACTTCCATACTCAACAAGAACTTTGGCAGATTGTTGAAGATGCTCTTTACGTCGCCAGCGACATAGGCATCCAAGAAAAGCTGCGAAAAAGAGAACACTGCACCAGCAAAATCAAGCCATACCATTTGAATAGGCCAGCCATGTGTTGACTTTCGGTTGTAATTGTAAACAGCTTGTGGAATGTTTTTGCACACACTCATGAATATTTTGGCCATACCCAACGATGTGAGAAGATCAATCCAATACCGTTTCCCGTAAGTGAAATGGATTATTAAAGCGTACCCCACGGCGAACAAAATCAAGACAGCATAGACAACCTTGCATATGTTGGAGATGATTTGATTATCGTTTTTCTTGAATCCCCAGATATAAGCCTGACTGATAAGCAACAAATTAAGGAGAAGCCCATGAATTCCAAAAAAGAAGTCGTTCAGTTTGATCAAAGGGTATTTACCATGGCGAAGGTAAAATTCATATTGGATTCTAGCACTGCAACATAGGAACCCTGTGTAGAAAGAGTATAGAGTAAAACCTGCAGTGTTAAAAAACATGAAGTCAATTGATATCCCTTGTACTGACTTTAGTCTGATGTTAGAGACAATAGTTGGGTAAAACGACAAAGACCAGCAGGAAAAGTAAAGCCAGCCTAGAAGCTGCGACATGTGGGACAGTGTTAACATCGTTTGATTGCATGAAAAAAGTGAAATGGATCTTCACCAAAAATTGAGAAATTTCATTACGTACAGTGAAGTAGGTAGTACAGCATTAATTGAACGCAATTTTCTGAAAAAAATAACTGTAACGAGATACGAGTTTTGCTTTTATCGAACTACTACTGAATGCCAACCACAGAAAGTTCCAACGTCCACACCCTTCGTATATGGATCTTGATCATTGAGTGGCCCAAAAACTGACCATTCGCATCTTTGATTTGCAGGCTGGAAAGATCAATCTCCAGCACTGAATCAGACCACCAACATTTTCTTGCGGGTTTCCTCCAGAACAACAGTAACTTTGTAGCCGTTGAATTTTTCTCTTTCCTGCCACGAGATCCTGATCTGGAAACAGCATGAGCAAGAGTGCTTAATCGGGACCTTGGTTTTTCAGGTTGACTTGCTAACGAGCTGACTGACGATATTGGCTTTAAAGATGGTGACCCTTCCAAAGAGGGAGCCTCTGAGCTTTCCGTGGCTAAGCGAACCAGCGCCAGCGAGAAAACAACTGTTTTGCCAGGTTCAAGAGAACGATGTCCCCATTCGCCATCAATTTTAAAACCCGAAGAGCAAAGCATGTCCAGCAAGTGTTGCTCAGCAGGTTTTAGTTGTTTACCCGGTTGGTACCCTAGCCCATCAAAAATTTTGGTGTTTTTCACCAACTCTTCTCCGACAAAGAGCTTTATTTTTTTCATGGCATCCGCATCGAGACCTGCGACGGGAGGAATGCAGTAATAATCCATATCTTCACGTAAGACAATTATCGAAGGTTTGTCATTAAGAATGTTTGGATCGTTGATATCGTAAATCTGCTGATGCTGGCCCGCTTGTTCGCTCAGTTGTAAATCATGCACAGCGGTATCGAAGACTTGACAAATGTATTGAAAGCAATCTGGAGAAAAGTTGACATACACAATGTCTTCCTCCGTTAGATTGGTAATTATGTTTCCATTCATGTCAACGAACACTCCATTAGGGAACAAACATAGCAAAATGCTCTCAGGCAAAGCCATTAGATCATCTCTTGTGATGCTGAACAATTGCCCTCGGAGATTCATTTTGATTTCAGTATTGTAGTCATCTATATCTGTTGGCACCTGTGAAACCGGGGCCTCCTCATGCTGCTGGACCTGAGTGATAAGATTGTGAGCCATGGTTTTTATAAAATTAGAAGACTTTCCACGTTATCTGGAGCCTTGCTTTTGGTCACTTTCCGCAAAGCTAAAATAGGCACTGTTGCAACTTTCGGCAGACTCTTTGAATCTTGTGAGATATATACGTGTTTAATAGTGAGATAAAAAATCTAGCGTTGTTTGCACGGTAGTAAAATGTTTCTTGCCTTTTCTTTATTAAACATTTTATTTTATCCCGTGAACCGGGTAAGAGCATTCTCTATTAATGATAAAATGGTTTTTGATGATATATGGCTTTCTGATGATGAAGAATATAAACCTGCTATCACCGAGAACTACGGTCTGGATGATAACGGTCCTGTACATGTTGATTTGTTGTCTCTGAAAAGAAAGCATGCAAAACAAGGATATTTAGACGGGATATCGAAGGCGAAGGAAGAAAGCTTGCAACAAGGTTTTGACGAGGGATATCCTATAGGAGCTAGGATGGGAGCTCGAATTGGAGAGATCTTGGCTCAACTGAAAATCCTGCTAATGCAGTCAAAGATTTCAGCTGAAGACTATGACTCCGCATTTCATGAACTGAACATAAAGAAAGTACTACAAACTGACTTTTTTGACTCTAAGTTAAACATGTTGGATGAACGAGAACATCCAATGATTAGGAAATGGATGACATTTTGTGAATCTAAAAGGGATTTGCAAAGTCAGCTTTGAGTGACTTTACGAGTGATGAGATAGATGGATTTTTTAATGACCGATGTACAACGACAGTACTTGTCAAACTAAATTTTTGGATTAAACGAGTAAAGCAGCTTCATGGAACACTAAATAGAGAAAAGTTTCTAACAATGTTTGGTCCATACTCTTCGTAATCTCGTTTAGTATGACAGTAGCTCTTGAATTCTGCTGTTTGCGCCAACAAAGAACCTCCAAACCAGACTGCATTTTTTTGTCTCTTATGAGAAATCACTTGTACAGTGACGCCGCTCGATTTGGAACCACTCAAACGCTCACTTTGGGCGACTCTTTCGTTGACCAGCGATTTCAAATCTCTTTGCAGTCGTCTTCCAAAATCTTTGAACATAGTAGAACCACCACTCAAGACGATATTCTTGTAAAGGTTCTTACGAACGTCTATAGGGGAAGACTGAATAACCTGGTCCACAATTGTTGGCAAGGGAGTTAGGAAATCAGAAGACGCTATCTCGGGATTGAAAAATATCTCTGGAGCAAGAAATCTTTCATATCCCACATCAACCTCGATTTTAGATCGATTGACAGTTTCGACAATGTATTTTGCAAACATATCGGGATGTGAATCGAATTTGTTAAACTCTTTCACGATATCCGGACAAACATAGCAGAATTGCTGTTTGATTTGCTCAGCAGTTTTCAATGATGTGTCTTTTTCACCCCTTTCTCTTAGAAGAGTCTGGATGAAGCTAGTGATATCTCTTCCTGCAATTGGAATATTTTTTATCGCAGACCCAATAACATATCCTTCTGCGACAGGAATCACATGAGTCACGCCATCTCCTGAATCTATAACCGTACCTGTCAAAGATCTGTCCACCACTTTTGAAGAGGTCCATGAAGCGGCGAGTGCTAAAACGGCTTGCACAGCAATATAAAGCCCGGCACAATTGAAAGATTCAAACATAATTTCAGCCGTGTTTTCCCTATTCTCCGGTGGATTTAATGGTGGCTCTGTGAGGAGAAAGTAGTGGTCTTCAGGTTCGCATTTGAGGTACTTGAAGATGGAATTCTCCCAGAATCTCTCCATTTGATCCCAATTTTCAATTTGACCGTGTCTTATTGGATAATTAAGTGAATAAGACGGACCTTTGGCAGCTCGCAAAGCTTCATCACCTATGAAAAAATCAAGATCTTCCATATCCCTCTTCAACGAAAGGTTCCCTCCTGAACTCTTTCCAGAAGAAGAGCTTGCAGATGAGGTTAAAAATGAGGGCTTTGAAGGGGCAGGAGGTTTACTGGATGAACCCGAAGATCTAGTTGCGATAGCTGTAGGGAAAACCCACGATGGAGAATCATTTCCAGCAAAACCAAGTTTAGTTAAGCCGGTTCCGTTATCTGAAAGTTAGTAAGGCATTCCATAATAAGAATTTCAACATACCCATCACAACGGCCGGAGTATTGATGCTCGCCATATTCTTATCTGGATGCAATTGACTTGAAAGATTGTCTAAAATGATCACGGCAAATTCTTAAGAATCTGAAAAGGCGCGAGGATTGTTTGATAGCTAATACCTAATCTAAATTATGTTCAATCAAGCTGAATTGCCTTTCCTTCAGTTCCATAATTAATTCATCAGTCTGTCCTTTTCAACTAGAGAACAAGCATTACGCGTGCTCATAACCAGCAGGCACGACAAAAGTGTTGTTGTAAACAGTCAAGAATAAGGCAAATAAGACAGTCATATTGTTCGCACAGACAGCTTTTTTCTGATCGTCAAGTGACCGGCTCAGGTTGTTAGGAGGAAACAATTGACGGAAAGAGCGGTAAAAACTGACTCCAGAAAAATTTAGCCTATTTAAGCGACGGTTTGAAGACCTAAAAAATATATAAGTCACCTACTAGACCATCTGATGAGCTGCTGGATAACCAAACCAACAAATGAATTCCCTGGAATACTTAAAACAATGTGGCACGACTGTTGTGATAGATACAGGGGAATTTGAAACTATTCACGAATACAAGCCCCAAGATGCTACCACTAATCCCTCTTTGATTTTGGCAGCTGCCAAAAAAGCTGAATACCAACAATTAATCAACGATTGCGTAGATGATGTGCTTGAAAACCAAGGAATGCTGGATATTGAAAACAAAGCTCTCGTTGCTTTGGACAAGCTGCTGGTTGAATTTGGATCTAAAATATTGGAATTGATTCCTGGAAGAGTATCCACTGAAGTTGACGCTCGACTATCATTTGACCGAAAAGCCACCGTCAGAAAAGCTCTAGATTTAGTGCTTTTGTATCAAGCAAGAGGGATATCGAAGGAGCGAGTGCTGATCAAGATTGCTGCCACGTACGAGGGGATTCTTGCAGCAAGAGAATTGGAGTCCGTATACGGTGTCCATTGCAATCTCACTCTGCTGTTTACCTTTACTCAAGCGGTAGCTTGCGCAGAGGCAGAGGTAACTTTGATCTCGCCTTTCGTGGGTAGGATATTAGACTGGTACAAGGATAAGGAAGCAAGGAATTATGCAAGGAATGAAGATCCTGGCGTTTTATTCGTGAAACAAATTTTTGATTATTACAAAAAGTACGGGTATCGTACTGTTGTTATGGGGGCATCATTCAGAAATGTTGGTCAGATTGAGGAACTAGCAGGTTGCGATTATCTCACTATTTCACCAACTTTGATGGAAGTGATGGTCAAATCAAACACTAGGATTGAAAAAGTGCTAGATTCGTCGAAAAGCTTTCAGCGTTGCAAATTGGATCGATTGGCCTTGATTGATAATGAGCCAATGTTTAGGTTCAATTTGAATGAAGACCAGATGGCAACAGAAAAGCTATCAGAGGGGATAAGAAAATTTGCAAGTGACACTGAAAGTTTATTGGCCCTTTTAAGGTCAAGGATTCAGCATAGGCTCAGGGATTCCAAGTTATGATATCAATGGTTAAGCCTGTTAGGATCAAATGTCTTCCTGATCGGAAAAGCTGTGGTATGTAAATTTCTAGAAAAAAATAGGAGTTTGATATTTGATACTCACTGTAAGTCTAGACCATTGTATGTCCCATGTGAGCTGCAACTAACTTTGTTGTTGCTAATCTTGATTGAGGGTGTGAGTGCCTCTGTAATAATAACGGATTTTTTGAGACGGTAGCCAAATGATAAGATAAGAATGCACTTGTGGTTGCACTCCTTTGTTCCATACTCGGGGAGACTTCAAATTTGAAGTGTCCTGCATGTCCTATTTTTACCAATGAAAAGAGCGCAGCATAATGGATATGAGTGCAAAAGTGCTAATGCGTTCACTTGTAAGGCATCCTAAAACACATATGGCCAGGTACGAACAGCAAGATCGATAATAATTATTGAAAGATTTGATTTCCTGTGAATCCATGGTTCGCGAACTTCACTACCAGCCACATATCGTTTTCATCAGCCACTCGTACTTTTTCGGATGTTGTTTTCATAGAAGATTCGCGGAACGTTGTCACCCAGGTGCCTCCTAAAATGGAAATTGATGTGGCAGAGTAATGGCTCCTAAGGTGGACTCCATGGAAATGCTCATGGTGATTGGTTGACAATTCCATGTAAAGCTGTCTCCGAAGGCGAATTTGTTTAAAAGGATAGTATCTCTGAGTAGGAAATATTGATTATGTAAGATCTATTAAACGCAAACTCCGCTGAGAATATAAATACGTTTGGGTATTCCTTCGCAACCAAACTTTAATTATATATAGTTTTGGATTGATTTCTTTCAGTTATTAAATCAACACTTGCAATGAGCTCTCTTGAACAACTTAAGGCCGCTGGAACCGTCGTCGTCACTGATACGGGCGAGTTTGAATGTAAGTATTACTATTATTTATGACTAACAATCAAGCGATTGCTAGGTATACTCCTCAGGATGCTACTACCAACCCTTCTTTGATTTTGGCTGCCTCTGAAAAGCCACAATATGCCAAGTTGATTGATGTGGCAGTCGACTATGCCAAGGACAAGGGATCATCCGCTGAAGAGAAAGCAAACATCGCCCTCGACAGACTTCTCGTCGAGTTCGGAAAAGAAATATTGAAGATTGTCCCTGGCAGGGTTTCCACTGAGGTGGATGCCAGACTCTCATTTGATAAGGAGGCAACAATTAAGAAAGCGCTTGAAATTATTGAGCTCTACAAGTCCCTTGGCATTGACAAAGAAAAGATTTTGATCAAGATTGCTTCCACCTATGAGGGTATTCTTGCTGCAAGAGAATTGGAGGAAAAATACGGTGTTCACTGCAATTTAACCCTCCTTTTCTCTTTCGTCCAAGCTGTCGCTTGTGCCGAAGCTAAGGTCACTCTGATCTCACCATTTGTTGGTAGAATCATGGATTGGTACAAGGCCAAGACGGGTAAGACATACGAAGGAAAGGAAGATCCAGGTGTTCAGTCTGTTACCAGGATATACAATTATTACAAGAAGTATGGGTACAAGACCATCGTGATGGGAGCATCTTTCAGAAACGTTGGAGAAATAACTGCATTAGCAGGATGTGACTACCTGACAATCGCTCCAAAGCTTCTGGAAGAATTGATGAATTCTAAAGAGCCAGTTCCGAAGGTGTTGGATGCCTCGGCTGCTCAGTCATGCAGCGAGGAAAAGGTTTCCTACATTGATGATGAACCTAAATTCAGATTCCTTCTGAACGAGGATGCAATGGCCACAGAAAAACTGTCCGAAGGTATCAGGAAGTTTTCTGCCGACTGTGTTACTTTGCTCAACGTGCTGAAAGCTAAATTCGAGTAAATCTGGATACACCAATCATGGAGGGTGACTCTGTTGCGGTGTGATGTTGGAATATGAAAGAAATACTGGAAATTTAAGTATTCAAGGTTTTTAGCGTTTCTTATATCTATTCTCATGTATTCATTCATCCTTTTTTATTTTCTATTTTTTTTTTTTTTCTGTATTTTTTTTGATCTAAAGTCCTATCTTTCTTGATTAGTTTTTGGATTATAGATACAAATAAAAATTACGATTTTTGCAAGTACGGTCGTGACCGGTTCATAGAAAGCATGAGCCAGGCAGACATTAATGCACTAATAGAATGGTCTCAATCAAAAGGGTGTAAAATTCCAGAGTCTATCGAGTTCCGATTGTCAGAAAATGGTGTTTCTGCTTTTCTTAAGAAACCGGAACTCCCATTGGAAGTTTCTGTTTTCGTCCCCACATCTATGATTATATCTCCCCGTATTGCATATTCAGAACTCAACCTTAGTGAATCTGCGAGTCCTGGCACGGCATTGAAACTTCTGCTTTGTCAATGGAAATCAAGTTCAGAATCTCAATTTGGGCCATACATCTCGTGTCTTCCTTCATTGAGAAACATTGGCTCTCCCCTGACATTCAGCCCAGAAGAGCTTAACTTTTTGTCTGGTACTAATATGTATCATGGAGTTCTTCTAAAAAGAAAGCAAGTGATCGCTGAATATAGAAAAGCAATAAGCTACTTAGGAGTAAAGAACCCTACTAATTACGAGGAGTATGATCAAGCTCAGTTTTTCGAATCATTAATGGAAGAGACCTCTAATAAATGTCGATATCCTCCGTCATTTTCATGGTTTCTGTGGGCACATTTGATTGTTACCTCTCGTAGTTTCCCTTACAAGCTCATTGATCCTGAATCTCCTGATGATGCCGTCATGCTTTTGCCCGTTATTGACCTCTTCAACCATAAACCTAGATCTAAAGTCACATGGAAAACTTCATCCGTCGGTTTTGAGCTAAGACTTCAAAGTGGAACTGACATTAATGGGGAATTATTTAATAACTATGGACCAAAAGGTAATGAAGAGCTTTTAATGGGGTACGGTTTTGTATTAACTGACAACGAGAATGAACAACTACAATTGACCATCGATATCGATGGCATATGTACGAAATTTCTGCAGATTTGGCAAGTTTACCTTCCACAACTCAAAGAATACACTTACTCTGTTTGTGCTGATGAATTGTCAACTTCAAGTCAGTCAAGTCCAACACGTGTCGTGTTCATGTGCAATAGGCATCGCATTTTACCAGCTGGTTTACTGGAGCTGTTCGCAAGTAGGTGCGCAAATTTGGACGACACTCGCAGAACATTGAAGGCTCTCCTCAATGGACTAAGTAACTTGAAATCTGCGCTGAATATTAAATTCAAGCAAAAGCTAGACAAGTTCCAAGCATTTCCTTTTACATTAAAGGGCACTGGCTATTTTGAATCCGAGGATATGATGAGGTCTTTACAAAAGAGCTACGAAAACTCTTGTATTTATCGGCAATCTCAGCTCGATCTGTGGTACACGCTGAAGAAAGAGTTGAAAAACATGGAGAAGGAGTTGTTAAGACAACATAGATCTCGCATCATTACCATTGGAGACATTATGAAAAAAGAATTATTTATGCACGACGTAACCACCCGGTTGCGCTTACCTCTAACGAAAGACGTTCTCGCATCTCCTGATAAAGAGATATTGATCAGAATATGGCTTTTACGGGTGACAGAAGGAGCTCAGTCGTACTTCGACACAGCTTGGATCAAAAGAGAATTTGCATCGGTATCACCAGTAGTGGGATCTGACGTGTCCGACGTGCGTCAACTGTATGACAATTTGAAAGATTCTGCACAGCTCCTCAAATTGAATTCTTGGTCTTTAGAGAACTTGATGAAAGTTGAGCAAGTTATCATGCGTAATTCTTATGCCAAAGGCTCAAAGAGGGAAACGTTTTTAATTTGTCCCACTGCTCTGTGACATTCGTATCAAATAAGTCTAGTATCTTGCGGGAACTAGTCTAATCAGGAAAAGGAAAAACGCAAATGTTAGGAAGACGAAAAGAACAACACGAATATAAAACCACAATCCAAGCCTGCCTTCGCGATGGTACTTTGATAGGGTAGTGTTGACCTTATCAAAAACGTTTTTGGATGATTCGAAATTCTCGGATGCTTCTTTAAGTATAACAGCATCTTCTTTAAGCATCTGCTGAAATTTCGAAGCCTGGCTCTTCAATGATGATACCATCAAAGGTAGGGAGTCTATCATTTCTTTTTGGAACGACTCATGTTCTTCATTTTGAATTTGAGCGGTGTATATAGAATCCAATTGTGAGGGCTCATTTCTGGTAGATAGCAATCGCTCCCTGAGAGAATCAAGAGGCTCGTCATCTTCGGGGGCAATTATTTGAATCGCGTGTAATGGTTCTTGAAGGTTTGACTTTTCAGCTTCTGCTTCACCCGCCTTGACCGTAGGCAAGTATTGTAGTTTACGTGATCGAATTTTGAAGCCCAGTTCAAATTCTAGGTCTAAAAGTGATTTATGTATCCTATGGTATTCGGATGTAGTATCCGTATATTTTCTCTCTGGTGTAAAAGAATGCTTGCGTACTGAGTTCATCACAGTTACCAGTCTTTTGACACTTAGGTAAGCAGAGAGTATGTTTTTGTTCCTGGCATTAAGCTCTCTCAATTCATCTGTCTCACTTTTAAGTTGTGCGAGCATAATACTTTTAGAGGTGGACATTCCCGTCAATCATAGACAAATTCGAAACAAAATATAATTTGATATTATAGCTACATTATTTAGTCAGGAAAATGTTTAGCTATAGAAGCATGTTGATATGTGACCGCATGAAGTATTTGCAGAAGGCATTGTATCATTATGATGGTACACCAAAATCGCTAGCCTATTCCGATCTCGGACGAAATGCCCTTGATAAAGGAATCCCGACTGTGGAGCTGGCGTATGAACGGTATTCGCCAAGATCGCCAACTGCAAACAATCCGATCATTTTTTTACATGGTTTGTTTGGTTCAAAGACGAATAACAGGCAAGTTTCAAGGCAGCTAGTCAATACTTTGGATAGAGACGTCTACTGTTTGGATCTAAGAAATCATGGGGATTCGCCACATAATGAAAGACATGATTATCCTTCGCTAGCCGCTGACGTCGAACGATTTGTAGAAGATCATGGTTTAATTGATCCTATACTTATAGGTCATTCTATGGGAGCTAAAACTGCGATGGCAGTATGTCTGAGGAGACCTGGATTGTGTTCCATGTTAATCTCCGTTGATAATGCACCTGTAGATTTTACGGCTGGCGGCACGGGATTCAGCAAGTTTGGAACCTACATTAAGCAGCTCAAGAAAATTCAAGACGACCCATCTTTGAAAAGTCTTAAAGAGTGCGACAAGATTCTGGCACAGGTGGAGTCAAATTCAGTCGTGAGACAATTTCTGCTGACAAACATAAGAAGAACAGCAGCAGATCAATATACGAGCAGAGTTCCTCTGGACATTTTGGCAAAAAGTCTTGACAACATTTCTGGATGGCCTTTCAATTACGAGATATCTAGATGGACAAGACCTGCTCTATTCATTCGAGGAAGACAAAGCCCCTACATAGCTGATGAGTACCTTGCCTCGGTTGGGTTGTTCTTTCCCAACTTTGTTGTAAAAGATGTTGATGCGGGCCATTGGTTGATCAGCGAAAGACCCAAAGAGTTCGTTTCACTGGTAACAGACTGGATACAGACTGCGGAAGATCAATAATGCTATTATTCTAGGGCTAGAAATAAGTATATGCATCCTTACACCATGAATTTTCGCTTCCGAGTCGATCTTCTAAGTGCTTCGGGTTATAGGAGTCCATGTCTACTCACGGATGGTTCATTAAAATGTAGTATATCTAAAAGCACTATTGGCTTCACATGATGCCCTCGTATTGACAGTGTCGCCTGTCTATTTGGAAGTATAAATTCCACTTTTCAGCTTTCCCAAAAAAGCGAGTTACAATTTTAGAGCACTCAAAAAGTAGCATGTCTACCAAAATTTAGCCCAGCGAGGAGTTTTTTCTTAGCTTTGTTTCATTTTGAATTTTATAACCTATAAAATGCTGAGATCTTATCAATTCAGATTGTTTTCTTCGGCTAGAGTGCTGGCTGAGGCTAGTCAAAGTAAGTATCGGAATCTTTTATTCCAATTAGAAATCTAACCAACGAAGAAAAACACGATATCCTTGTCATTGGTGGCGGCCCAGGTGGTTATGTAGCAGCAATCAAGGCTGCACAACTAGGATTTGATACAGCTTGTGTCGAGAAGAGAGGTAGGCTTGGTGGAACGTGTCTCAATGTTGGATGCATCCCCTCTAAAGCCCTGCTGAACAATTCGCATCTTTTTCATCAGATTCAACATGAGTCCAAGTCAAGAGGTATTGATATAAAGGGCGATGTCAGTCTCAATCTTCCTAAATTTATGGACGCGAAAGATAAAGTGGTTGCTCAGTTAACTGGTGGAATTGAAATGTTGTTCAAAAAGTATGGTGTTAAGTATTATAAGGGTGCAGCATCGTTTCTTGATGAGCACAGAGTCAATGTTGATCCAATTGAAGACGGTGAAAATGTTGTTGTCAAAGCTGACAACATCATTATTGCAACTGGTTCCGAAGCCACACCTTTCCCAGGCATCGAAATTGATGAAGAAAGAATAGTGTCCTCAACAGGTTGTCTTTCTTTGTCCGAAGTTCCTAAAAGATTGGTGATCATTGGAGGTGGTATCATTGGCTTGGAGATGGGTTCTGTTTGGTCAAGGTTGGGCTCACAAGTCACCGTTTTGGAATTCCAAAATGCTATTGGTGCAGGAATGGACGGAGAGGTTTCGAAAGCAACACAGAAGTTCTTGACAAAGCAAGGTTTGAAATTCAAGCTTGGAGCAAAAGTTACCAAGGGTGTTAGGGAAGGAGAAGTTGTTAAGATTGAGTATGAAGATACGAAAAGCGGAAAAACTGAGGCTTTGGAGGCAGATGTTTTACTGGTTGCTGTTGGTAGAAGGCCATACCTCAAAGGTCTGAATGCGGAAGCTATTGGGCTCGATATCGAGAAGCGTGGAAGAGTTGTGATTGACTCGCAGTTCAAGACCAAGTTTGATCACATCAGGTGTATTGGTGATGTGACCTTCGGCCCAATGTTGGCACACAAAGCAGAAGAGGAAGGCATTGCTGCTGTGGAATACATCAAGAATGGACATGGACATGTCAACTATGCCAACATTCCTGCAGTGATGTATTCTCATCCTGAGGTCGCTTGGGTTGGGCAAACTGAGGAACAACTGAAGGAGGCAGGCATCAAGTACAAGGTCGGCAAATTTCCTTTCATTGCAAATTCCAGAGCCAAAACCAACATGGATACTGAAGGCTTTGTCAAATTTATTGCTGATGCCGAGACTGAAAGGGTTTTGGGATGTCATATCATTGGCCCAAATGCGGGAGAAATGATAGCAGAGGCCGGTTTGGCACTTGAGTACGGAGCTTCCACGGAAGACATTGCTAGAGTCTGCCATGCCCATCCAACTTTGTCGGAGGCCTTTAAGGAGGCAGCTGGATCGGTTTTCGGTAAACCTATCAACTTCTGAAGTAAGTTTTGAATCTTGAATCTTTAAATTCTCCAATTATGATCTCTTATCTATTATATTCTTATTACAAGTATTATAGAGGAAATGAAGAGTTCCTGTTTGCAATTATACCCTTTATTGCAAAAAAAAAATTCTAATCTAGAGCTAACTTAAAATGTCCTGTAGATTTGAGTCGAACTGCTGAAACTGCAATAGAAACCTCGCCAAGGTAATTTCGTTGACAAAAAGATCGAAGTTTAGTAGATAAAGTAAATTTAGCTCCAGCTTAAATAGTTCCTCCACGCTTTGAAGTCCGGTCACTTTGCAATAATAGCTTTGCTTGTAGTTTTTGTCTTCGATCAATTTAAGAGATAAGCGCAAGACACTAAGCACAAGCCTGAACACATTTAACTCATTTATTTGAAGCATTGTAGTTTTACATGCAACCCCTTCTGGAGTCTGAGGTTGCCTGAGAGGAAGGAGTGATGTGGATAGAGGAGCCTTCAGGTTGAAAGTCAGATGAAATAAATAATATGCCGAGGTCAAGAGTGTAGCCGTAGATAGATTTGCATAATGGTGTATTCGCTCAAGGTATCTCGGTATTTGAAGTGATGGAGTTTTTCTAAGGTAAAACTTTCTGATTATTGCGGGTCCTGTATCTGGTAATCTCCTACAAAGGATGTAGCGGTCAAGACTTCGGTCATTCATTTTCATATCGTCTCGGCAGCGACCCGAAGCTTCGCCATTTTTCAAGTCTGAAGCTCCTGATTTCGGAAGAGCTGAAGCGTTGCCAAAATTCAGCCTTAGTTTGGAGCTGCTTTTCAATGGCACTTCATATTTTTCTCGATCTTGTTGAATATCTTGATCGGTTTCAAACTGACTGTTCGACGCGACTGCTTGCTTAGGTCCTTGTGTCATTGAGTGAGGAATATTCGACTCCATGTGGTGAAATTTGGTGGGTGTAAATAAAAGAAAGTCTAGATCTACGTTGGAATCTCTCGATGTCAATTTACTAAGCCGGATAAGGTCATCGATCAATCGATTGAAAATCGCTAAAGCTTCTATGGGTGCAAGCTCTTCCAGTTTTCTGCAGCTATTGACTTTTTCACGAAGAATCCATTCTATCTCAATGTCTTGTATGGAGTGTGCTCCATTCTCGGGTTTGCTATCTGACTTGCTATTTGAATTTGATGAATGGTCCCCATATTGCGAATCTTTTTCTTTCAATGGCACACCTGATTCCACGAATGTGGGAACCTGGGGCTTGAGCTTTATGTCCATTGGTACAAGTAGACTAGATTTTGACAGCCAAAACGGGTTATGAAGCTATGATTCGAAATAACCTCCTTGTGCCACAACACAAATCTAATGGATAATAAAATACAGATAAAACCGGAAATACTGGATTTTTTTCCCGTCGGAAACAATTGAGTAATCCGTAATAAAAAATCATATATCGTGACTTAAGTCATGTGATCACTTTTGACTTTCTGCTCAAAAAGGATTGTTCTCAGAATTATGTTCGAAACGGGCTGATGTGCAAGGAAATTGCATTGCAACGGTATTTTGTATCAAAGGTATACGTTGTATACCATAGAAAACAAATTCATCAAATCTGCGCAGCTTGTGATCGATCAATAAATATATGGACTTAATAACATAGAATCATGGATCTATCAGACTATATCTCAAATGGAGGGGATTGAACTCCATTTTTCATTGACAGGGTTCTAGAAATACATATGCAGAAAATTGTACCTACCATATAAACTCCCCTGGCCACGGGGTTGCAACTAAAATGCAAGACAAAAAAATTACCACGAAGGTCTTAATAGTGTATTAAGTTGGATGATTCAACTGCGTTTGAGCCGTCTTTGGCTACCAAATACTAACACCAAATAGTAGGACATGAGCTTAGATTACATTCAAGTAAAATATACCCAAATTGAATTGCAAATGAGTCTTTAAAAAGGGTTTAGTTACAATTTTGCGAAATACGTAATCTCACTGAGCAGTAATGAATTTGAATCGTAGCATTATTACATCTAATGCTGAATTCAAGTCCATCTTAACCGTTGGGCTGCTTCTTGATTACTTGTTACTGATTAACCTCTTACAATGATCCTAAGTTTGCGCTGTAAGTGAGTTGTATGTAGACCATCATGTGTGGTATTGAGAAAACATGGAACTGTAGCTAGGCAAGATTGGTGCTTGTATTGTTATCGCTTTACCACCAAATTGCACTCTATACAATCAATTGAACTGAGAACCATCTACGATATAGTCAAAATTCAGCTATTATTTTCTAAGTCCATGATTCACGAGGAAATGGATTATATTTGAGTACTTACGGTACAACTCAAATTTGATGCTGGATTTAACTGATGGATGAGCTTGAGCTGAGTCAAAAGCGATATATTTGCGCACGATTCTGGATCAACGGCAAAATTACTCACGTAAATCGAAGAATTTCTCCATTACAAATATCTACAAACGCGAATAAACGAATCTATCATCGATCGTCCGTGTTTGATAGCCGAGTAAATCTTTCAGGAGATAACACCTCTCAAGTGAGAAGAACACGATATTAAAACATCTACTCTTGGTAAATGTGACTGTAAGTCAATAATGGTTCAATTCTATTCTATGAAAGTACAAATGTTCCCACATAAATCAATTACAACACAATCCCGAATAAAAATGGTACCGTGCGAGGACCGGAAATGTACCATCACATGACTCAAATCACGATGCAAACTTTAGCATCAGATTAAGTCAAATGTAGCAGATATTTAGTATTTCCGGTTTTAGCTCTATATTTTATCCTTTCTAAATCAAACTTAAATCAAACTATGTACTGAGAAGCTAATCTCATAAGCTTCAACCCAGGAACCTTTATTGAAAAAGAGCAGATTCTCATTATTACCGGTATATTACATGAGTCATTCATAATTCGTCATGATCCCAATCATCCTCATCTTCGACGTCACCTGTTGGTGGTGCGTCATACAATTTGGATGTGATAGGGTATGCAACCTTGCTCAGTTTTTCCTTCTGTTCATCAAATTCATCCTTGGTTGCCGTATCGAAGTTATCTTCCAAAAACTCCAACGCTTCGTTGATAGCATCCAGAAGAGTTTCTTTGTCATCTTCCTCAAGCTTAGCCCCAAAACCACTCTCATCATTGACTTGATTTTTAAGGGAATGAGCATAGTTTTCAAGTGCGTTTCGGCTTTCAACCTTCTCCCTCAGCTCCTTGTCTTGTTGTGCAAATTTCTCAGCTTCTTCGATTTTCTTCTCGATCTCCTCCTTTGAAAGGCGGCCTTTATCGTTGGTAATCGTGATAGAGTTGGATTTTCCTGTTCCCTTATCTGTAGCAGAAACTTTCAAGATACCGTTGGAGTCAAGAGTAAACGTAACCTCGATTTGAGGGACGCCTCTTGGCGCAGGTGGTATACCAGTTAATTCGAATTTTCCTAACAAGTTGTTATCTTTGGCCATCGCTCTTTCACCTTCATAGACTTGGATCAAAACAACAGGCTGGTTATCAGCAGCCGTGGAAAATATTTGGGACTTTTGGGTAGGGATTGGAGTGTTCCGTTTGATCAATGTGGTCATAACCCCTCCGGAAGTCTCAATTCCAAGAGTGAGTGGGTTGACGTCAATCAACACAATATCTTCGACTCCCTCCTCACCTGACAGCACACCTCCCTGAACAGCAGCACCAAAGGCCACAGCCTCATCTGGATTGATGCCTTTCGAAATCTTTTTGCCATTGAAGAAGTTTTCGATTAGCTCTTGAACTTTTGGAATTCGAGTAGATCCGCCGACGAACACCACATCATCTATTTCATCCGGTTTCATTTTAGCATCATCAAGAACCTGTTGCACTGGCTTCAAAGTTTTTTTGAATAAGTCCATATTGAGCTCCTCAAACTTTGCCCTTGATAGAGACTCCGAAAAATCAATCCCGTCTACGAAAGAATCAATCTCTATGCGAGTCGACATTTGAGAGGACAATGTTCTCTTCGCTTTCTCGACCTCCCTCTTCAGTTTTGCCAATGCTTTTGAGTTATCACTGATGTCGATTCCATGTTTCTTCTTGAACACTTTGATAAAATGTCTAACAACTCTATAATCAAAATCCTCTCCGCCCAAATGAGTATCTCCCGCAGTGGCCAAGACTTCAAAGGCTCCTCCAGCGATGGTGAGCAGAGAAACATCAAAAGTGCCTCCACCCAAATCATACACTATAATATGCTTTTCTTCGTCCGTTTTATCCAAACCATATGCAATTGCCGCTGCCGTTGGCTCATTGACAATTCTCAGTACCTCCAAACCTGCAATTGTTCCAGCATCCTTGGTTGCCTGTCTTTGCGCATCATTGAAATAGGCTGGGACAGTAACAACGGCGTGGGTCACTTTCTTTCCTAAGTAGTCTTCTGCGATCTGCTTCATTTTGCCCAAAATCATGGCAGAAATTTCTTCTGCTGTGAAAGTTTTGAGCTCTCCATTTACCTTTGCCTCCACTACAGGCCTTCCATCTTGATCCTTAACCTTGTATGGCAAATGTTTGATCTCCTTTTGAATTACTTTGTCATCAAACCGGTGGCCGATTAATCTTTTGATATCAAAGATGGTATTGGTTGGGTTCGAGGCAATTTGATTCTTGGCGGCATCACCCACCAACCTCTCTTCTTCCGTAAATGCCACGTAAGATGGTGTTATTCTATTACCTTGTTCATTAGGAATAATTTCAACCCTTCCGGCCTTCATAACACCAACGCATGAATATGTGGTACCGAGATCGATACCAATTACGGTACCGTAGTTTTCATTCGATTCTGCCTTGACAAATTGCTTTGTTGTTAGTGGGAGAACGACTAGCAACAGAGCGTAAATGATCGCAGCACACGAGATTACCGACTTATTGAAATTTAACATTCTCGTCGTTTAAGGGCAGATCAATTTTTGAGAACAAAGAAAAATTATTAGCTGAAACCTTTATAATTGATCGTTGTGTAGCGTGGAAACACGAGAGCAGCTCCGTTGAATTCAAATTCTGAAGGTAAAAAAACCTAATCCTCCTATCTTTCTCAGAACCTTGAAGGATTGTCTGACACAGCGTTATAAGTTCTATATATATATTCGCAAATATGTTACGTGTCGAATTTTCAAGAATAAGAACTGTACATCATGAGAATTGTGACACGCTGGCGTTATGCAAAAAATTTGGAAAAATCTTCTGTGCCCGCAGTTGACCGTGGAAAAAATTCAAGTGCAGATGGTTATATTCTCAGCTAAACGTCACCCTTAACCCATTACGTTTGGCTCAGCCGGCTTCTGACAGAGTTGAAAAGCCTAATAATGAGTTACTAAGATTCATCACAACGTGAAACTTGGTTGATGGAAGATTCTAGCATTCTATTTTGACTTTGTCTATTTTTTGATTTATGAATTGAATAGACTAAGCTCTGTATAACAGAAGTTCGTCCCCAGCCTTGTCAAATTTGGTTAACGCAAGGAGGCTTTGTTTTATTGCCATTCTTTTGTACGGCTTTAAAGGCGACGGGAACGCTAACAATTTGCAGAGGGATATATTATGAGTGCGCAACTTACAAATTTGATGTTTTTCGAGCCGCTAACTAGTAGTAAGGATAGCAAGGTTTCAAGAATGCTGCTGTGAAAGCTGGGGATGAGGCAGTATGGCTTTTTGCTGTATAATTCGGGAAATGACGAAGACTAAAATTTAAAGGCATTACTTATCTCCACAACTTTAGTAACAATAAAAGAATTGTTGCTCCTAAGGGGATGGAGTATGATGTTCGCCTAGTATTCCACACTCAGCCCCACACCCATTGTGTATCCTGATGATTGTTCTGGCTCTAAATATGCAATTGGCCTGTTTTTCAACCAGATATTTCTTCCACGACTGGAAATTTGGTCAAACTTTCGCTCACTTGACAATATAAGAGAGCCCGAAAACGTTGGCGAATCACTCCTAAGACCAGAATTTTTACTCTAACGGTATTTCATGATGCAATGTTGCATAACACGATCCAGCCGTGTTCTTTTGAGTGTTTCTTTGGCACCTGGCATAAGAGACTATATTATCCAAGAGCGATTGGTATTTTTTGAACATTCTTCGAATCATTACCCACCCTTAAAGTCAATATGCTTTTGGCTTCTTCAAATTAAGAAGGGTAGCATGTTTTTGCTAGGTTCATCTTTCGGTAATCATTTTACGAGCTAAGGTGTCGAGCTTTTTAAGTAAGCTCATCTGATAAGGTTTTTTGATAATTGAGACTTGATTTCATCATCATCACAGAATGATAGATGTTACACTTCTCGTAGTTCGGGACTCATTTTGAATTATTCAAATTGCTTCCTTCAGCAGAAAACAGTTTAAACAACACATCATCGCTTAAGTGAATAATGCTGAGACTTGATGAACACATTTCTGTGATTCAATTGTCACCTCATCTTTCATTTCCTCGCCATATAACAATCGTCAGATTAGGTTATCGCAATAGTTCTAATTTGTTTCTTGGCTGTGCTGTATTGCATGCATGGTACAAAAAAAAATTTACAGTATTTTCTATTTTTCTTTTCACATCACTTAGATATTATGAGATTAAAGACCAAAGAAAGGTTTTCGGTAAACAATAGAAAACTGTCGTTTGATCTTGATCATATTTCAACAATATCGGATAGTGATCAGGAAGTTCCAGACCTAGATGAGAGTAGTGAGGAAGACATTTCGGATGGTAAAAAAAAATCAAACTTGAAAATCACTAAAAGCAGCAAAAGTGCTCAACTTCAGAAAAATGACTTTAATGGTAGCTTCGCTTTTTCTTTGCATCATAATGATGAAGAGGATAAGAGCTTTGATGGGTGGAATTTTGAGGTGGAAGGGAAGCAAGGCTTTATGAACAAAGATGTAGATCTTGATAAAATAATCAAGAGAAAAGGAGGACTTTCTGGCAGCATTTTGGAATTCGAAAAATGCAATGATCTTGAAAAACAAAAGGTGCAAGGAGAAAATCAAAATTCCGATGAAGAGCTAGCTCTTGATGGCTTTGGGATGGGGGCTGCAAACAATAAAGTCAATGAACCTAGCTATACTGGTAGTGATGACGATACGAATACCTCAGCCAGTACTGACAACGAATCGGACGCTACTTACAGGTTTGCGGAGAACTCAGATACTCACTTGCAAATACACACCGATCTCAAGAAGAAGATAGACGGTAATGAGACAGTCAGCGAAGATGCAGACTCTCCAGATGCTATAGCTAACTATTTTGCTTCTGCTGAACAATCGAAAGCTCACCAATCTGAGCATCAAAGTTTTCAATCACTCAAGCTTTCGAGACCAATTCTAAAGGCCTTATCACAATTAGGGTACAGTAAACCTTCTGCAATTCAAAGTGCCTCAATACCCATTGCTTTGCTGGGTAAAGACATCGTTGCAGGCGCAGTCACGGGATCCGGTAAAACAGCGGCTTACATGATTCCCATTATCGAAAGATTATTATACAAACCTTCAAAGACAGCTTCTACTAGGGTCATCGTGTTAGCTCCTACAAGAGAACTTGCTATTCAGGTGGCAGATGTAGGTAAGAAAATCGGTCAATTTGTCAATGGATTGACATTTGGTTTAGCTGTGGGTGGTCTGAATTTAAGGCAACAGGAGCAAGAGCTGAAGAAGCGGCCAGATGTCGTTATTGCAACCCCAGGAAGGCTGATTGACCATATTAGAAATTCAGTTTCTTTCAATGTTGATTCTGTGGAAGTTTTAGTATTTGATGAAGCGGATAGAATGTTGGAAGAAGGGTTTCAGAAGGAACTCACAGAAATACTTTCTCTTCTCCCTTTGAACCGTCAAACTATGCTCTTCTCGGCGACAATGAATTCAAAAATCAAATCGCTCATTCAGCTCTCCCTCAAAAAACCAGTTAGACTTATGATAGGAGCGCCAAAAGCGGCCGCGTCTGAATTGGTTCAGGAGTTTGTGAGGATCAGAAAACGTGAAACCTCAAAACCAGCATTGCTGTTCAACATTCTTTCTGAGATGGATGGTATACACAGCAGAGTAATTGTTTTCGTTTCAAGGAAAGAGATGGCACATAGGTTACGGATTTCTTTAGGTCTTTTGGGTCTGAAGGTATCTGAGCTACATGGTTCATTGACTCAAGAGCAAAGGTTGAAAGCCATCGTTGACTTCAAAAACCTAACGGTTCCAATACTTATCTGTACTGATCTTGCAGCAAGAGGCCTTGATATACCCAAAATTGAGCTTGTCATAAACTTTGATATGCCGAAGACATATGAAATTTATCTGCATAGGGTTGGAAGAACTGCTAGAGCAGGGAGAGAAGGATTGTCCATATCTTTCGTTGGCGAAAGTTCTCAGGACAGAAATATAGTGAAAGAAGCAATCAAACAGGTTGAAGCTGAAAACGCCGGAAAAGCCATTGGAAGAAACGTAGACTGGGAAAAGGTTGAGAAAGTTCATCGCATTTTGCAAGAAAAGGAATCTATTGTACTCGATATTTTGAATGAAGAAAAGCAGGAAAAGGAGCTTCTCAAGGCCGAGCAGGAAATCAAAAAAGGTGAAAATATGTTGAACTTCGAGCAGGAGATCAAGTCAAGACCCAAACGAACGTGGTTTATGACTTCACATCAGAAGACAAAAGAAACGGACAAGCTGAATTCGGAAAATCAGAAAGACAAGAAATTGCACAGCAAGAAGCGCAAAGCATTAGAAGCTCAGGAGAATTATGAACGAGTCTATAAGAAGACGAAAAAGGATCGCTTACAATCAAAATCCTTGTCAAAAAGACCGAAAAGTAGAAGTGGTAAGTACTGAAGATATTATATATTTGATCGTTGCATGGCCTCAGGTGAAATAGAACCTGTTGTTGATGTGTGTCAGATCTCTTATCAGTTTTGATTTGTCAGTGCCCACACAACTGTTCTTATTATGATACACTTGATCATCTCGTTTGATCTCAAGCTCAAAAAATTTTGCTTGTCTCCTAATGCTAGAAAGCCAGAGTATTTGTTGCTCCGTATCATGTGATAGACTTGTGGAATCTGAAAGCAGCATTCGTAGGCCGTCCAACCAGATATACAACTCGTCGATTGTGTTAACATAAAACGAAAATATTCCGTTGTTTTTGATTTTTATGTCTATCCGATTGACCTGCAATCGACTCTCGATGCTAATCAGATTTGATTTCTCAATGTTTTTTTTGATTGGCTGGTAAGTAATATCCGAGATTTGACTGAATTCAATTTTTGCACCATCCTTATCGATATTTGGTTTCTTGCCAGGTTTTTTGGAAAATTCCTTATAAAGCAGTGCTCTGTGATTTGTGGACAGTATCATAAAGTAATAAGACGACTTTCTGCTGCTCCCGTTCGGACTTATTGGATTTTCAGAGAAAACCCAGGTCCCTCTTGAAAGCATCAGCAGATGTTGACTTCGGACAAAATCAACCGATTCGTCGTAAGTAATTCTGTTAAGGTCATCACAATTCTTGCTCCACCACTCTTGAGTGTCATTTTTAATCTTTTTCAACTCAATATGTTTGAATGCATCGTAATCAATGTTTCTGAGGTTGTATATTGCATCTTGAAATCCTTTGAGTTCCACCAAGTGATCAAAGTAATATAATAGGTGATCCACGTGTTGAAGCAAAACCCGTATGTCATTTGCGTCTGACTTAGATGAATCCCAGAAGTTGACAGAGCAAAGGAAGAGCACTTCGAAAAGCTCTTCACTGAATTGAACTGGCATATTGATAATCCTGCTATGCGAGAGATTGTCCGGCTCCATTGATGAGGTGATCCCTCCAGCTAGTTTATACAAAGAGGACGGAGGTATTCGATTCTTAAATAACTGGTGCTCAGCAAACTGCTTTTTAAAAACTATACTAGGATTGGAAAACAAGGATATGATATGAACAGCCGATAGTAGTGTCAGATTGGAAACGTCATCGTAATTCTCTTGGTTTCCAGGTGGTTCTTCAATATTTTTCTTGTGATAAAGTCCTTCATTGAGATGAGCCATGGCTGTTCGAACGTTACATACGAGCTTTGAGTGCCTCCTATCGTTGAGATCAATCGGGCTGTTCGAAAGATATGTATAAACGAGCTTCGTAATCATCAGGAAATGTTTCCAATTCTGGCTTCGCGTCAATTCGTCCTCATGTAAAGCCGGAATTTTGCATATACTAGAGAATGCGTTCTGTTCCATCAATTTTGCCACGAATCTAATCAATAGCTCATCATTTTGCAACTCAAAAACACGAAGCAGGAATTTTGAAAGTAAACCAATAATGGGTAACGTATATGTTATATCTGAGTCAGCTAGCTTAGAACAAACCAGTTCCAAGATAGACGGACCCGATAACAGGGTGTCAATTATTGAGATAAAGGTTGGTTTTCTCCCCTGAAATGGACCTGAAAGAAAATACAAGAAAATAGTAACCAGTGATTCGATTACTACCCAATCCTGGTCACTAGTTAGGCAAGCTTTCATGAGGACTTCAAACAAACTCAATGTCAAATACTCGTTGAGCATTTCAGATTGCGGGGCGCATTCAAGAATCTTGGCAAGAGTTCTAGTAAAGGAAATGCTATCAAAACTTTCGTCATTTTTGGCGACATTAGACAGCACTTTGAGATAATTCTGAGCCATCTTCTCGTTTATACCCCCACCTTTCAATCTCAAGTCCTCCAGCTCGCTGTAAATTGCATTACAATCTATCGACATTTTAAGAGAGTCAGTTTAATTCCCAAAAAAATTCCTAATGCATTATTTCATCCCATAATGAAATCTTTTTTTTTTTTTTGGAATACCCTAAAAAATTAAACAAAATCAATCTGATGGATCCGAGTTTTATCTACTTTTGATGAAAACCCGCTCTGACATAATATTCCACGACATGCTTAAGGTCGAATTGACCGGAGAATGAGCAATCCCGAACAATCATATTGTGCATGGTCTTCGATGTACTCTCAATCGTTTTATGATTTTGACCGTGCTAAATCTTCTCAGAGTATAGCAGGGCATTCGATGTGGTTTCTCTGTCATTAAAATAATGTAACAAGCTCAATCTAACAATTATAGTGCCGTTTATGACCTGAGGGTTCTTGGTATCTCTATGACAACTTGTGTCTAATCCCACAAAACTCGTTCATTCTGCCTTCTCATGGGTTCTCTTATGCCGCCTCATCAATATCTGAGTCTGAGAGAATCTTTTTATCTTCCCAGGCAGACAAGAACTCGATATAGTAATTGGCTTTCTTTCTTACAATTATTTGTGTCTTGACTCTTTGAATGGGTAGTTAATGCGTTGTCTCCAATTCACAATATCAAGTTGAACTGCGCTATAGACGATCCTGATACTTGTGAGCAAGAAGCCAGATACGAACGAATATCTACTTCTTTACTCCAGGAAACACATATTTTGTATTTAAGAGGTATTCTCGCTTTTTAAAGCGCAATCCTCATCTTGGTTCTGTAAGTTTTTCTCGTCGATGCGTTGTTCTTTGAAAATGAGATTGTTTGGCATCACGGCCTGCATACGAGAATCTTCTTCGGTCGACAACGTGTTGACACATTCCCAAATCCGTTGCCCTGAATTTTCATATCCTGTCACCTCACCCAGCCTATCTCTAAAATAATCAATGTCTCGCATTACCACCGCTTTTTCCACAGAATCTTTTAACCCAATTTTTGTGTAAATGTCAATAAGGGAGTGTTCATATCCTCTGAATATGCTGGAAAGGACACGGGCATACTGCTCCTCTGGTAAATACCTTTGGAGAACTCTTGCAATTGTTAGTGTCTCTTTGACAATGGTCTCCATGTATTGATGTACTTGTTGATGTTGGAGAGGGCTAGACCAATCGATCGATTTTATTTCGACAGCATGAACGTTAATCCTGTCTGTCATCAGCGTGGTGAGCTTATCAAATATTTCGACCTGGTGATCATGAAATATTTCTGCAACCTTTTGAAATTCTTCTATAATATGGCCGTCAGTCTTCGGATACTTACTAAAGAATTGTTGTAGGTATGGTGTTAAAAAAAACATAAATCCCACGAACTGGGATGCAACGGCGAGGTATTTTGGAGTAATATGTTTCAGCCCTGCTGTGCGTGTAGCTTGAGCTCCTAAGACAGCCTGGTGACATTTCGTATTGACAAGTCTAAGAAACTCGATGATGTAGTTGTCGTTTGATGCACCAAACTTCATTTTGATTAGTAGGTAATTTTTTATCATCTTCAGAATTTCTGAAGTTATTTCAGGCACAATAATAGATTTTCCATCGATCACTATTGTCTTCCTTTCATTTGAATTGGTCTGTTGTATTTCTTGCGTCGGTATGGCATTGAAAATAGAACACTCTTGCTGCCAAAGGAAATCGTTGAAGTCATTGGAAGAAGCATCTAGAATTTGATTCAAGAGTAGTTGCGTAGCAGAAGAAATCGTGCATTCTTTCCACGTTTCCTTTTCTATCAGTTGGGATGCAATTCTCAATGTGGTCCGGTGAAACTGTGTATTGAATTTTTTGAGTTGGTTGGTCATAACGTCTTGCAGAGCTGATGTCCTCGAAGCGCCACTAGAGATAAGCTCACATTCAACCAGGAACATGGCATTGAGACTGAAGAATCGCATGAAATATTCAAGCGTAATGGAGGAATTCTGAGTTTCACGAACATTGATTATTTTCGCCATGCGTCTTTGCGCTACGTCAATCGACTCCGCTATCGCATTAGTCAAGTCAAAGTCCAATGCCATGTCTGGTTGATTTTCCGTGAAAGAAGGGTCCAATGCAGCTAATGCATCTAATGCCATCCCTAATAAGACTTTTCTATGAGTTGTCAAGCGACGCAAAGCTTCTGAGAGCTGTGTATAGGTTTTCAGCAGCAGATCTTCAAATTCGCGAGGGGTCATCGTTTTCACCGTAGTCGCCAACCCTCCTGGACCATTATTTTGTGCAGATGTGCTCCTAGTCCCATCCGAAATTCCTGAAATGCTGCCTTTTGTGCCAATATCAGTATTTTCTGGAAACAGATTGGCACGAATGATGCCTTTCAATTCTAATAGAAATTTCTCTTGATACATGCTGAAAGAAGCCTTCAGTTCACCGCATCTTGCAAGGCCGTTTAAATACTCTTTCAACCGGGAAACGAAGTGTTCATCGAGATGCTCGTAATCCAAATTTATACTGGCTGTATCCAAACATTTTCCACGGTTTAGATTTTGATCTAATCTTTTCAATGTTTCGGTTTGTGGAACGTGTTCATAATGATCTCTAAGATCATTTATCAAAGTATCGTTGAAAAGCTTTGAATAAGACTTCCCAATATCAGCAATCAAGTTAACAAGTAGTTTTTTCAAAGGAATCAGAGCTGATATCCTGTTCATATCAAGCAATTGAAATGGCCAATTCTCAGCTATCAGGTCCACGAGAGTATGAGTAGGGTTATTTCCCCGAATCAAAGCAAAAACTGAATCTGCGAGTTCTAAGGCCTTCCCATAATTGGCATTATAATACGATGTCTCGGCCATATCTGCTTGATGCAAAATGGTGAAGATTTGAACCAAAGCCTGTTCCAGTTTCTCGACATTTCTCCGCTTCTTTGTTAAATCCAGTATTTCCATTGCTCTATTTGCCTGAGATTCCTCCACGGTTTGAAGTCGGGCGTCCAATTTTCGAAGTCTAGTGACTAGTTTTTTTGATTTCGCAGTAGTACTCTTTAAATCATCAAGAGCGCTAAAAAAAGAGCCCGAAGATCTAGAAATTTCCCTAATCAACTGGACTTCTATGATGTCCAAATAAGATGACAGATTTTCCTGTAGTTCGTCGCTTTCCAGTTTGACTTTCTTAGTGCCGTCTGGATTGAAATCAGTTGTATCATCCAAGATCGTTTTATTCTTGAGAATTCGCGAAAAGATCTTTGGATCATCCAGCCTGAAGTCAGCATCAAAATAAACTTCTGGAATGTGGGACAGTGAATTTTGATCCAGGTCAGCCTCCTGTCTATCAAACTCGTCATATTTGAATTTGAGATGTACATCGTTTTCAGCAGTTTCCGTTTCTTCCTCATCTAATCGACATATCAAAGCCTCGAGGGTTGATGCTGTCAGAGTTTTATACTGTTTGAATTTAAAGTAGTCTTGCTCGAGAGAATCTGAGTGACTCCGCAATTGATGAGACTTAATCTTCTCGATTTTTGCTAACTGAATACTTGGTATATCTCTATTTGTAGGCCCTTTCAGATTCACTAGAGCTTGGGCACTGCCAAGAAGGAGCTGCCCGGAACTGGTAGCCCGCTGATTGTAGTTTATATTTTGGACAAGCTCAAAAATCGAGTTTTTGCCTAATGGAGATATGCTTGGTTCGGATAATGTATTCACGCCTAGAAGTATTGAAGAGTCATGCTTCTGAGCAAAGGATGATAAAGAAGAAGCAGAATGCTGATGATGATATGCCGCCCTCCAGCTGATGAAGGATTGAGACCCATTATGATCATGTCCAAAACTAACTAAGTCGTCATTCAACCCTGGAGACGTATCACTGCCTGTTGACTTTGTAATTCCACTATTTTCGTCAGTTGCCTCGGCGCCCACGTTAATCAAAATCTGATTTGCTGGCGAATTCCTCCTCTCAATATCCAGCTCGTTTGCCCTTTCAGTTGGCTCACCAGCTGATGATATGTCATTTGAGGGCATATTTCGTCACTATTACAACCATACGCTATGAAGTCGAATCCCTGAATAAGCCTCGAAGCGCAAAGTCGAGATTCAGGAAAAGAACTTCAGTGTCAATTTACAAATTGTATTGACACACATAAAAAAAAACAAAAGATTATGTAATCCTGCGACGTTGTGTAAAGTGGTTACAACTTAATGTACGAATAGTAAGTTACTTTTAATACAAGAATCAAAGCGCAGCTTGAAATAAGGCAAAATCAGACTCGGCAATTCAAATCTTTAGTAACACCTTAAGCTTGATGTTAGTATACATGGTCGAATCTCCAGTATCTGAACCGAATGGGTGCACTATTGATGATTATGGCTAGGAGTTGGGCTGCATTATGTCATTCCCAGCAAGACGGGGGCGGTCTGCCAGCTCGCCCTAGGGATGAATTGCTGCTGCCTGTGAAAAATTGATGCACCCGTAGCCAGATGGTGAGCCGATCTGCGAGAAAAAAAATACTAGTACTGTATTCCTCATGGTCACATGAACGAAGACTCCTATCAGGTGTCATTGATTATATAATCGTTGCAATGATTAGGTAATCGGTCTACTAAATTACTAGTTAAACTGAAGAATGCAGCTACATGAAAAAACACCACCGCTATATGTACAAAATGTATAAGGACACCGATTGCTTTTTGCATGCGAGACTTAGCCTTGAATATCATGTTGCGGTGTGCGACTAGTAAAGCTTCTTATTTTGGTGTTCGATGATTTTTTGATCACGCCCAACTGCATGCGTAAATGTATACTATTTTAAGAGTTGGTGCGGAAAGCGCATCCTTCAAGAAAAGGTGCGAGAATATTACACCGCAAAAGCCTGATTTAGAGATAGATGTGTTAATTTTGGCAAGGAAAATATATGTTTGCCTATGTCATGGAAGAGCACTCCATCTTGTATCTTTATTCATGGACCCAAAAACCGTTGATAGCTTACAGGTGATGGTACGGTCATCCTCGAAACGAGAATTATAACGCTCGTTTGTTATATGTGAGATATGCTCCTCATGCAGAGAGCTAATTTGATGTCGTTTCAGACACTTGCTGCTACTTTGGGTAACTTGGGAATGACTAAGATACTATTTACTCGAGTTAAAATTTCACTCATATTTGGGCCCTAGTAGATCATAAGTGTTGAGATAAGATAGTCATAGATTATATCATGGCTGTGCGGCTTATCCTAATAAGAAGGTTTGTGGTTTAGCACATGCATAGTATGTGCATCAGATCCAAATGATACAAATCTGAATCACATATGAGACTATCCAAATAATATATATGGATATGCTATACCCCACTTATAAGTGAGGGAATTAGGCATACCAAAGATATTAACCATCTAATACCTAGTCACACTATTGAAGGAAGTATAATGATTGTAGACGTTACACTTATCAAAACCAAATTCCAACAATAAGATCAATATCTCTGTTTTTAATAGTACGGAAGCACATCTTGCTTCCTCTATCTGCTAACACACCGAGTTTAGTTGCCCACCGTCTAGGACAGCAAGAGTTTTGGAAATATCCCAAGTAGGCTTCAATGTATGTGATGCAATCCGGGACGTAGCAACAGTTCTATCTGAAACAGGTGACAACGTCAACCAGACTATTAATCATTCCAGTTGATCTTGGCGGATGCTTCCCTCTTTCAAAGAAAGAAAACTTTGGTGACTTTCTTTCTAATGTTCATAAGTATGTTCACCAAGCGCTCTCCTGCTGTGATCCCAAAATCCCAAAGGCCCCTACTTGGTCACATTAGGAGCTTTTATTAATTTTGCTGATCATCAATCTGGGGAACTCAAATCATGTTGTTCTTGCCATCCGCTCCAGTAATAGGTCAAATTATGCCAGTGCAAACTGGCTGGTGGTCTTAACTTTCTTGCCATGCGCCATACTGACTTCCAAAGATGCTGCTTAGATGGAAACGTTTAGTCTTGTCTTTTATCATAGTGCGCAGCTATCGTTTGCATTGTCGCGCAATTTAAATTGGCTGTTTACCAGATTGATGTCATCACGCGTGTTGTCAATAGTGAACCAACTAAAAATACCACTTCGACTCAGTGTCCTTGGTTCATTGATGCACTTGCTCCTAGAAAGCTCTAACGTCTACATCGCAGTCTTCACGCCCTCAAGCAGACCCCCCTCTGAGATAAGTTGAAGGTTAACCTTTTCCTTCTACGCACAGTGATTGCACAACATTCCGAGTGAGTTTGGTCTTTACGCATCCCCGCAGGTACTCCTATATATATTATTCTCTTGGTCCTGATATTGACAAGACTGATTCTGTAGCCACTTGATCACTGTTAGTTCATATTTCCAATCTGCTCAATGATTATGAATTTCAGGATTGTGACCCCGTTGGTGAGCTCTTTTCGAAGTTTTATATTTATCCAAAGTTCTCCTTCCTGGTTTAACCCCTATCGCAGCATGGTCGAGGAGTTCTGCCCTGTTGATACTGTGTGCGCAAACGTATATTTCCTTTACGGTTCGTAAACTAAGTTATAATTTCAGTAAGCCCCGAAAGAAAACTTAGAGCAAGCAAGACATGTTCTGAAGTATTCTAGAAGGACAGCGATTACCTGTTAATAATAAATAGGGTCTTCCGGGACCTAGACTGCCTTAATGATCGAAGGCTTTTGTGCGCTGGGTCGAGAAGTTATTAGCGTTTCTCGATTTACAGATACTTCTTCATGGTAATTACCTCATAAAATCGGAGCTCTACGATTCGAAATGCCTTTGAGAGATTTATCAGATACGACCAGGGCGAAGCAAAAAGATTAAGATAATCGAGTTCCATATCAGAATTGCAGATAATATTGCCCCTCGTATTGATACCTTATCTCGCGAATTTACTAGAGGTCTGCATTTAAAGCTATTCTTTCAGTGACGGGAGGGGAGAATGTATAAAGGATGTAAATTTTTCCTTTTAAGAGACAAACCAGAGTAACATACTTTCGAACTCGTGTAAAAGCTCCATTGTGCTGATAGGGATCCTGCATTGATTTCACAGGAGTAAAAGAAAAAAAGTGCTCCGACACCTCTCAATCTTACCTCGCGCTGATGAGAAATTTCCGTGCTGGGTAGAGACTAAACATCTTACGGATGCGGTCACTTGAGCTAGAATTACGAGTTGATGTGGGCATCTAAATTGAACATCAATGTAGCGTCTCCAAAACTGCATTGCGTCATCTCAATATACCGTGTCAAATCATTTACCCTAATAACCCACCTCAATTAGGTAGAGAAATAATTAGCTCTCCTTAAATATATAGCCTTCCAGCGCAATTTTGGAAAATGAAGTACATCTGTATACTGTCTGGCCCCATCTGATAACCATGCAGCAAGCTTTTCTTATCGTAATTATGTGATGCAATCTCTACTTAAATCGAGAGACTTCTTATTTGAAAAGCTTGCCGATATTCCCTTTCGTCACTGATGCACGTTGTATACACTGGCAACTAGAAATGAGTTTATTATCCTTGCCTTGAATCTATCATATTTAGTTACTATCACGTACTATCAAATATTAATTAACTGAACTACTCCGTTCCTTTGTGATGATACTTTTATAAAACCGTGTTGTTGGACTTCTTTCACAAGAATGCTAGAGTAGCTTTTTGAGTTATATGATGTATGGCTAACTGACTGAAACGTCTGCTAAATGAATTACAATCTCACGCTAAGGAACATTGACGTAGGGTTTGCCGAAACAGAAGACTCGTCTATATGTAGTATATCTTACGTAAGGTTCTCATAGCCATGATACGCATGCAAGAGAAAGTATAGTACGCTGAGCCATGTAATCAACTTGTCGTAGAACCAAATCTCATGAAAAAATATCTGTGGCTATTGATTCTTATCGGTATAATAGGTATTACGATGGGATCCAGCAATGCATTAAATCCCAAGTTGAGAGGTTTGCGGCTCGAGATAATTAATCGTGTCTGGGTTTCCTTCTGAAAACACCCTATTACAGAGAAATTTTTCTATGATTTTGGCTAAAATGTTATCTGCTATACCCTTAAGGCAAGGTCATAATTCTACCAACAATTCTACTAGTGAGTAAATGAGTTACTCAGACATGGGCATTCCTGCGGAACTATTTCGAATATTGTCGCCATAGAAGGAAAGAAAATCTGTTAGTGAAGCTGAATGTTGTTCAAGCTTGAAGAGAGATATAGTTGGTAAGCTGAACTAAATAGGCCCTATCTTGATGTCTAAGATGACCTCAATCTCCAATACAAGAACTTCACACGAAGCTCTTCTTTCTTCGTCTCGATCTGATCATTAATTGAAGTTAAAGCCAACATCTCATATAAATCGTAAAATTCACATTGCTGTTTTAATTATGGTTCAAAGTTAATTATAAATGCCTCAGCAATCTCCTAAACTAGCTTCAACAATACGCTGTATGTACAGTTAATTACGTAAATAGGGTTCAGAATATAAGGTGCAGAAGTTTCATAGAATTTTGAAGCTCCACAAGTCGGCGTTGCATAATTGGATTTGACCCCTAAAATGGAATAACGCTAAGCAGTGAGTGCTGAGAGAAGGTAGTGATACCTGAATTCTAGTTTGGTTTCAAGAGTGAGATGAGATGTCTTTCTATGAGATGAGATGTTTCGAACAAAACAATACTTATATTCAAAGCTCAGAAGCATGAATACCTTCTAAATGAAATTGTCTGCATCAAGTGTCCATATCATAAATTCTGAGATCCATGAGCACACCTTAATTGTCAATTACTAAATAGAAAGACTCCAACCATTGAATGATCCAACCTATCTTATGAACCAGCTCGAGCATCTCATCCAGATGCTAAGAGTACTACGACATCTGGCAAGAACAAATGTATGAGACAATGACGATGACCAAATCTGAAACAGGTGAGAGAATTCTGAGTTACTTAATGTAAACACATCAACTGGAGCTCAAAGGTTGGAGAGATCACGTCAGGATTAGGTTGAAGC